AATCTCTGAAGCTTCGGAAACCCAAGCCTCCCTCTGATTTTGGGGTACAAAGAACCTCCTTCCTGCACCAGTGGAGGTTGCTTTTCTGCATCGACCCTGACCAGAAAAAATTGCTAAGGAGAGAATCCATTTTCTTCGTCAGTGAAACTGGTAGAAGGAAAAGGCACATGATGAAAGTAGGAATGGCCTGGATAACCGACTTTAGAAGTACTTCCTTTCCTCCATGTGAAAGAAGTAAGCTCTTCCATGCTTCCCCCATCTTTTCCATCCTTTGGATAAGAAAGTAGAATGTTTCCTTCTTCGAATTTCCCCATTCTGTTGGAACTCCAAGATATTTTGAATGGCAGTTGGAGGAAGCAAATCCAATGTGATTGATGATATCATTCTTCTCATCCGCTGGAACATTCGCGCTAAAGAAAATAGAGGATTTATGTACGTTAACTTCTTGACCTGTCACTGCCCCATAGTCGTTGATGACCTCCAGAATTTTTCCAGCCTCCCCGATGTTAGCTTTCCCAAATATGACTGTGTCATCCGCAAAAAGACAGTGAGTGAGAGTAGGGCATCTCGAGTTGAGTTTAATTCCCTTGATTCGTTCTTCCCTTACTGCTTTATCAACTAGGAACGTGAGGGCATTAGACATAAGGATGAAGAGGAACGGGGAAAGAGGGTCTCCTTGTCTAATGCCTCTCGAGGGACTGAAACTCTCTGAGGCTTCTCCATTGAACAAGACCGAGAAGCTAACAGTACGGATGCAGGCGCTGACCCATTTGCACCATCTCTCATCGAACCCATATCGCCTTAGGAGGGTCTCCAGACATTCCCACTCCACCATGTCGTAAGCCTTTTTCATATCCAACTTCATCATCATATCTCTTCTATTGCCGAGCTTATGATTCTTGAAATGGTGGAGAGCTTCATGAACGATAATGATGTTATCTTGGATGAGGCGACCTCCAGTGAAAGCTGTCTGAAGCTCAGAGACTAAATCGGGTGTCCATTTCTTCAGTCTGGTAGCCATAATCTTTGAGATGATTTTGTACCTGAAGTTACAGCAGCTGATGGGTCGAAATTGTCCAATTGTCTCTGGGTGGTCCACCTTTGGTACCATCACAATGTGCGTATCATTCCACCCTTCAGGCATACTCGCTGATTCAAAGAAATCCTTAACTTCTCTACAGAGGGTTTCTCCCACAGTAGCCCAATATTTCCTGTAGAATTTTCCGGAGAACCCATCTGGGCCCGGTGCCTTTCTCGCTCCAAGAGAGAACACTGCTCTCCTAATCTCTTCCCCAGTCACTTCTGCACACAGGTCCTCATTCATCTCTCCTGTTACCATCGCTGGGAATCCCTGAAGGAGGTGGGTAAACTCAGTGGTATCTCTAGCCTTGAAGAGCTCTTTAAAGAACCCATCCGACAAATCCTTCAGCCCTGCCTCATTCTCTATCCAGTTTCCCACCTCATCCTTAAGTCGAAGGATTCTGTTTCTATGTCTTCTGTGAATAGTGCTAGAGTGGAAGAAGGAGGTGTTCTGATCCCCTTTTTGAAGCCAAAAAACTCTAGAGCACTGGCTCCAGAATGCTTCCTCCTCAAGCCAGATTCTGGTCAATTCTGCTGTAAGGGTCTTCTCTTCCTCCACATTTCCTGGAGTACGCGGTGGTTGCTGGAGAATCTCAAGTCTAGCCCCTATTTCACTCTCCCTAAGAATACTATTCTTATGGAAATCTTTCGCCCATGCCTTCAGTTTTCTCTCGCATTTGTTTAACTGGTTGCTCGATGGCCCTCCTGGATCCCACTCCCTGAAAACAATCTCTTTGCATTCGTCTTTTTCCAGCCATCTCTCGTCCACTCTGAACGGTGTTCTTCTTCTTCTGTTACCTTGATGGTGGAAGTCGATTCTGATTGGGCAATGGTCAGAAGCCACCATCTTTTCATGGAAAACAACCGCTTCTCCAAACATCACTCTCCAAGATGGCGAGCACAACACTCGGTCCAATCTAACTCTAACCAAGTTTGGGCTAGAACGTTTATTGGACCAGGTGAAAGGGTTGCCTTTGAAACCAATGTCAATGAGGGCATTGTCAAAAATGAACCTTTTGAAGGGTTCCACATTCTCGTACCTAAGTGGGCACCTCCCTTCCTTTTCATATTCATATATAGCGGCATTAAAATCCCCAATGATGACCCAACTATCATCTCTACTACTCCGAAGAGAGCTTAAGTGCTCCCAAAACTCCCTTCTACCAACAACCGTAGTCGGGGCATGGACAAAAGTACAAAAGAATTTCTTCCCCATGTCGATGCTAACATCCATATAATACTTATCACTACTGATTACATTAATACTAATACCTTCCTTCCACCATAAAGCAAAGCCCCTAGAAGAGTTGATCGGTTCTACATACTCTTTATTGGGGAAAACTCTAAGACTTCTCCTATGTTCTTCCATGAAATCTTCGTTGTTGCTAGTTTCCATAAGGAAGACAATAGAAGGGCCGTGACGTCGGATAAGACGCTTAGCATAACTTCTCGTAAGGGACTGGCCAAATCCCCTACAATTCCAACTTACAATACTCATGGATCGCGAGGTGGCTTTTGGCGAACCACCGCTGCCCTTGTGTCGCTTTCTTCTCCATCCCCTATGTCTTCGCTTGTCGATTGAGTTTTGCTTCTTTGGTGCTTCTTCTTCTTAGTCCTTCCTTTCACTCCTCCTGCAAACATAGAGTGAGATGGGCTCAAAGTAAAACCAGACCCTTCATTAACCCTCTGGCCCGTCTCTCCTGGGCTTTGAATAGATTGGCCCTTTCTTTTTTTATAATTTCGGCCCACATCTCCTTCCAATTCCCCCTGAATGTGATGATATGGACCCTGGGTCTGGGTGTTGGGTGGCCTGGGCTCCATGTCAACTCTTGGGCTGGCCTGTGAGGTAGGGTTTCCAGGCCCAAGTGACAGCTGGGCTCCCATTAGGCACCTCCTCCCTGCCTGCCGCCTCGCCTCTTCCCCTCCGTCGAGACTCAAACTCCCCTGTAATGCCGCCGATGCTTCCTCCAAATCCTGTTCCAAATTTCTTGCTCCCATACCCTCCCTGTACTTCCCCTTCATCCTCCACCGATAGTTCGCTTCTTCCTCCCTCGCTTCCTCCTCCAACCGGCGTACAGTGAACCCCGGTGGGACTTGGGGTTGAGCTTCTTCCTCTCTTCTTGCTGATGTGAAATCTGCCGCCACCATCGTCTCTGTACCATCGATTAATCCCCCCGAGCTGTAATGGTCCCTCCAAGCTTCAGGATCGGTGGAGGGACACCAAGGCTCTTCTTCAATCCTGCTTCTGCTACCGCTTGATTTGTGGGGGGAATCGATCCCTGCCTTCAGTTCAGAGGTGTAGATGTCGGAGAGCTTGACCTGGCCTCCCCTCTTCCTCTCTTCTTTCATTCTTGTACATGTCGGCCAGTTGTGGCCGACTCTCCCACAAAAATAACATAGCTCGACGAGTCTCTCGTATTTGAAGGTGATCACTTCACAGTACTCTCGGCCAGTTACTTCATCCGTGGAGGGGAAGTCGAAGCCCGTCGGGACTGGTTCACTAACCTCCATTTCGACCAGCATCCGGATGAATCTTCTGTAGCCGTGGAAGTGGAGACTGGCTCTGTCCATGTCAATGAACTTGCTGAAATAGAAAGTCCCTATTGAGATTACATTCTGCTCACTTCTCTGACTCTGGTGGAGACCATGAATCTGCACCCAAACCGCAAGCTTATTCATGGGCACTGCTTCCGGATCTCCTCTGCCCTCGTACTTTGACAAAGCTGTCATAGTGTTGGACAAACTCCATGGTCTTTCAAGCCAGATTTTCTCCCGGGTTTTTGCATCTTTGAAGGTAAAGATGAACAGATTTTGTGCTTGAGTTGGCTGAACTCCCACTTCCCCGTATTTCCCCCAGGCATATCTGGCCGCCCCTGAAGCCTTTGCCAAAGCCACCTTGTTCTCGGTGAGCATCTTCCCCAGTAGCATTGAAATCCCCCTGCCATTGTTGGTAGTCAGCTGTGGGCGAGAGCCCCTTCCTCCTGCTGAAAACGGACTGCTGCGCTCGGTGCTCAATCGGCCAGCCCTCTCGGTCAGGTCATTGATGTCCATCTTGATTCTTTTGCCCTGTTTTCTGTGGATTCTAGTATTTGGGAGGTTGGGTGTGAGCAAAGTTTGTAAGAGGAAGAGAGGTATTCTTTCTGCAGGAACAGGGGTATGGGTCTCCTTCTTTCTGCTCTCTTCTTTCTTAAAGGCTCTTCCTCTAGGTGAGGTAGCATTAACTCCCCCCAAATCTTGGTAGCAATCCTTCTTTTCAAAATCTTCATAGAGCCTCTGTTGATTAGATCTTCCCCTGTTCTGCTTTATGTCTTCCTCCCTATCAGCTCTTGGCTCAATGTTCTCTTCACTCTGTCCCAAATGGTGTCTGTGGGTTACAGGCTGCTCCCTCCCCCCTCGTACCTCCCTTCTCCTCTGTTTGATCTGACTATGAAGAGCTGGTCTCCAGTCTGGAGGCTTCCAAACCCACCCTTTCCTTGTATTTATTGTAGAGTTTCCCCTGACTTGTCCACTCCTCTTCAGCCTTTTCACTGCTGCTGCACTTCGGCCTCTTCCATCAGATTGTACGCCATTGCCATTAATACTAGGTTGATCTTTCCCTTTGGCTATAGTGGCCTTCTGTTTGCTCTCGGCAAGAGCTGGACAAGTCCCAGCACTGGGGACGGAAAAAGAACCGTTGGAAGGTTCAGAGAAAAGTTCCGTTAGAGAGAGGTAAGAGACATATTTTTTCAATTTTTAATGTATTGATATCTCCCCTTTCCACACCTCACCGCCGCGCAATTCCCTAATTCCTCTCCCCACACTACACGCAACCACAAACCCACTAAAATCTAGAGAGAGAGGAATTCTCTCTCTAGAACCTTCTCTCTCTGCAGTTTCAATTCGTCTCCGCGTGGGGGGAGCGGGTTTCTCGACCGGCGGCGATGGGGAAGTTCGTCGAGCTGCTGGACGTCGCCAGAATTGTCGGGAGGATCTACTCCCACTGCCCGCAGACCGCTCGGCTGTACTACCACCCTCCTTCCAACTCCGCCGACCAGTTCCACCAAGATCTCGCCGGCGGGAGCAGTCAGGCTGCGGTGGCGCGGAGCGGCAGCGATTCGGCTGTGAAATCTGGCGGTGGATTCAGTCTCAAGGCTTCCATGGGAGTCGATTCCGCCGACCAGCTGTTTCTGCATTCCGTCTTCTGACGACGGCGGCGTTGGCAAAGGCCAGATCTAGGTTTAGAGGATGGAAGGAGAAAGAGGGGGGAAATCGATGCACTTCGGGAGCAAAAAGTTGTTTTTGATTATCATTACCATTGCCAATTGAATGGATGAAAAGAGTTTCTTATTATTATTATTCACGATTGATTCATTATTATTTCTATTCAGTTCTTCGATCACATCGATTTTTGCTCTGTTCTTGATTGGTTTGGGATTTTGCCTTTCTCTTTGGTGCCAAATTCGTTCTGCGTGTTGTTTCCAATCTCCAGGAATTCACAGGCTGGCTTCCGAACCTAAACCTAATCCGCGCCTGTCGTTAGAGATTTTCTTGCAATGTTTGGCCTTTTTCCCTTTTTGTGTGGTGTAGTTGCGCCGAAACAGAAGGGAAATTGGGCCCACTTGATTTTTGGGTCGATCTAGTCCGTTCAATGTTCTGAACCGGTCACAAAAGGTTGCAGATAAGCCACTTGGATCTTATTATTTGTCCTTTTGAGGTTTGATCACTTTCACGGTCCAATTTGATTGCTATAGCATGTGTTTAGTTGCTTAGATATTTTTCAATTTGGTCCAATTCAACTCGAGCTTGGATTATTAATGAGCTCACAAGCTCTATATTCGAGTTCGGCTCATGGATTTTAGTGCTCACAAGGTGTCTCTGACACCGCCCTGTGTTTGGTCGTTCACTGTTGTTAGATGGCCGCAAAGGTCGCGTTTCAGTGTCCGTCAGATGCCCTTATGAGCACCACAACTGACAGGTACGAAGCATTCGAGCGCCATATGATAAGTGCGGGGAGCGCTATAAGCAACGTTCTTGTCGATGTTTTAGAAACCGTACTTATACTCAGTTGGACCAGAAATACCGTGCAATGAATCTTAAACGGTAGGGGATTTAACAAATAGTTGACGATTTTAGTAACCATATTACTGATTTTTCCCGGTATAACCTCCTGGATAAGTGAGTCTCAGAAAGAGAAACGAAACGTTTTCCATATAATGGATCGCTTTTCATTACCAGAGCTCCTTCGGCAGGCCTGCTGTGCTCTGCAGCTCCTTTCCTGTGTGTTTGGTTCCTAATTCGGTCTGTTTGTTTCAATCTCCATGAAATCACAGGCTGGCTTCAGAACTTAAACCTAATCCGAGCCGGCGCCTTTCGTTAGAGATTTTCTTGCAATGTTGGCCTTTCCCTTTCTGTGGTGGAGCTGCGCCGTAACAGAATGGAACTTGGGCCACTTGATTTTTGGGTCCATCTAGCCCGTTCAATGGCCGAAAAAGGTTGCAGATAAACCCACTTTGGATTTTGTCTGTCCTTTTGGGGAGTGGTCACTTTCACGGCCCGATTTGATTGCCATAGCATGTGCTTAGTTGCTTACGGCTTAGATATTTTCCAACCCCACTATGAATCTCTATGATGCTCACATTGTCTCGTGTTCGTCGTGGACTCTCCACAACCATGGAATAGACGCGGGCATTAACATGTAATTCAAACAAAAAACGAGACTGATTTCGTACGAGCAGAATAGCAAAATTCGATATTTTTCGGCCTTTTGATTGACAATTCATGGGCCTAACGCAAGTGCACCACGAGAAGGGGCGCGGTGTTGGCGAGGGAAGGGTGAAGCATAGTAGCGGGCTTGGCCCACGAACGAGAAGGGCTTAGTGGCCCAACCGAGTTCTGTCATGCTGAGTTAAGATCACTAAGTTAATCCAGATAGCATTTGAAAGAGCCATGCTTTCAGTTGCTAATCTTCAGAAACCTATTATCGATCCTGAGTTATTTGGTTACTTGGACAACATAGCAGCGATTTCTTAATTACCTCGCATTCCCCTCCTGTCAAATTTGAGCAGCTATTAATTCAATAAGTTTCCCTATTCAATAAGTAATGAACTAATGACAATGGTGTTTATCTCGGGAATTAAGCATATTTGTATAAGATAATTTAATTCATTTTTTAATGCGTCTAAATATAATTTGATAAAAATTCATATGTAAACATTCCAGTTTGACTCTACAAACACAGAATTTCTATTTATAATGAATTATGCATAAAAATTAATTTTCAAATGAAATGTATTCTCAATTTATTAGGTTCCAAATGGTCCTCCTTAATAGTTTAGGAAATTTTATCAATTTATTTATTTCATTATTTTGGCTTGGTCATTGCTGATTCGGGCTGTGGGAGGCAGTTGGGCTTGGGGAGCTGGTAGTGGTATTTATCACGAGCCCATGCGTTATTATTCCGGGCGCAGTCCTAATTCTGGGCCTCAAAATGGGCCCAGTAATAGATCAACTGGTCGAGATTCGAGAGAGTAAGCATATTATACTCCACTGGGTCGGTTGCTGAGGCGCGAAGTAGGCAAAGCCAGCAGCGTCCATCGGCGGGAAAACCCTGAAAAATCGAGCAGCTGAAAAAGAAAAACCTAGAGTGACGAACAGGACAGACGAGGCGGATTATTGCAGAAATGGAGTAGAAATTGCGGGGGGAAAGCCAAGATAGAAAGACGTAGGGTTTCGCTGCAAGACCAGGAGTAGAGGCTTGCATTCGGGGAGAAAGCTGATCTACTCTCTGTGTCAATCGTCGGTGTTGGAGTAGGACGGTTGAAGTCGGTCGTTCGGCCGTTGATTGGATCCGTAGTAGGCCGTAGTTACTCTTCTCTCCGGCGCCTTCTTCTACCTATACATACAAAGCATCGGCTCTCCTTAGACTTCACAGTATCATTGCTCACTTCATCGGCTGTTGAAGATGTCGGACGGTCATTTCTTCAACAACATCTCCCTCGGCGGCCGCGGCGGCACCGTAAGCTCTCTCTCACTCGGTCGATCAGTAGAAACTCGATTAGTTGAAGTAGATAATTTCTTGTTGTTTTTGCGTGCTCTATCTGCCTCGAGCATGGCTATGATGCGTGGTTTGAAACCCTAACAGCATGGAAACCCTAACTGGTATCGTTATAGCCTGCATATCTCTGTGCTTGGACTAGAAATGGATGGAGCGGTTGACATATTTGTGCCTTGTTGCGTTCTAGAAGCAGCTATTTTGGATTTCGAGACCTTGTTGTCTTAGACATAGGCTTCTCCAAATTTCGATCATGTGTTTTCGTTTGAGTTTCCCTGGTGGGGACCGAGGTTAAGAACTGAGGTTCTTTTATGTTAGGGTTTCTCGTAGCTGTGGGCTCTTATTTGCCAATATCGTTGATCTTTTGAATTGTTTAGGTCTTGCTAATGGCTCCTAATCAAAATATGTTGATTATGGCAAAACTGGGGAGTTGAATCAATCGACTTGTTGGATATCTTCTTGAAACTCTTTGGGGGGAACTAGGGAATTACTTCTTCGATTTGAATGACTTATTGTCCAAAATAATGGTTCCCTGGAATAGTGAGCTGCTCTATTTTCTCTCTAAGGATCTCTATATTCATGTATCTGTTGCTTTCATCATCTGATCCTGCCATAAATTCAAGCTTGCTTCATTGGATTAGTGATGTTTATTTCTGGATGCTCTGCTTTCATCTAGATTTCTACTTGTGAGGCATTTCATAGTATGGAACTTGAAAAGTCTGAATGGTGGGGGTGGGGGGGATTTTGTGTTGCCAGTTTCAATATGTGGAAACAACAGTCTGACAGCCTCAAACATTATTAGCTTCAGCATCTCAAGTTACTATGATGAGAACTTCATTTCTATTCTTTAGTGTTTGTGAAAGTGTCTTAGTATGAATATACTGGGAACAATATTGAGTGGAGGAAACAAATCAGTGACCTCTAGTCTTATGAATCAAAATTTTGTCTTGTCCCATGAAATCCAGAACCCTGGGCAGATCAAGATAACCTCGGCGGGTATACAGTGGAAGAAACAGGGAGGTGGTAAAGTTGTCGAAGTCGATAAATCTGATGTTTCTGGATTGTCTTGGACAAAGGTACCAAGAAGCAATCAACTTGGTGTTCGTATAAAAGATGGATTATACTACAAGTTTACTGGCTTCCGTGACCAGGTCTGTTTTTCTCTCTCTGAAGTTAGTTGTTGTTTTTGTAATAATGCAACACATGCCTATTCTTAAGTAAAAACAAAGGTAATGTAGGTTATGCTTAGTGAATGGAGTAGAACTTTATGGCATCATATTGATAGTCCTGAGTATTGTGTTCTTGTTGCTTGTACCAATTATAGGTCATCATTTTAGTTGAAGCTTTTGGATTTTGTTAGTTTTTGATAGGTGTTGATATCTTATGTTCTTAATTTTTAGCGATTGTGTTGTTCTCTCAGGATGTTAGTAGCCTGAGCAATTTTTTCCAAAGCAATTTTGGAAAAACTCCAGAAGAGAAACAACTGTCTGTCAGTGGACGCAACTGGGGGGAGGTTGACTTAAGTGGTATACTATCTTTCTTGGCCATTTCGTTTACTTGTTTTGTTCTGGTGTTGTCTTTATTCCCTCATGAATCATAATATAATATAATATAATATAATTGTTTACATCTATTGATAGTTTCTCCTGCAGATTGTGAATCCTTTCTATGGTTTTCATTTCTGTCCTATGTTTACAATGTGTTTTTGCAGGCAATATGCTATCTTTTATGGTTGGTTCAAAGCAAGCATTTGAGGTGTCCTTAGCAGACGTTTCACAAACTCAAATGCAAGGCAAAAACGATGTTATCTTGGAGTTCCATGTGGATGACACAACAGGAGCTAATGAGGTCTGTTTGAGTAATATAATCTCTTGTGTTTTACAACTTCTCTGCCTTAAGCCCTTTACATTTGTAGCAACCTATATGGTTCTTCTAAAAATTCTTTTTGGATTAGTTTAGGATTGTGAGATATTCGATATGCGGGTCAATTATCTTTGGAAGAATGACAATATGATTATGTGGTCTATCTACTATTCTTTTTGAACTATAATCTTCGCTATCAGGCTCTTGAACATCAATTAAACTTTGTATATACATATGTGTGCAATTTATTGATTATCGATGTTGAACAGGGACAGCATGTACATCTAACTTTGCCATAATTATTCCATTCGACACTTGTTTTTAACCGTTACTAACTTGGTTAATGCTATTATCCTGCTTGTGATTTGCTTATTTGTGTACTATTTGCATTATGGTTGCAGAAAGACTCACTGATGGAAATGAGTTTTCACATTCCCACCAATAACACTCAATTTGTTGGTGATGAGAACCGTCCTGCTGCTCAGGTGAGTCTGTTATCCGTTTGGTTCTTGATGGAGACATAATATTCCAGAATTTCCTTTGCTTATTTATTCTTTCTTTATATCATTATAATTATTAACTTGTTTTGCTATTTTATTTGGTTGGACTTATCTGTCTATATACATGGTTCTACTTTGGAAGTACCTGTTCTAGTAGGATACGATTTTAATGTTAATCCTGCAAGGAAGGGAATATCTTGTGCTTTTATCTTTTAATATGTACTTGTAACTTGAAAATGTTCTGGATCTAAGAGATTTTGAGTAGATGATGCTTTCCACTTGTGAGATCCAGTTTGTTCTTGGATGTCACTATCCAGTGGCTCTTTGTGTTGTGCCAATGTTTTTTGTATTCGACTTTCCAGATCCATGCCTCTTTTCAAAGCCTCGCCAATTGAATCCCTTACCTGCTAAATTTGCCTTTACAACTAACAACCCTGCACGATGTTTCCCACTTGGTCCTTATAATGTATTAATGAAGCTTAATATTCATTTCGTTTCCACTGTATTGTCAGGTCTTCCGTGAAAAGATTATGTCAATGGCAGATGTTGGTGCCGGGGCTGAAGAGGCCGTCTCCCTGTTTGAAAATATTACTGTTCTAACGCCGAGGTATGTTAGTTTTGGATTCAGAAATCAGCGCACATGTTTTAACTCGTTCCGTTTTATCCAAAGCTTGATTCTTGCAAATATTTGAAATATGTAGACATAGGTGGCTTAAGTTGGCTCTGAAATAACGGCATTCCTCTGTTTCCTTTTCTTCTTTCTTTGTTCCTTGTTTTCTTTTTTTGCCCTTGTTTCATGCAATTCACTGCTAGTGAATTTCCCCATTTTCCACCTTTGTTTCCATGTAAGGCTATTTGTGGTTCGGTTAGTGTTAATGCATGTTATTATCACCCTCATAAATAAAGTTGTTCCTGAAATGTCTTTTTTTTGGTAGGGGTCGCTACAATGTGGAACTTCACCTATCATTCTTACGTCTCCAAGGGCAGGCCAACGATTTCAAAATTCAATACAGCAGCGTAGTTCGCCTCTTTTTACTTCCAAAGGTAATATTTTTCAGTTATTTGTTTCTGGCTTCATTGTATTGATTTCTCATCGGCGCCAGAGTAATTTGGACCAACTCCTAAGCAACCTGCCCTGAATGTTATTGTTATGTCTTTTTTCAGTCTCACCAGCCACATACTTTTGTCATTGTGACTCTTGATCCGCCCATCCGAAAAGGACAAACTCTATATCCACATATTGTCTTTCAGGTAACATGCCTGAATCTTTCTGTTGATGATATATCCCTTATCTATTATTATTATTATTATTATTATTATTTTGCTCTTTTTCATACTGTTGTAAGTTTCAGTTCTATTCTTGTGATTTATTATTATTTATTTTCATCTTTCAACTTGTTTTTGTTTGCGTAGTACGATACAGAACTAGTTGTGCAACAAACATTGTCAATTAGCGATGAGCTTTTGAATGGGAAGTACAAGGGCAAATTAGAGGCATCATATAAGGTACAACCTTGATGTTTTGTTTACTGGATCTACTGCAAGGATTTGTGAAATTTTTCACGAACTTCACCCTTCATAATCTTTCATCCAACTGTACAACCACATGATGAATTTCTTTTGGCAACAGGGACTTGTTCATGAAGTATTCACAGCGATTCTACGAGGTTTATCTAGTGCCAAAGTAACAAAACCAGGGAAATTCCGCAGCTGTCAAGATGGGTATGCTGTGAAGTCATCCTTGAAGGCTGAAGATGGGCTCCTTTATCCTCTTGAAAAGAGCTTCTTCTTCCTACCTAGGCCTCCGACCCTGATTCTTCACGAGGAGGTGAGTGTTTATTAAGCTTATGCTATTACGTTTTTCCCATCTGTCACATGTATGGAATTCATAAGTAGTATCAACTGTAACACTCTATCTTAATGTTTTAGTTTCTGATGTTGTGTTCTCGTAGCTGTAATGGTTTGAGTTTGTACTCTATATGACATGTCTTTTCTCATTCCTTTTTATAAGATTGACTATGTGGAATTTGAGAGGCATGCTGCTGGGGGCTCAAATATGCACTACTTTGATCTCCTAATTAGATTAAGGACGGAGCAAGAACATCTATTCCGGAACATCCAGCGGAATGAGTACCATAATCTTTATAGCTTCATCAGGTTGGTGGACTTGTATTTTTCGTGTACAGAGTAGTTATTCTGGTTTCTGTGTATCACATTCACATTGTTTGGCTTTACCTTGTTCTTAGTGGGAAGGGTTTGAAGATAATGAACTTTGGAGATATGAAAGCTGCAAATGGGGTGGCAGCTGTCTTACAGAATGACGATGATGACGATGCGGTTGACCCTCATCTCGAGCGCATTAAAAACGAAGCTGGTGGAGAAGATAGTGATGAGGAGGTATACTATTTTTCTAAGACCTCCATTACATTGATCCAGGGCCGGATCCCCCATATGTTCATTGATAAAATATATGAAAGATTGGGGAATCCTAATTCATGTGCACTAGTTGATATTTCAGAACTTTCTAAGTGTTTCATTGCTCGCTAATCATTGAAGTAATTATTGAAAATGGCACTCATAATAAGATTCTGCCATAGTTGGTATTTCAAAACATTCACACTCCATTTCATGTGCATGCATGACATCTAGAGCAAATTTTCAGGTGTTTTACATCTCTCCTTAGTTAAATTTAATTACTTAAAGACAGTGTGACCTCTCTGGGGTTGAGAGTGTACTATTGTACAGACGAGTTTAGGGATTAATATCACTATTGAGACATTCACTACACATAAGCTGAAGTTAGTTACCTGCTTTCAATTATCAAGTGTGAAGATCTTTGTTATGTTTGGGAATGCTAATGTATGTCTGATGATGAACTTCCAGGATTCGGACTTTGTTGCTGATAAAGATGATGGAGGCTCACCTACAGATGATTCAGGAGATGATTCAGATGGCAGCAACAGCGGAAATGAGAAAGAGGTGAAGCCTTCTTAAGTTCTTATCACTTCGGTATTGATTGTCAATGGTAGTGTGGAAAATACGGATGGATCTAACCTTTGGGAAACGGGGTTTTGCTCAAATGCAGAAGCCTATTAAAAAGGAGTCTGCAAAGGAAGCTTCTTCTTCCAAGGCCATGTCGAAGGGAAAGAAAGTCAGAGAAGGCGAGGAAGACGGCTCAAAGAAGAAGAAACAGAAGAAGAAGAAGGATCCCAATGCACCAAAGAAGGCTCTGTCTGGTTACATGTTCTTCTCCCAAAACGAAAGAGAGGTAGGTTTCGTGAAGGACGTTTACATTTCTTTGTCTAAAGCTGCTGTATCCTTAATTCTGTTAAATTGATGTCTGGCTAAAACAGGACGTGAGGAAAAGCAACCCTGGGATTGCGTTTGGGGAAGTTGGCAAAGTGCTTGGTGATAGGTGGAGGGCGATGTCAGGTTTGTGTTCCTCTTTCAGACTTCCCCTTTTCCCGTCTTACTAGATTGGTTCGTCGGAGTCGGAAGATAAGGTTGTACGAAATTCTGGCTTTGTTAATCGTTCTCCTTCGTCCTCGTGCAGCCGAGGAGAAACAACCATATGAAGAGATGGCTCAAGCAGACAAGAAACGCTACCAAGATGCATTGAGTGGATACAAAAACCCACAGCCGATGGACATAGACTCCGACCATGACTCCGACAGTTCGTAATTGGCAACAACGCAAGCTAGTCGCCCGTTTCCAAATCTGTTGGGGAAGCCCTGATCCCCCTACTTACCTGCCGTTTCTTGTTTCGATGCTCTACCCCCGTCTTTGCTACAAACATTGTCGTCGTTAAACCGGTTCCTATTTCCGGTGGAAACCTCGGTGGTAGTAGTATCGCTACTCTATTAGCTGTTTGATACCTTGCGTAGCTGCTGCACTTGTGCTGTCTAGAGATGGAAGGTTCCTTCCTTCGTTACCTAAGTACCATGTTCCATTATCCATGGCGACACAGGCAAACGTGTGAGCAATCAATTGCCCACGGATTACAAACAATGTGGCATACTCCTGTGTTATCCATTGGGGGAGCAGAGCAAATTACGCACTCGAAAGCGGAGCCTCGGGGGAAAACTGATAAGGTTGTTCGTGGGAAGAGGAGACCAGTCCATGGAAAAACTAGGTTCGAATTTGAATAAAAAATACTGGCTATCGAATGATCTTACATACTATGTTATAGCATCAATATGATTGAGGGAAGCAATATGAAAAGAATCTTGATGTGATTTGAATCGGACTATCTGATTACGATTGGGAATCGGACTATCTGACTACGAGTGGATGTCACGGGGATCTATAAACTACTTCTTCTAACTCCTCTGAAATATGTATATGCTCAAAGTATAGTGCAACTGGCTTCTCTCCTGCCCGTTGACTAGCTAACACACATTGTGTTAGTGAACCTCGTGTGTCACGTGCGTTCTTGTTTTCGTTTTCTTTTTTTTTTTTGATAATGGTGAAATTTCTTGTTTTCGTTTTCTTACTTTGTCGAATCTTCTTATTTTCCGATACGCAGAGAAACAGTCGTGACAAAGAACTATACTTGAGATGGTAGTAAATATTTGAAATATAACCAGAAAATATTGTAAATCAATAGGTGTTAGATTTCTTTGTATGGTAACCATCTATAACTCAAGGAATCATACTAGCATCATGGTGATATCACCCGGCATGCTAAAATATTTGATATCTTAAATTCTTTCTTAGCGATTTGAAATCTCCAAAACAAAAGAAGCATGACTACATACATATAAAAAAAAAAAACTGCTAATTTCTTCCTCGAAGAGGAAAAAGGGAGCAACCCTGACAATTTTGCTCCCCACATGGGACTTCCGTACTTGGCGCCTTAATTTGATGGCCTGCTGATGCATTGGATATTGGATGAAGTGAGGAAGCTGCTACTCTTCTTCTTCTCGAGCATCTTTCTTCCCTCACATATAAATACACCCTCTTCGGTCTCGCCATTGGCACTTAACACGTCTAAAGAGGAAGCTCTAATAAGAAACTAAAAATGGCTTCCAGCTGCTTCTCTTCTCTCTGCTTTCTCACCCTACTCTTCTTCGCCTCCATTGCTTCAGCCGCTTCTCCTCCTCGACTCCTCGACGGTAAGTACTCTTGATGAACTTGGAGCACTGTTTGCCCGTATTAATGATAATTTGAACCCACTCTATCGAGTATTAGCTAATCTGACTCACTTGAGTTGGGTAAATACTCGACTCGCGATAATGTGGAGCAGGAAATGAGTACTGTTTTCGCTCTGTCTCATGTTTCAAGTTTCAACTCATTTCACTTAATTAGCCTCCTTATTATCTTTACTTTTCATTTGTTTTTTTTTCCGTTAAAATCAAACTTCTTAAGAAAAAAGTACGAATGTCCCATTATATAGCGGTACAAGTACCATCTTACGTGATCGTACTTGATGTAGCACGGGTATGAGTATTGAGAGACCCGCGCCGATACACCTTCTAACCAATTTTCTCTCTGAAAACTGCAGCCCTGCTTCCCAACGGGAACTTCGAGCAGTCCCCGCCGGCGTCCAAGCTCGTCAAACGGACCATCATCGGCCGGCACTCCCTCCCCGGTTGGGAAATCGACGGCCCGGTCCAGTACGTCTCCGGCGGGCCGCAGCCCGGCGGGTTCTACTTCGCCATCCCCCGCGGCGTCCACGCCGTCCGCCTCGGAAACAGAGCCACCATCTCGCAGACCATGAACCTCGCCGCCGGCGCCGGCGGTGTCTACAGCCTGACGTTCGGGTCCACCAAGTCGTGCGCGCAGGACGAGGTGCTCCGCGTCACGGTGGCTCCCGCCGCCGCTGGTGGTAAGAGCGGCAGAGCTGCTTACGTGGCGGCGGATCTGCCCCTCCAGACTCTGTACAGCACCGACGGCGCCGACACTTATGCTCTGGCTTTCGCCGTTCCTTACGACAAAGCCGGCGACGTTGTGAGGATTAGTTTTCATAACCCGGGAGCTCAGGAGGATGCTGCCTGTGGGCCTTTGCTCGACGCCGTTGCCATCAAGCAGATCCCGCGGCTTACATTCACCAAAGGTACAATTCTTTTTTAACTAGAGTTTAACGAATTAATTGGCTACATCTACTTAGAAAGTATGGAAATTTTCGATGATACCACACTCTTAACAAAAGTTTTTAGTGTTCCTTAGAGTTTGGTGTAGTTCGCTTGAGTATCAAGCAAATTAGATAGTGATTCGCTGGAAAGAGGAACGATTCATTTTCGGTTTGCGCCGAATTAACATGGATCCCGACACACTTGAGCGAACCAATCTCGAATCAACATGGATTGGATCAAATGAACCACATCAAATCGCTGATGACCTCCACAATCTATACCTAACATGAGTGGAAACTTTGACCGATCGTAACTTTAAGATTAGATAACTGGACGTAGAGTACTTATGGTCAGTTTGAAGCTTCGACCTCGATGAGTGATGGATTTGGGGTTTGGTTCGCTTCGGTCTGGTACGTTCTGGGTGGTTCGAGGCTGGTTCGCCTGTATCTGCTGCGATCCATGTGATTCAGGGCTGCTGGTTTGCTTTGGTCTGGCGATATCCGGGTTGGTTCCCGCTCTAATTCGCTTGACATTTTTGTCACTATCTAATTCGCTTGACATTGGAGCAAATCACACTAAATTCTTGTATTGTGAGAATTTTCTTTTTTAGAAAGTATGGTTTTTACTAGGAATTTGTTACATTAATTTATGAAAAAAAATTGCCTGAGAAGCAAGACATTTTTGTAAACTTTTTCTTTTGCAGGCAATTTGATAAAGAACGGCGGATTCGAGATCGGCCCCCACGTCTTCACCAACTACTCCACCGGCGTCCTCCTCCCGCCCAAACAACCCACCGACAGAACCTCCCCGCTCCCCGGCTGGATCGTCGAATCCCTCAAACCGGTCAAATACGTCGACTCCCGCCACTTCGCCGTCCCCTCGGGCCGCGCCGCCGTCGAGCTCGTCGCCGGCAGGGAGAGCGCCATCGCCCAGATCATCCGAACCGTCGCCGGAAAATCCTACAACCTGTCGTTCACCGTCGGCGACGGCAAGAACGACTGCCACGGCTCCATGATGGTCCAGGCCTTCGCCTCGAACAAGACCGTCCAGGTCCCGTTCGAGTCCGTCGGCCAGGGCCGGTTCACGACGGCCAGCCTCGTTTTTCCGGCGGTTTCGAACCGGACGAGGATTACGTTCTTTAGCAATTATTATCATACCAAGTTGAAGGATTTTGGGCACCTCTGCGGCCCTGTTTTGGATGATGTTCGGGTGTTCGGTCTTCGTAGCAACAAGAAGTTGGTCTAGTGATATATGACGCGAAAATATATGTTCGACGCTTAAGTATACTGCGTTTGATAACGTGAGTATACTTTACGTACGTGTTCAGGTTTGGAGCAATTGATATACTTATAGAGTGCGATAATACTTAGATGATTGGATGAATCAATATACTGTGTTTTTCTTCCCATCCTGATAGAGTAATTTGTTGAATCGAGTGTCTGGAACGAATCGTAGCTACAATAAGAAGCTAATATTGTAATAATCCGGACCAAATCCGCGGTTGAATTTTGTTGTCTTGGCGACTAAACTACTGAATGGTGGGAAAAGTCCGACAAGCCGACCATCGGCGGCCGTCCTAGCTTGCTTTGACGTGGTGGAGCCGCCGTTAGTCGAATTGGTGGCGTGGAATCAATGAATTAATTAATGACATGACGACGGCTTATAATATTTTTCTTGTGACGTTTCATGGTTGTTGATGAGGCAAATTCTGGATTGGTTAAGATACGAAACAAGATTTTGGGGCAACAATCATGCCACCTCACCAATAGTTCTTTGGAGGGTGGTTTAGTTTGGTGGTCAATTGCCTATATTTGATTCTTGTCAAGTCGGTGGTCAAATTCGATCGACTGGTTATTATATTCGAAACGAGAATATAACATAGGAGAATGAAAAAAAGCGAACATATATGACATAACTAATGAATCAATGATCGTAAAACAAAAAACTAACGGAATCTAAATCTCCCTACTCGTAATGCTTGTGATTTTGAGAGAGGTAAATAATTATAATAAGATATAAAAAATTATTCGATAAGACAAGTATAAAATGAAAATGGTCATTTTTTTTTGCATAACAAGGGAGGCGGAGGCCAAGCAAAAGGAGTTACAGGAGTGGTTTAGTTAGAGGAAGAAGACGAGACAACAACAATACCATGCTCAAAGCTGATGCTCATACTATTCTTTTGAAAGATGAAAATTAAGCCGTGTGGTGAATTCACAAACTCATGCATACCGTAGGAACAGACGACATGTATAAAAAATGCTCAGATCAACAAGGCAAGGTCCAACATTTAGCTAATTTTAATTCGGTACACAAAATTAAATAGCAAAAGTTGGGTGGTTTAATTGCTATAAAGTGAGATCGGTTCAAAATTTGGTGGCGACCAAAACTACTTACTGCATTTAACCTAAAGAGTAAAGACCATGGAAGCTTGGAACTTGAAAGGTAAGTGGAAAAATTAGGAACAGAGGAAGGAAGGATGAGAGAGAGAGAGAGAGAGGAAACGAACGACAAAAGCGAAACATGGGCGGTGGCATCGTCACCGGATCTTTTGTAGCCTTAAATAGCTCCTCCATTTTCTACCACTTTTCTTTTTGCCATTCCTCCTTTTCTCCACTTGGTAAAATTGTAATCATCTTCTTCCTGCTTCCAGTCAGTGCCTTTTCTTCAATCTCTCTCCACAATCCAATTCCTTCAATCCAATTCCCTCCTTAGAAAAACTCTCTTCTCATCCCAGAAAGCAATAATTCATCCATACCCCTTTTCTTTTCCTCCTGTCTTTCACAGTACATCATCTTCCCCTTTTCTCCTTTATTGCCAGCTCTGCCACTTCGTCCTCTCTTTCCCAATTCCCATACACATACGCACTCCGCATATCCCTTCCTTTTTTCCCCGAATATTTCCTCTTCGGCCTTTTTGTGTTCTTCCCTTTCGCAGCTCTCCCGAACAGCCCTCATCATCGTGTTAATCATCAATTCGTTGTTTCTGGGTATGTTTGGTTTCTTCCCTTTTCCGTGATCGCTCAAGGTTTTCCAAGCTGTGTGGATTTGTAATTCCCGTCAGATCTCTGTCCTCCTGCTTGTTGTTCCGTGATCTGGGTATTCGAGATTACCTCCGGGCATTGCTCATTGGGTGATCTGTGCCTTGATCTGATGGAAAAGTTCGTTTCTTTTTGTCGTTTTGCTGCTTGGTAGTTAAAAAATGTTATCTTTTCTCCTGGGCTTTTGTTTGATTTGGTAGCTCTAAGTTGTTTGGTTCCTTGACGTGTTGATTTCCTGCTTGTCTTTGAGTTCCATGTTTGCAATTGGTTGTCAATTACCATTGCTCATGATTGAGTGTGATGATTCGTTGAAGAAGCCGATGACATCATGGCCTTAATAGGTAGCATTAGGGTGCTGTTAGATGGTAGTTTCTGGTCCTCATATTTGTAATATTCTGGTTCTTGCTCATTCTAAAGAACTATGTCGCTGATACATTCATAATTTCATATATTAAAAATTGCATGGAGTCATGTTAATGACGTTGGTAGAGCTAGGGTATTGAAGCGTAGTGATCCTCATCCACAGGCACAGCTGCAACTGGCATTGCAGCCTGATACCTTCGAATGCATGAATATTAATTAGTACCTGAAACCCTTTCTTTCCTTTCACATTGTCGACTGGAGTTGAAAGGTATGTGCATCAGGATTAGATAGGAAAAATAGTGATTCATTGCTGACAAGTGAACTTAGTTTATGTAATTGGATGAACGTCTGACAATGTAAGTTTGTAGAGCTAAGGAAATGAATGAAAGTTGCAATAACCATTTAATGGATTGTTAGAATATGAGAGGAACAGGACAAGCTTCTAGCTTAGTGGACAGCATACAGCCCCTGGAAGATTTGTCTAATTAGGGTGACGAGGGGAATGTACAAAAAAATGTTGAACCTAAAGAATTGATACAAGAATGGAATTGAATCTGCTCTACTATGTATCGGACTATTGCAGTTCGTAATTAACCATTTTATTCACACTTGCCACAGGTTGTCAATCTCTTGAGCAGTATTTATAGAGAGGATAGAGGTGATGTCTAGCGCTGCAAAAGTTGTGGACCCTGCATTCCAGGGAGTGGGCCAGAGATCGTATCCTCCACGATGGGACAAACTTGAGGACCATTTGATGTTGCAAATTGTGTTTGTTTTTTACACATGATTATAGATCATGTGAATTCATGAACTAGTTTGAGGCCTGTTACATGAACTTGTTTGAGGCCTGTTAGGTTATTACTGTCTTCAATTTTCTACGTACCTTTGTGATACTTAACCTTGTCTTAGTGGGATTGAGATATGGCGGATTGAGAATTTTCAACCAGTTGCAGTGCCAAAGTCGGATCATGGAAAATTCTACATGGGGGATTGCTACATTGTCCTTCAGGTATTGTTTTTTTTTTTTTTAATCTCTCTCTAACATATTGGCGAATGGTGTGACATGCTGTCTTATTTATGTTTCATTTTCCTAACCTGTACATTAAAACTTAAAATTTCCTCATTTCTCTGTTAATTTTTTGGTCGGTAAGGAAGATGAATGGTACCTATAATAGTAAATTCTTGATGAAATGATACTCTTAAGTAAACTGTGCATAATATTGCTTTTTCAGTAAAACGACCTTATTGTTACTATGTTGAGCAATTTGACATTAAGGGCTTTTTGTCTCACCTTCTTTTGTGCTTATCGTAGACAACACAAAGCAAGGGAGGATCTTCTTTGTATGACATTCACTTCTGGATTGGAAAGGACACAAGTCAGGTGCTCTCGGGATGCTTTTCCCTTGCTCTCTTGTCACAGGGGCTTTATATCATGGACCTGTAATGTTTAGTACTGTTTTCTCATTGCATAACTACTAATTGCAGGATGAAGCTGGAACTGCAGCTATTAAAACTGTTGAACTTGATGCAGCTCTAGGAGGGCGTGCCGTGCAGCACAGAGAACTTCAAGGACACGAATCTGACAAATTTTTGTCTTATTTCAAACCCTGTATTATACCATTAGAAGGGGGTGTTGCATCTGGCTTTAAGACACCCGAGGTAGAAGAGTTTGAGACCCGGTTGTACGTTTGTAAAGGAAAACGGGTTGTCCGAATGAAGCAGGTAGTATTTACTTGTGTCAAATTTGTGAATTAACTATGCAGTTATATTGACTGAACGTGTGGATCATGGAAGCCTAACTTTGCTTCTATGTTTTATAGGTTCCATTTGCGAGGGCATCTCTGAATCATGATGATGTGTTCATTCTAGACTCTGAGAAGAAGATCTTTCAGTTCAACGGGGCAAATTCCAATATCCAAGAAAGGGCCAAGGCTCTAGAAGTTGTGCAGTTTTTGAAAGACAAGTATCATGAAGGAACATGTGCTGTTGCAATTGTTGGTGAGTGCAGCAGCTGTTTGAACCAATTTCCCAATTTCTTTTTTGCTTTCTAGTTGATTACTATCTCACATATGAAAATTTCAAGGTTTTCCATTTTATGTTGATAATGCTTAAGATTGCTCACTTCTGTGTGTTGATCGTCCTTCTGCAGATGATGGTAAACTGGATACTGAATCAGATTCGGGAGAGTTCTGGGTCCTCTTTGGTGGTTTTGCTCCAATTGGGAAGAAGGTTATCAGTGATGATGACATCGTTGCAGAGAGGATTCCTGCTAAATTATATAGGTAATCTTTCTTAAGTTCTACTTGGTTCTGTAATATGAGTTCGTGTTGGACATGGAAGAAATGTATGTGATTGAGCAATGCTTCTTTTGATGCATACAAGCAAGCACTTCCTATAAAATTGGGGCAATTAAATTTGCTTAAGTTAATAGTTACAGAATGTTCATTTAGACACAGTGTGACTTAGTTTTACACTTTTATTATCTTTACCCCATCTGCTATTAGCTGATTTTGTTGGCTTCCACTGATTCTCCTACTGTAATGAATCTTGGGCAGCAAGTTTGAACTATGAACTCCTATCTATATCCTTTTTCTTCTCTTCAAAGGAACTCACTGCTGTTTTACTCGGCTCTTTGACATATTCTTGATGCTAGTATGTGTTAGAAGTGGAAATAAGTTGCTAACTTGTATCACTTACTGTTTTAGCATTCATGAAGGCGGTGTGACTGCTGTGGAAGGTGAACTATCCAAAGGCATGTTGGAAAATAACAAATGCTATCTCTTGGATCGTGGAGCTGAGGTGTTTATATGGGTTGGCCGGTCAACACAAGTGGAAGAGAGAAAAACAGTGGGCAAGGTGGCAGAGGTAATGGAATTGGCATCCTCTCCAATTTTTTGCATTAAATATATGTGCATAGTCTCATACTAGAAATATTTTTGCAGGATTTTATTGCAAATGAAAACAGGCCAAGATCTACTCGTATAACCCGAGTTATTCAAGGTTATGAAACACATGCTTTCAAGTCAAATTTTGGTTCATGGCCTGCTGGGTCTGTAGCTCCGGGAGCCGAAGAGGGAAGGGGGAAAGTAGCAGGTAATGATATTTTCTTCAAACCTGTGGTAAAGTTCCATTAATCTATGCCTGTGATGCTTAGTTTTGTATTGTACATACTGGCAGCTTTGTTGAAGCAACAAGGCGTCGGTCTCAAAGGTTTGGGAAAAAGTGCTCCTGTGAACGAGGAAGTTCCTCCTCTGCTTGAAGGAGGTGGAAAATTGGAGGTCTAGTATTTATCTTGCTCTCATTGGTGTGCTTTTGGAAGTTAATTTTATGCATCAGGGATCTTCCTGAATAAAGCTTATTCATATATTCGCCCCTTTGTGCAGGTATGGTGTATCAATGGCAATGCCAAGACTCCTGTGTCTAAGGAGGATATTGGTAAATTTTATGGTGGAGATTGCTACATTGTTCTCTACACCTATCACTCTGGTGAAAGAAAAGAAGACTACTACCTTTGCTGTTGGTTTGGGAAGAATAGCATTGAGGTTAGTTACCATATTTGCAATTTAATCTTAAAGTATTATTCCTTTCTTTTCCAGCTTGATACTTTATTAGCTACAATTTTCAATGCTTTTGTGATGTTGAAGTGCTAGACCATGTCCCTGATTTGATGCTGTTGTTTAACTGATTTCTGTTTGTTATGTTTTTCGACAATCATAACTATACTTCAGGCAGATCAGCAGATGGCTACTCGTTTGGCTAATACAATGTCAAATTCTCTGAAAGGCAGACCTGTTTTGGTAAATGAGATTGTGTGCGGATTAAAATTTTTGGTACGCCGCTTTGTGGATAGAATGTAATATATTAATCTTGCAGGGGCGCATATTTCAAGGCAAGGAGCCACCACAGTTCATTGCCATTTTTCAGCCTATGGTGATCCTCAAGGTACTATAAATCCAGTAGTACTATTTTCGTTGATCCTGAAGGATTTTTCTATTAACTTTTGGGGCTTTTCCCTTGTTCATTTCGTTTGTTATTATTATTTTTCCAGGGTGGTTTGAGCTCAGGCTACAAAAAATACATAGAAGAAAAGGAATTGGCTGATGACACATACACGGCTGATTCTGTTGCCCTCTTCCGGGTCTCTGGAACTTCTTCTCATAACAACAAGACAGAGCAAGTAGATGCGGTATGTTTCTACTAGATGACTATTTGAGCTTATAAAACTATTAGCTGGTGATGAGATTGGTCTTACTCTTATGAACTAGTAAGGAGTCTGTATGCCAGGAAGAAAGGTTTCTCTGACTCTTCATTCATGTGCCTTATCTTGCATTCCTATTTCCGAGAGGACCTGCCGTACTTCCTTCCCTGGATTATTCAAACATATTTCTCATATTCATATAGAGCCATGACAACCTGAATATGGTTATAAATTTTGATTAATAGTTGATGTAAGCGTACAATATCCTTTTTCAGGTGGCAACCTCCTTGATTTCCACAGAGTGTTTCCTCTTGCAATCCGGCTCTTCACTTTTCACTTGGCATGGAAATCAGAGTGCTTTTGAACAGCAGCAGTTGGCTGCAAAAGTCGCAGAATTTTTGAAAGTGAGTTGTTTTTTCAATTTCATTTGTGACTTTAGTAGTAGCTGTACTATTGCAGAAATTCAGCAAAACTTTGTATGCATTTAGGAAGTTACCCTGCACATCCATATTTCTGACTGTTTTTTGTACCACTAATTCAGCCCGGGGCTACACTGAAACATGCTAAAGAAGGTACTGAAAACTCAATTTTCTGGTCTGCTCTTGGAGGAAAACAAAATTACACTAGCAAAAAGGTGACCCCAGAAAATGTCAGAGAACCTCACCTGTTCACAGTGTCGCTTAATAAAGGTGATATTATCTGCATCTTTATTTAACAGTAAATCTGCTAGTTTTTTTCTTCATATCATGACTTTGAGGGATCTGACAGTTGAATCTACTAGTGCATTGAATAAGATTCTAACTCTCTCTCTTATGGTTAATTTGCTGCTATTGGATCCCCCCAGGAAAATTGCAGGTGAGTTCTTGAGCCTTGAGTGCTGTGGATAGTTTATGTATTCAGGTACTTAATAAGATTTTTGCATCTCATGAGCAGGTTGAGGAAGTGTTTAACTTTTCTCAAGATGACCTGTTGACTGAGGATGTATTAGTGCTTGATACGCGAGCAGAAGTTTTTGTTTGGGTCGGTCAATCTGTAGACCCCAAAGAAAAGCAAAGTGCTTTTGATGTTGCCCAGGTTTCTGTCTAGCAATATACTGCTTTGTATTTCCTCTGTAGATGTCCAAGTGACTTACTGTACTGTATTATTTGCAGCAATATATAGAGATGGCTGCAGCTCTCGAAGGTTTGTCACCAAATGTGCCAATGTATAGAGTTACTGAAGGAAATGAGCCATCATTCTTTACAACATACTTTTCATGGGATTCCACAAAAGCCACTGTATGTTCTACTCCAGCTTCTGGCCCCTCTTTTATGATCCATTAGTTTCAATCCCATGTGTGCTTGATGCTACTTCAGAGGGCTTAAGATATATCTAGAACCATAAAATCTGAACGATCAGTATTTGAATAATAGACGAGAGTGCAGAATCCTAGAGCTAGTAACTCTTAGCTGACTTGTAAAATGAAATACTTGCTAGTTTTACTAGTTTGGTTCTTATGTGGTATGAATTTCATGGTTTGCAGGCTCTTGGGAACTCATTCCAAAAGAAGATGGCTTTACTCTTTGGAATAAAGCATCATGAGGTAAGGCCAAGATTTTAGACATGTTGCTTCTCATAGAATAAGAACTCTGAAATTGATGTCTTGGGTTGAAAATCTCTGAGGTAAGGCTAAGATGGTGTTGAAATCTCTGCATTTTTATCTCAAGTTGCGAATTTGATGTCTTGGGTGCCATTTTATTTCACTTCTATGTGAACCCTGTTTTTCCCGCAACCAGAAACCAAAGTTAGAGATCAAAATTGTTTGTTTGACTTACAGCTCTTCAATTCCCATGCTTACCTATTTTTAATGCTTACACCGTTAATTAAAACACTAATTCATGCTGTATATATTCATTCCTTTCCTAAGTCATCCTCATTCCGTTGGAATTTCACACACTTTCTAATATAATAGGCTGAATGCTTTAGCCATACATGATTGTTAGAAATAAATAAATAGTGAGTACACTTTCATGTGACAGGATAAGTCAAGTGGTAATCAAGGAGGAGGTGCAACCCAAAGGGCTTCAGCTTTGGCTGCCTTATCTTCTGCATTTAACCCTTCCTCTGGGAAGTCATCCCCTAGAGTAAGAATATAGTCAACCCAGATTTCAATTATTATCCGTCTTTCCCTTTTTGGGCTATTTTTCCATGGTTTCCATTCCAACTTATCTATACTTTCCCCCTTAAATAAGGGAACCATCACCATCTCGAACCCTCTGTGAACAACAAGTGCTTCTTCAACTTCTAAACTAATCGTTTTGTTGTGGTTTGCAGAGCCAGGACAGGACGAATGGTTCAAATCAAGGACCGACTCAAAGAGCATCAGCTTTAGCTGCTCTGAACTCTGCTTTCAACTCGTCCCCTACAGCCAGAAGCCCCTCTTCAAGGGGTTCTGGACAGGGAACCCAAAGAGCTGCTGCCGTAGCTGCACTTTCACAAGTTCTTACTGCTGAAAAGAAGAAAACACCCGACGGTACCCCTACTCAGAGCCCTAGCGCTGAAACCAAAACTCCTTCTGGTGAGAAACAAGTCTCATCAACTACTATTTAGCAAGCATTAGTTAGGAGGCTGTTATTCTGTCATGCCTGCAATATTTACTAGCATGTGTTTATTCCAGGTGAAGGGAAAAATGAAGCATCTGAAGTAGATCAAGGGTCTGAAGAAGGGAAGGAAATCGATGACACCGGGTCTGCATCTGGAAGCAACGCAGGGGGTGATTCTGAACCTAAACCCGAGTCTGAACAGGACTACGCCGACATTGGTCAGGTTGTGTTCAGTTACGATCAGCTGAAGGCTCGCTCAGAAAACCCCGTGACTGGGATCGACTTCAAGAGGAGAGAGGTTGGTCTGGTCACTGATGTGATCTTTCATTCCTTTTCAGGATATTAAGAAAATGGGTTTCTAAGATTTTGCTCCAAATTCTGCAGGCATATCTATCACCTGAGGAATTCGAGTCCATATTTGGGATGGACAAGGAAGCTTTCAATAAGCAGCCCAAGTGGAAGCAGGATATGCAGAAGAAGAAAGTTGATTTATTTTAAGCAGCCAAGTCACTATTCTGTTGTCTGCTACTCGTAAAGTTCTTGGGTTTTATTATTTTTCTGGTTCAGTACCAAGTTGTCTGGCTTGCTTCGATATGGCATTTTATTATTTTGCCTCTAGATGTGGGTTAGTATGCAAATTTTTTGGTTGTGGGCTGAAGAGCGAGCTTTCGTTTTGGCCTTTTGAAGAAGAAAAAGATATTCTTTGGGTTTTTGTTTTCTTGAATTGTAAGAATGTCAGGTTGTAGTGTTCTACTGAGGGAGTTGGGAAGGTCAAAATTCATTCATCTGGATTCATTTGTGCATCTGATTTGTGATTAATCTGTTTTACCTTTTTCCTTGGGGGAATATGTATATGGTATTGATACATATTATTGTACTCTATACAAAGACTGATACTCAGTAATGAAGGTTATGGTGTTTGGCATGTTATGTTTAATCCTCCTTAACATTAGCCGTTGATGTAAGGATGTGAAATGATAAATTCGTGCCTTCAAACTCGTAGTTTAACATATTTTATCGTGAAGTAAACTTTGCAGCTGATTATTTTGCTTCATTTGAACACTCGTGAAAAATGGCAGAACATATTTATGCATCACTTTGTAATTCTCTCGGTATTGGTTGTAGTTGGATCACATTTTTCAATTCTTAACAGAGAGAATAAGATGATGTACAGATTATGGCGAATACTGAATACAGTTAGTAGTAAGCAACTTTGTTCCAGGGGGGTAGTGTACTGTTCTTCCTGTGTATTGAGATAAAAGGAATGGCAGCATTGTTTCTTGAAATGTAGTATTGCTTCAGCTAATGATACCGTCGCCATTGATGCCAATGCGAGGTGTATTCATTTCTTATTTCCCAGTCAGTGTTGTTTCTCGAAAGTACAGTCGAAATCGGACAGCATATATTTTCAGGCTGAAACCACAAGACATTCCAGTAAGTTCTGGAACTAAACAAGCTACTGCACAGAATACAGATGGAGAAGCTATCTACCAAGTCACTTATGGCATTCACAGTTCAGTAACCTAAAACAAGGATAGCAGTATGTAAAAGCTCTTCTGTGACATTTTTTTCTCTTCCTTTTCTGGAGAAGGTGGAAGGGTGAGCATGATCCAAAATGTGTCCCTCATTTCAGCACCCAAAATGCCTTACAAGCATGCCAGGCTGGTTCGATGCTGCACTCCAGAGAACACCCCAACTGGAACGGGGTCTCGACAGGTTGCCATATCATCTCTATAACTTCAAAGACCTAAACGAAAAACACGAGATTGTGAAGTTCGAAGGTCAGGATGTAGATATACCATCCCGCTTCAGCAGTTCCTGCAATAATAACCGTAAACAAAAGGGGGAAAAATGTTCAATGTTCATACCAACAAATCTAGACAACAACACTTCCACGGTAAGCATGTACACTTCAAGAGATAGTATATACCATTTTGGTTGCTGCAACAGCCCTGTGCTGCCTTTCTTTTTTCCGACGAAGACATTCCCCACACCAACTAGAGAAATCAGTCTGATATCTCTTCAGCTCTCGGTATGCCGAACTGGAAGACACGTGGAAATGAACTTACCAACATTATTTATTCCATTATCCTGGAAAGGGAAGATAGCTGGAAGTTATAACTGTTTTACCTTCTGCACCACATAATCAGGTTTAACCGTTCTCCAGAAGTCGTAGCTCTGGCACCATGCCTATGGCGACCTCGATGAAGAACTGCACGTCCTGGAATATGGGAATAATACCCTACTTCCTGTTGCAGAAAGTGGGATTATTAAGCCTTCATTTGATCATGTTCTCCAGATCCGGCTTAGGTGTTCAATCATGGAACCATAGCTCTAGTCCCACAAGATGCATCGACCCTAAGCAAAAGACAGTAATTGAAAACTAGACCTATTACTCACCAACCCCATCTTCCTAATAGTGTCTCATAAGGCTTGAACTAAAGGTTGAAGTTCACAAGGAAATAAAACAGCAAAAAAAATTTGCCACTCAATAGAAGGGGAGGGTTGTGGGATGGGAGACAAGGCGCTTTAGCTTTGGAATTACCTCTTGGTGTGTCCCAGTGTTCACATGTTTATCACACCGAACTCCACGGAAGTACAATTCTCCACCGAAGAATTCCTTACCCAAGCAAACATTCAAGGTGACTTCTGAATCATCAACATGGAAGCCTACCCAAGAAAAGGGCAACATTGCATACATATTACAAACTTTATCATACAAATACAAGTAACAATAGAATAGAACAAAATCAGACATGGACTCAATGGAAAGCGTTAAGCAAAGAGATGGCAGTGTCTAACAGATTGAATAAGCATGTACCAAGCTCAACATCTTTATCTGCTCCATACTCAACAATGAAACCATGGTGAGAATCCAGAGCTAATTTGTTAATCTCAGGGAAGAAAACTGCACAACAGTTAAGCAAGAATTTGTGAGTCGGATAACACTGTACCATCTAATTTAGCTTGTTAGAAAAAGTAGCAGTAGAAGGATTTATTCACCTTTAGCCATTGGACGTAGATAAATATCCATCAGCTTATTAAGCATTGGTTCCAGGCCAAAGTCGTCAAGAACAGCACCGTATTTGTTCATTGTGTTCGGGCGCATGATTTTGAATTTTTTATCGTGCACCCACGTCTCAATGTTTTCTACCTAACAACACAAACCTTATAAGAAAATACAATCACATCCTCAAGTAATACTGGGAACTACACTACTACATGCTAAACTCTGAAATCAACTGTAAAAAACCTCAGAAATCAGCATCTCGCAGAAATTTGGCTGAAGCATTTCAAAGGAATAGACTCCAGGTGTGGGTTCTATTATGATATTTCTGAAACTCTCCTCTGTACCCGCATTGACTGCTTGGAGAAATGATGGGACAAAAAATTTCGTCTCGTCAAGGGTTTGTAGCTCCTTGTAAAGAGGCTGCAGCATGTAAGTGTACAAGAGGTGTGAGAGCTGGAAAGAGAAAAATAACTTACAGAGAAGAGATTAGAAGGGGCAAAAAGAGCACAAGGAGCTAAGAATAACAAATTGCAAATGTAAGTTTTAAATGAGAACAGAAAGAAAAATTAATATATAGAGTAATGTATCAAACCATAGCAGCATAAGCTGCTAAGTTTCAACTTTTGAATGACAGATTGAAAAACACACCAATAAATTGGTATTTTACTTCACGAAACCAGTCTTTGACAACAACCACGCCATTTAACTTGCACACTGCATTGGCACCATAATTTTCAGAAACTAAACAATGCCTTGTCCCTTTGATAGTAGGAAAATTAAAAGAAGATTCTCCATTTTCTTCATATGCAGTAGAGAATTAAGATTAGGAAACTGGGAGAAAAAACGTATATGCCAGTTTCTCTTGCAAGTTCCATCACGCAAAAGCCTATGAGTTCATCTGAAACAATGTAGCGCAAGAAGGAAATCATCAAAGCCTAAATTTTTGGATAAAGGAGCAAACTGATTTGCTGTCCCACAAGGATTTCAACACCTAAATGATCAGACCAAGAAGTTGAAGCATGCAAGCATTTAGCGAACCTCATTTACGAACCAATCCCATTTGGACTTCTATTGTAATGCTAATCAAACCTTTCACTAGTTGCAATTTGTAGATGACAAATGAAGAAAATGAAGCTGTGGCAATGAAAGAGAATCTAGCTACTAAATCGAAAACGTAGGACTGTAAGCATCGGAGGAGAAATGTGCGACGAATCAACATTAGACGAAAATAGCAAACAAGCATATGTGGTGATGGAGAAAGAATGCTGGCCATAGAAGAACCCCGCTAGACATCCCAGAGAATTCAACGTACTAAGTAAGAAGTACCTGATAGTGAGACATAATCTGCTCACGGTATTCCCTTTGCTTTTGGATCTGGCGTTTATAATAATGCAACAACATAAGATACCACAATATCACAACCTAAATAACAAAAGTTTCCTTTTTTATTGATAGCTACCACCCTAGAAAAATTCAGCCAATGTACGAAAAACATCAATCGCCTAAGAGTCATGGGAAATAGTCAAGCTGCATGAAAGCTATCAGTTGTATACTGTCCTAAACTATATTCCACCAGATGGTATGCCAAAACCAAGTAGCTCCCATTTTCTCTTTTTAGTAAGGAGGAAGCCAATTTAAACAATCGTAATTGTCAAGATGTTACAAAGAAGAAGAAACCTTTTTTGGTCCCAAGGGCAATGGGTAACTATAGAGTTATAGTTCCTACATTGAACGCAACGAACTGGAAATGTCAAGAAATGAAGGATCAAACTCAAAACCAAACAAGACCCACAGCTCAACAAATTCACGAATCATACTTCCTCCAAACAGACTTGAAATACGATCCAAAGAAGTAAAGCGGGATCGGAAGCAACTCACGCGAGTTCGCTCGGCCTCAGGGAAGTAGCGAACGAGAATATCTCTCATGAACTGGATTTTGGCATCACGGGACAAATTGAGCATCGCCGGAGGCAAGTAACGCTCCAGTGAGCTGAAGAGGAGAGGGCTGAACTCCAATTTCAGGTCATCGTAGGCCTCCGGTTTGTGCTCTGAGTTAGGGCTCAGCCTCAGCCTGCTGCTAGTGACCTGCAACATCGCGGGAAACAGAACGCCGTTCCCATTTCCGGTGGGCAGAGCCATAGATAGACTTTGTGTGGATTTTGATCTCAAATAGCGAGCACATCAATTCTCCCACGGTTTGGGAATCAAATTCTCATTGCTTCTTCTACCTTGATCAGAGGAACTGGGAATTAGGGTTTGCAGAGAGACGACAGGCGGACAGGGGGAAGTATGTTTTGATGTTTGCGATGCAGGTTAGGGTTTTGCTTCCAACTATCCGTAGGAGGGCCCTACTTGTGTCAAAAGCCAGTTGTACATGAACCCTAGTCGTTTTGAGCACAAAGCCAACAAATTTTTTAATGAAAAGTGAGAATAATAAAAAATAAAAAAACCCGGTTCATTGTCGACATGATCATCGTTCGTACCATACTTTAGCACATCAAGGATGATATTTACTTATACGTTATATTGTTTATAAATGAAGAAGAAAGTCATCAGCTTTTTCGTCGAACATTGTTCATAAGAAATTGAAGATGGTCACCCAGTAAACCGGTAAGTGTTGAGGTAGTAGTGAATGATTCATAAAAAAAAATTCATATTATTAGATCTAAAGCGTTGAACCAAGTTGTGTTGTAGATATGATGAGTTTCGGCCTAGGTTAGAAAAACTGAAAGTGAACTTGAGATCTTTACCCACTCAATCATATCATGAGGGTGTATTCTGTTAAGGTGACGGTGCATTTGGAATGACATAGTTGAGGAGGAAAACGTCTTCTTTCATATGTGACAACAACATTAATGAGTTAGAATAGTCTTAATTCCATGGAAAACTCATTTGATGAGAACAAAATCTTATTACCAAGCTAACTTCTCACAAAATATACAATGTATATCATTGGAGTTTTTATCATCCAAACTAACACGAGTGTTCCAAACAATCTTTGGTCTGTCTCTAAAAATTCCACAATGTCGTCAACAAGATTCATTTTTCTTATTTTGTTGTCTATTTTTAATTCTGAGGAGCAAAACGATGAAACGGAATAAAGCGGAAAAGAGGAGAAAAAACGAACAGGAGAGAGAGGGATATGCTGAAAATTCCACATCATCAATTCATCATCTCAAGTCAAGCGTACGTATATTGGGTATTGAAATGGTGGATATGGCTTCTCCTTTGAGGATAATAAAGAACATTGGAATCGGAGGACACAATTCCCAGCTGGACTCACTCCCTCCTCCGCCGCCGCCATGTCCTCCGCCACCACCTCCGCCGCGGCCGCTCTCTCTTTCCCACCTCATTCCCTCCTCTCCCACAAAACCCATCTCTCTTTCCGGACTCACCAACGCTCTTTCCCCCTCACCAACTCCTTCTCACCTGCCGCCACTCTCCGAGTCAAAGCTTCTTCCTCCGACCCCTCATCACCTTCCCCAGGTATCTCTCTCTCTTGCATTCTGGGTTGTCTGAACTAGATAGTAATGGCGGAACTTTCGAAATTCGTGGGGTCAATTTCATGGTGGAAAATTGGCTGTTGCTCATTGGGGGTTTTGATGAATTCTGTCATTCTGAAGTTGCCCATGTTAAAGTTTGCTCGTACGATCATCTTGATAAAGTAAAGTAGTTGTCTTTAGGGAGTATGTGTGCTTTGTTTCTTCTCTGATCCATTGCTGAAGTATTGTGGCGATTGTTCCTGCAGCTAAAGGCGGCGTTGAGAATGTGGTAATCATAGGTTCGGGTCCTGCTGGATACACGGCAGCAATTTATGCTGCTCGAGCAAATTTGAAGCCGGTGGTTTTCGAGGGATATCAGGTAGGTGGCGTGCCTGGTGGACAGTTGATGACTACTACTGAAGTGGAGAACTTTCCTGGTTTCCCCGATGGAATAACTGGTCCAGATTTGATGGATAGGTAGGAAATAACGGAAGGACTAGCTAACTATCTTGTTTTTGTTATCTGATGACAAATAAAGAAGCTGGCTTGGCTTGGTCTGTAAAACTGTTGTTCATCATCTTCTTTCTTCATGATCACATTTTAGGATGCGGCGTCAAGCTGAGCGTTGGGGAGCAGAGCTGTACCAGGAAGATGTTGAATCTCTCAATGTGACGACCCATCCATTTGTTGTGGAAAGTAGTGAACGTAAGGTGATGTGATCTCGCGGTTTTCATTTTGGGATAAGTGTAAGGTGATGTGAGCTGAATGGCATGTTCTTGGCATGCCTCATTATTTTGTAATTGTTTAAGTATAGAACTTGATCGATTTTTCCATAGCTACTCAAAACTGTTGGTCTTCTTCTTGAAGCTGAAGCGCATTGAGCTTTGAATTTGTGTGCGGAAATGTGAATCATGGAAAATGGCAACATTGTTGTACCTCGATGATTTTGCATTTTTCAGGACCTGAATTAGTATGAATCATAAACCTTGCTTTAATACTTCATATACTTTTTTAGTTAAAAAGATATTGGAATTGTATTAAAATATAAACAGAGATAAGAAAAGAATGATTGATCAATGAGCATAAGGCTGGCAAAAGCTTCCATACCATTTCCAGACTGAGTGCATGTGAATAAATTTGTTCCTGTTTATTGAGTTGCTGCATTGAACACGTCGTTGCCACCTATCCGTCTAATATACTAATATCTCAGGTTATATGTCATAGCCTCATTTATGCAACTGGAGCTACTGCAAACAGGCTCAGATTGCCTCGTGAGGAAGAATTTTGGAGTAGAGGAATTAGTGCTTGTGCAATTTGCGACGGAGCATCTCCATTATTTAAGGGCCAGGTTCTAGCTGTTGTTGGAGGTGGTGATACAGCAACGGAGGAAGCTATATATTTAACCAAATATGCCCGCCATGTTCATCTACTTGTACGCAGGGACCAACTCAGGGCATCTAAAGCAATGCAAGATAGGTGAGCTTATTGGTGGAATTTTCCCTGAAATGCCTTCCCTGAAGTTCTTTGATGTGTATATCTGTGAACTTTGCTGTTGCTTAGAGTTTTCACACCTCTGTTTCCTGTTTCTATTTGTCATCGGTCGTTTGATGTCAGATATCATACTTGTAAACTTGTACGTTGAGTTTTTCAACTTCCTGAATGTTTGTTTAACAGGTTGATTATCACGAATGTTTCAGAGTGTTCAACAATCCAAATATCACTGTGCACTTCAATACAGAGACGGTGGATGTGGTTAGCAATACCAAGGGCCAGATGTCTGGTATATTGACCAGAAGACTTGATACTGGCGAGGAAGTGGTTATTGAGGCAAAAGGCTTATTCTACGGTATTGGGCACTCGCCAAATAGCCAACTATTAGAAGGCCAAGTTGAACTTGACCACACAGGCTATGTTTTAGTTCGGGATGGTTGTGCAACAACTTCTGTGGAAGGTGTATTTGCGGCTGGAGATGTACAGGTAAATCTTGATGAAACATCCAATTTACTGTGCTGCTTTAATTTGGCTGTCGTGTCATGGGGTACCTTAGATGTGCAGTTTTTGGCTGTTGTAATCAAAACAGTGATGTGTATTAATTCAGGACCATGAATGGAGGCAAGCTGTCACTGCTGCTGGATCAGGATGCATTGCAGCTTTATCAGCAGAAAGATATCTTGTGGGCAATGATCTGCTTATAGAGTTCCATCAGGTTAGCTTCCTTTCCTGTACATTACTTCTAGGTTCTTGATGAACCTTCTGTTTTGATTTATGCAAGGAGGCATTACTTTCCAGTTTGTGCTGCGGATTAATAGTCAAGCCAACTTTCTCAATAGGTTGCTGAGATAAGCATAGACCACGACTTAGTACTTCAATAGGATAAAACCAAACTCCTTGCACTGGCTTTAGATGTTAACTGGAGTTCCTCATGTCTTAATTCATCTTGGGCTATCTTATTCTAATAGAGATATTTGACATATTCATGTTTGAGGTTGGGCAGTGTTGTAGGCATGGATTGGTAAAAGTTCTTGGGGGCGAATTTGTCCATTAACAAGCTAATTTAAAGATAAAATTTCCGAACGTCTGTCAAATTTTGAAGCCTCAATTACTTTCCTGTTCATGATTCGACTTTTTTCAATTCACGAATGATCTTGTATCAAATCATCCACTAAATCGAAGAATCCTGTATCATATCATCCACTCCTGATATTCTCTCCATGATTCTGTATTTGACAGCCTGCAACCGAAGAGGTTAAGAAGGAACTGACTGACAGAGATGTTCAGCAGGGCTTTGACATTACCCGCACAAAGCATAAGGGCCAGGTGCTTGTTTTAGCCTACAGTAGTTACTATTATTGCTATAATGATTATCTCTTTATCTGCAGATAATTAGACTAGCTGTTTGATCCCAAGTAATTAGTTAGCTGTTGCTGGTTCATGTGTTATATGAGTTTTGATCTCCAACAAATAATGTATTGAGCTATATACAAAAGCCTTATTGCAGACATACCCCATTGATTATGAAATTAGTGAACAGCAATTCCATATAAAATGATAAAAAAATCAATTGTAGTGTGGTCAATTGAAAACCTCATGTCATCTGCACAATACATGTTCATAGTGTCAAGAACCAGTTGCTCCCAATAACTCGAGTTGTTGGGAGAGGGTTCTGCTGGATCTTATACCATACTCTAACACGCCCCCTTAAACGAAAGCCAACCCATGGGCTTGAAGTTTGCACAGGCCCACCATACCATGTGCTTGAAAGACAACAGTTAATATTGGGGGTCGTGGAGATTCGAACACATGACCTTTCGGTTCTAGGCTCTGATACCATGTCAAGAACCAGTTGCTCCCAATAACTCGAGTTGTTGGGAGAGGGTTCTGCTGGATCTTATACCATACTCTAACACATAGAACTCTTAAAATGATACAAAATTTCCATCCGTCAAAAGAAATCAGGTAATTCTTCACAAGTGGTAACTTCATCATGAGGTATATGCATGGGTAGAGTATCATTATATTCTAGTAAATCTGTTACGGTATTATGCTGACACACACTCACGTACTTGATATATTCAACTATCTTACAGCTCACACTCTTCTTTGTTTCTGTTCTTAGTATGCTCTAAGGAAGTTATATCACGAAAGTCCAAGGCTTGTGTGTGTACTATACACATCACCAACTTGTGGTCCATGCAGAACTTTAAAGCCAATTCTTAGCAAGGTGTGTCTTTTTCTAGTTTGTGCAAGTTGTCTAATCTTTACAACTCAAGCTCGGAGTTAGTGGCTATTGTCAAGTTGCTAATATATATCCTGCACAAACGTTGCTGTTAAATGTTCATTTAATGGATTATTACTAGAATGAAAACCTTCAGTGTTTGTTTTGGTCAAGTGTAAATCTTCCTTCCTAAAAAGGAACGAAACAAACTTTTCGCTAAACACAGTGTCCACAGTTATTTTCAAATATAACTGATTTTGATGATTTGGTGTTAGTATAACCACAGAGGTTCTAATATGTATGTATGACAAGCTTTCATATCAATATAAAATCTCCATGTTGCCTTCAGGTGTAGAGTATGTCATACTTCATTGGCTGATTGCAGGTAATTGATGAGTACGATCAAAATGTACATTTTGTTGAAATTGACATTGAGGAAGATCCAGAAATAGCTGAAGCTGCTGACATTATGGGCACACCATGTGTTCAGTTCTTTAAGAATAAGGAGTTACTCAGGTGAGCGAATTCGTATTTCTTTCATATACAGACTTGTGGTTTGACTACTATTCCCTTAATCAATTGTAGCGAGGAAACATATCTCTATGACTGGACTAGGTACAGACCTTAATAATTTCTTGTATCTGCATGCAGGAAGGTACCCGGGGTGAAGATGAAGAAAGAGTACAGAGAATTCATTGAAGCAAATAAATAAGATCCCTTACAAACCTTGTTTCAGCAAGGCCCCATTTTGTGAAATGTGATAGTTTAGTTGAATATTGCCCCCATATTCTCCTTACTATTATCTTTTGCATCAGCCAACACTGTGCCATTATTATCCGTGATGAGTTCCAGTGAAATTTTAGGATGCCATTGTGCGAATTTCTTATATCTACACTCTTTCACTCAAGATATTTGTCAATACTTCCATGGGAAAGGTGTGAAAACAAATGCAGCTTCCTTCACTAATACAGAAGGATATGGAAAGTTGTAAATTGTTGGGGTCCGAAGCTTGCATCATCCAGGAACAGAATGGAATTGCTACTTCTGTTTCCTGTTCTGTTACAATATGATAATAATGATCATATTTTACCCTTGGGGTAAAACCTAGTTGATGTTTCTGATAATAGATAACTTAGTTATCGACCACTCGTGGGGTAAATTCTGCGGAATGGTGATGATATTCTCTGCTTGCAGCGAAGTGCGATGACTAGGAGTAGCCTGTAACATAGCAGCAAGCAGAAGAGAGCTACTACGTCCCACCACTTTGAGTACTGCAGGTCAATACCGTAAGTATCCTGCAGAATAGCTTCACCTTTAATCTTTGCTTCTCCAGGTACCACGGCATCAAACTCTAGTCCAATCATGTCGTTCTTCAGGTTCCCTTGTGTTCCCCAAGCTGCAAAACTGATGTAGGACAAAGGGTACCGCCAGAAGATCTTAGGAAGCTCGGGCAATGGTCTGAATACATTTGATGGCATCAGGTTGAGCATGGTCACACCAATAGCTGCCCCCATCGACGGCAATGGATTGGAAACGAGGGAAGCAGTCACAAAGACGGAGGCTTCAGAGACGGAGATGCAAAAGAAGAGGTTGATGCAGAAGTAGAGCAAGTGCGAGAACCCGGGATGAAACTTGACCAGGCTGTAGATTATGGATCCTGAGGACAAGGATATGACTATGGTGAATGGTAAAGAGGAGAGGAAGTTGGACAACACGTAAGCTGGCTCCCCATAATAACCGGCCAGTGTCTCGCCCTTGAAGACCTGAGAATAATCAACACAGTAAGTGTATGGCGAGAGTGCAAGCTAGTTGTCTTCCTCTTAATTAGGCTGTGTTTGTTTTCAGCAAAAGAAACATACTAAAGCTGAAACACACTCTTAGTGTCCTTTGGAGATACCTTGATTTCGTCGAGGAAGAAAGGCAAGCCGCTGACGGACAAGAAGATCATGATGCCATAGATGAAAGCGACGACCTTGCCTCTGGCTATCACAGAGTCACTCGAGGTTCCAATGTCGAACTCCAAGGAGCCGGTGCTGAGTGCCACCAAGCTGTAGAAGACGATCCGGAGCCAGTAGTATCCGAGGTCTCTAGACATGTTGAGGATGGAGCGATGTGTCAGTGTGCAGAATTGCTTCCACCAGCATTGTTTAGGTCGCTGCTGCTGCTGCTGCTGCTTCCCAATCCTCCTCTGCCCATCATCATCATCATAGTCATGTTTCTCCTGACGTGCGAGTTCTTGAATCTTTTTCCTCGCAATCTCGGGGAAAATGGACGCCTTATATTTCGCCACGAGAGTTGCTCTGATCTCTGCTGTTGTCAAGTTCACTAACCCATCTGTTGCTGAGAGTTCCTGTTGCATTTCAAGCAGTTGATATCAGTTGGAATCCGGTAACCATGCCTTCTAGCTAAATAAAGAAACAAGGATGGAAGGGAAAACGGTCTTTGTTTGATGTCTAAGTAACTAACCACATAGTTTCGTCTTTGTGTCTGCTTTAGGGCAGCAAAGACTTGATCGAACTCCGGAGTAATGCACCGGAGGAAATGGTCCGGCGGGTTTCTTCTAGTTGGGCATGGGAAGCCTGAATCTGCAAAGAACTGTAGACAAAAATAGATTTTGAACGTTGAAAAATGGCCATGAATACCACTAATTTGAATCTAATAGAATCTAGTTATAAAAATCAACCCGTGTCACTCTTATAAAAAATGTCCGCGAATAAATAAAATCAAACCAGAATGGGGTTAACGAAAATAGAGAATAACCCTATTTTGGCATGAACTTTGAATCAAAAGAGGCCATGAACTTTCAAATGAGATAGTTATGTCCGAATATTGAAATTAATGGACAAATTCAATACAAAATTTGGGTTAGATCATTAATATTGACGGTTAACATTTTTTTTCTTTCGGTGCCTTAACATTTAGTGTTAAAGTGACTGCGACATTACCTATTCATATACAAAACTAAATTTAACATGAAATTTGAAGGAAAAAAATCCCTCCAAATTTTGGATATCTCCATAGACAAAAATTTCTAAATACATTTTTTTTTTTTTAATAACTGGGTGTAGTTTCGAGTCGGGTGAGATTCCAATGCCTAAAATCATATGAAACTCTCGTAACATTCTCTGATTTAAAATATCACATCCAAACGACCCACGTGACATTAATCCTATGCCCTAATCTTCAAGCTTGTTGGTCGATAATAAACTTTGCTTCACCGACAAAGGTCCCGCAGCAATGAAAATGAAAAGATGCGTGCCTTATTTGGCAAATCCTGCCTGGACCAGAATTAGCCAAGAGCTTATATTCACTCAACGGCCAACGCCATCACCTACCACATTAATATCTCCCAATCATGCAGTGTGGATAAAATCATGAAAACGACCTTGAACCAGTCATGCTGGGTATTATCCGATTTGATCTATGATGGCGTGGGTACTTCATCTGCGATTTGATCTATGATGCTGGGTATTATCCGATACTTTCGATCGACCTGTTCTTATCCATTTTTTGCCATTTCTATATTAATTTCTTACAATATTTTGAATATTTTTCAACTAGTTAGACTTGATCTTTCAACTAATTCGACTTAATTACCCATTCTATTATCACTATTTTTCATTTATAAAGCGATTTTCCGGTAAAGTTAATTAAATTTTACGCGTATTTTTTTTTTTACCTTGACGGCACCTTGGGAATCACCAAAATAGACGGCTTCGCCGGCGGAGATGAGCAGCAGGTCGTCGAACAGCCGGAACACGTCGTCGGTGGGCTGGTGGATGGAGCAAACCACGATCTTGCCGTCGCGGCGAGCGACGTTGCGGAGCGCCTGCACGACGAAGAACGCGGCGGCGCTGTCGAGCCCGGTGGTTGCCTCGTCGAGGCAGAGCACCTGCGGCTGCGCCAGTATCTCGACGGCGATGCTCAGCCGCCGCCTCTCCCCGCCGCTGATCCCCCTCAGGTGCCAGTTCCCGATCGTGTTGTCGGCGCACTCCTCGAGGCCCATCTTTGTTAATGTTTCATCGATGGCTTCGTCGAGCTCGGCGGTGGTGAGCTCCGGCAGCCGGAGGCGGGCGCCGAAGTAGAGCGTTTCTTTGACCGTCAGGGTTCCTAGGAACACGTCTTCTTGTGTCACGTAGGACTGAAAACACAACAACAATAACCAAAAATTGACAATGTAAGACGATATTATTTTCTTACTATCCAATTCGAATTACATACAATAAAATTTATGAATTGTGGTGTACATTCAAGGTAATATATATATATATGCAATAAACTTGTGAATTAATGTATGGTTTTCTTATTTTGTGCAATGTCAATATACTCGTAATCACTAACAAACTTCGTGAGATAATATAGAGAACTACAAATTTTTGTAGCTATCCGGAACCGGAAAGAGTACGAGACATGATTTTTATTTATTACTCGAACATTGTGTAGGAAAAGATAGGGGTGGCAGTTCGGTTATTTTGGTTATAACCGGTAACCGATCGGTCGGTTATCGGTTACACCGAAATAATCATCCTCCTTATCGAACACCGACCGAAGTAGGCTTCGATTTCTCGGTTATCTCGGTTATCGATTAACCGAACCAATTTTAAGACCAAAAACCATTTCGTCCAGCCTCCGATAACCGATCGAAGTTCGGTTACCGATTAGTGGATAACCGACCAGTTATCGGTTTAACCTTGGTAACCGAACTGCCACCCCTAGAAAAAGGTACGATTAAAAAAAAACTAGTTCGAGAAAGATTAGTTGATATTAACTATTTGTTCTCAGTAATTAGACCATATATGCATGTAATATTTTACTAAATGAGGCTTTTTTATACCACATCTCGGCAGCTGATGAGGGAGCTGCTTCGGTTCATCTTCTCGCCGGCCGGCGGCGGGCTGCCGCCTCTGAGCAGGACCTTCCCCGCCATGGAAGCTTGAGGTGAGAGCCTGCCGGCTAAAGCGTCGAGGAAGGTGGATTTGCCGGAGCCAGACGGGCCCATAACCGCCATGATCCGATGAGACTCTGCAAGCCCAGTAAGCCCACTCACCAAGCACTTGTTCTTCTTCTCCTTCTTGCCATTGGCGAGTGTCACTGTAACATCCTCCCAAACAAGGCATCTGCTTCTGCAACTTCTCGCCATATTGCTGCAATATTGATTTCCTGCCGGCCGTCGCGATATCTCTAGCTACCGGCTCTCAGCTGCATGCCTATATATATATTGTGAAATGAAAGCCAGAGAGTAGTGCCATAAATATAAGGAAGTGGCTAAGCTGTAGGTAGCTTTCAAACAACTTGACTCATTGAGATTTTATGCCGAGAAGCAGTTGTTCCTAATAACTTGAGTTGTTGGAAGACCGTTCAATTACGGATTATATATCATTTACTAACACACCGCGCCGTCAAAGACGAAAGTCCATTCGGATTGCATGTGTGCTTTAACAGAATGAATGGAGTTAATTATATCGGGAATTGGCCGGACAGATGACCACTAGGTTACTCTCGACCGTTAGAAAAGGGTATATATAATGTCATGTCAAGAAACCGGTCGGCCACAATAACTCCAGAATTGTTAATTAAGAGATATTCAATTATGCAGCACACATACATACATATATATATATATATATATAGTGGCGTCTTCGGTGCACTCACTTTTTTGGGTGCATTCAGTGCACTCGCTTCATAACTGTTATTTTAAACATGCGATTTATGTCAAAATGATGTCAATTATCACTTATGATGTGATGAACAACAGCGCACATGAATTTGCACAAAAACCATTAAGGATTTACTTTTATTTGAAGGATTTAGAGTTTAGAGATTTAGGATTAGGGTTAGGGTTTACAATTTGGGGTTTAGGGATAGATATCAAAATTGGAGGTCTAGGGCTTAGGGTAATCCGCTAATTAGTTGTTATCATATGTTATACCATCATATTACAGTAATTCTACAAATTAAAATTCAAAATCCGACACCTTAAGACTAGTTTTTGAGTTGGGTGCATTGAACGCACTCATTTTTGTGAGTACACCGAAGTAGTCACCATATATATATTTCGCTGTACGCTTGCGTTTACACTTGGTTTTTGCACTTCAACATATTTCGTTGAATCGGAACCGTCGGTTATTATTTTTTAGATTAAATGGATCTTGTGGCTTGGGTTAGAGAATTAGGGACTGGGGTTCGCCCATTAGAGGTTATGGTATAGTATCATGCCCAAAACTCCGGTTAATTCGTGCTCTAAATAGTAAAACTCGACGGACATACAATGTACGACTGACGTACGTTACGCTTAACCATATATATATATATATATGACATAATGTCAAATCTGGTTTGTCCGTGTAAGTTTCGGAGTTGGCTTTTATCTGACAAGTAAATAAAAAGTGATTAAGTATTATAAATGAAACTCTCTCCGCTTCTCAAATTATTGCAACAAAGTGGGTTATTACTTATTAGTTATTACCGCGAGATAGAGAGAGAGGGGGAAAGAGAAGCGCGTATTGTAATGAATGCATACACACACATGCCGTATAGTTAGGCACCGGTCTACTGTACTCTTAGTATTTTTCCTGTGCTTTTATTGACCGCAGCAAGCAAGTAGTCGACTACTGATGCGAACGTTTCAGTCTCTGGGCCCAAAGGAATTGCACATTCAGGACGCCATTCCTTATTGGGACCGGATTCATGAATGAAGCCTTTCCAAACTCTTTTGCAACTTGCAGTACAGATAATAAATAAACTTCGACCCCGGCCCAGGCCCAGGCCCAGGCCCACTCGCTCGCTCCCATACCCTCGTAATAAAGGTTTTTGTCTTCTTGTTCTGAAAGCAGCTTCAGCTTGCCCTCTGATCTCAGGCAACTATGGCCAGGCCAGCGATGGAACGATATGCCTTTGTTGAAATATAAAAACTATATAGGTATTTATTATTTCGTATATTCTAGAAAATTTTATATATATCGACTCTCAAATCATGTACGTCACATTCTCTATACATCATCGCTCTGCCTTTTGCAACTTGCATGATCCATAAGTATGAGGTTATGTCGTAGATATGCTCCCCGAGCTAGCTAGATGTTCATCGAAATTGACTGATCGGTTAGTCTCAAAACGGACCGAACCAAACCAAACCAAACCAGTTGAGATTTTAGGTTACTTTCCCAAACGCAATCTTTATTTCTTCTTCTTCTTTTTTTCTGTGTCTACAGTTGGTGAACGTGATTTTAATGGGCGGTGTGTAATATAGTTGGCAAATTTAAGAAATCTTTGGTTAATGGCCGATGGACCCGATTGCACCAAATCAAACTTTACTTGTGGTACATACTAGAAATAAGAAACTAGAGAGGTTTGTGTGGCGTAGCCAGAGATATAATTTAGTGGGGTCCAAATATGACCAAATACGAAGTTTGTCTCGATAGTAAAATCATTGTCTCGGGAAGAGGGGGTCCGTGGTTCTAAATTTATTAACCTCACCTTAAAAATCCACCATTTTTAATGTATATTCATTTTCCAAGTGGGGTCCATGGACCCACAACCCCTCACCTAGCTCCGCCAGTGGTGGCAGTGTATGGTTGTGTTAGAAAGAGGATAATTCATAATGTTTTTCACATTTTTTATTCTTGTTGACAGTGGAAACATTTTCAAATATATACTTCGCTTTCGGTTATCATTGGTTAACATGTTGTGTCAATCAAGGAAAATAAAGAATGTTTTACACGATATAAATTGTCACTATTTATGTTTTGTCCATCTTTGGTACTATAGCTACCCCTCGCATTATTTGTAGATAATAAATTTGCTTGTGTATTTTGGGTGAGATTAAAAGTTCTATTTTTAATTAACATTTATCTTCTTTTGGACTACTCGTTATCATCATTGTACCACCTTTTACCACATTCATTTTCAACTAAAATTTTACACAGAAGAAACGAGTTCACGAATTCATCCTAATCTACAGATGTTGGTATATTTTTAAAAATAATTTGGCACCAAATGTACCACCATTTACCACTATACCATAGTAGTAAATTAAATTAATGTATATGGTGGTGGAAGGCGTGGTAGCTAATGGTCTTACTATGATATGTACACCATTCTACACTATAGTACATTTCTAGCACCCTATTACACTTCCATACAAGGATTAACCGTACCAGAGATTGTATCGGAAAAGTCAGTGGTAGGGTATTTATGTTGAATTGTGGTTTAAGTTTAACCGGGGTTCAATCATTCCATACCGCTGAATAATGCCTACTGGTTTAACCTTCAGTAAAAGGTTTTACTAGTCGAATCGTTGATACGATACGATTTCCAATCATTACGTCTATACCATCATGGTATAATTTTATGTATTATGGTACATGATAATAGTAAAATATGTCTCAATTAATATTTTTTTAAATATATCAAAGTAGTTATCATTTTGAAAAGCAAGATTCATCTGATTGTTATGTGAAAATTTAAAATTTAAATAAAAATGAAAGAGATATAGTTCGTTAAATATTTCAGGAACTGGATTCTTACCACTGCTTTATAATTTTATAAGCATTTTTAAACCTTTGGGAGTTAGATTGTAAGTTCACACAAAAAGAAGCATGAAACGGTAACATTTGCAACCGTCAACGACGTGTCCGTTAGGTCCACGAACATTGGGCTCGGGCCTTTCAAGTCTTCCCATTGGGCTCGGCCCTCTCCTTTTTGCTCCTTTCTCTGTTTTCACTATGGCGCCGAATGAAGCGGAAGCGTCGCCGGTGATCGGAGACGAAGACACTATTGACGGAATCGAGCGGGAAGCCAAATTGCAGAAATAGGCGCAAAGTCACTCATGGCCGATTACCCACCAAGCCCTAAATCAACGAAATCGAAAGCTCTCTAAGGCGGCAAGACCCCAGATATAATATGGTTAGCTTTCAAGTTTCGTTTTTTATGAGCTCAGAAGTCCATCCAGCATTCGCAATGTAGACAAAAGACGAGGCCCGATTGGGGCGTTTCATTCCACAGCTTGTAAGTTTTTTGCATCACACAGTCAAGTTCACAATTTTTTTTGCAGTCATTTCAGTTCAAACAACTTAGCATACTACGCCCTACATCGCTGTTCCACGTTTCGGGTTGCTGTTCCAATGTCGATTCTTCAGTTAAGCTTGCTGAATGGTGGTGGGTTTGGGACCTCTGTTGGGTTGAGTTCTGCGGAATGGTGATGATATTCTCTGCTTGTAGTGAAGGGTAAAGACCAGGAGCACCCTGTAAGCCAGTAGCAAGCAGAAGAGAGCAGCGACATCCCGCCACTTGGAGTACCTTAGGTTCATACCGTAAGTGTTTGTCAGAATGAATTCGCCTGTTATCTTCGGCCGTCCGGGTATTGCAGAATCGAATTCAAGTCCCATCATGTCATTCTTCAGATTCCCTTGTGTTCCCCAAGCTGCATAGCTGATGTAGGACAAAGGGTACCTCCAGAAGATCTTAGGAAGGTCTGGTAGTGGACGGAAGACAATGGATGGCATTAGATTGAGTACCTGCGAGTAACAATGGAGGTTTTATTCTGTTACCAATGGATTGGTTTGGTCTTATGATGATATTGATGACTAGTATAGATGATGAGGATGATGTGTTAGGCTTACAGTGACACCAATTGCAGTACCCATGGCTGGCAGTGGATTGGATACTAGAGAAGCAGTGACAAAGACGCAGGCTTCTGAGACCGAGATGCAGAAGAAGAGGTTGATGCAGAAGTAGAGCAAGTGGGAGAATCCCGGGTGGAACTTCACCATGCTGTACAGTATGGATCCGGATGAGATCGATATGAATATGGTGAAAGGTAATGAGGAGAGGAAGTTAGACAGCACATATACAGCCTCTCCGTAGTACCCTCCCTCCCTCTCCCCACGGAAGGCCTGCATAGTTCGAGATAAGTGAGTTTCGGTTTGAACATCGAACCATTTCGGCTTGATATGAGCAACTAGTTTCTCTTTGTTTTTATACCTTGATCTCGTCCAGGAAGAAAGGCAAGCCGCCGATGGACAAGCAGATCATGAGGCCGTAGAGGAACCCGTCTACCTTGCCTCTTGCTATGACCGCCGCGCTAGATGTCCCAATGTCGAACTCCAAGGTACCCGTGCTGAGTGCCACCATGATGTAGAAGAAGATCCGAAGCCAGTAGTAGCCGAGGTCTCTGCACATGTGCAAGCTGGAGCGGTGAGTTAATGTGCGGAATTGGCTCCACCACTGATGATGCTGCTTCTTGCCAATCTGTCTTCTCTTTACAGGTACAACTTCACTGCTACTCTGGCTTCCATCATCATGTTTCTCCTGCTGTGTTGAAAAGGAAATGTGGTCAGCTAGTTGAAAAGGTTGCAGCTGGTAACATGGTTTTGTAACGAAAAAATCAAGCAGCATACAGCGAGTAGTAATGCGAGTTCTTGAATCTTTTTCGTTGCAGTCTCTGAGAAGGTAGACGACTTGTACTTCTTCACTAGGGTTGCTCTGGTCTCTGCGGTTGTCCCGTTCAGCAAGCCATCTGCTGCTGCGAGCTCCTGTTTCATCATTTTAATCAGCTGCTGCTCTACCGTCTTTAAGTTATAAAAGAACCAAGTATAGTGTGTTTGATTTCTAACTCACGGCATGGTTCATTCGTTGTGTCTGCTTCAGAGCAGCTAGGACTTGATCGAACTCCGGAGTAATGCACCGGAGGAAATGGTCAGGCGGGTTTCTTCTAGTAGGGCAGGGGAACCCTGACTCTGCAAAGAACTGGATACCATGGAAAGACCAATCAATTACTATATACTCCTTATTTTGACAAACAAACACATTCTGCTGTTTATGTTAACCTTGACAGCACCCTGGCATTCACCAAAGTAAACAGCTTCTCCACAAGAGATGAGCAGCAGATCATCAAAGAGGCGAAACACGTCGTTTGTAGGCTGGTGGATGGAGCAAACCACGATCTTGCCATCGCGAGCAATGTTGCGCAGCGCCTGAACCACGAAGAAAGACGCAGCACTGTCCAGCCCCGTCGTTGCCTCGTCCAAGCAAAGCACCAGCGGCTGCGCCAATATCTCTACACCAATGCTCAGCCGCCTCCTCTCCCCGCCACTTATCCCTCTCAAGTGCCAGTTCCCGATCGTGGTGTCCGCGCATTCCTCGAGACCCATCTTCGCCATCGTGTCCTCGATCACCTCGTCCAGCTCGGTCTTTGTCAGCCCCGGCAGCCTCAGGCGAGCCCCGAAGCTGAGGGTTTCCTTCACCGTCAGCGTCCCCAGGAAAACATCTTCTTGTGTCACGTAAGACACATCTCTGCAGGTGACGGGAGAGCTTCTGATCTTCTTCTTCGTCGTCCCACTCCCTGCAGGGCAGCTGCTGATCAGCTCCACCTTCCCCGCCATTGCAACTTTCATCGTAAGCCTCCCTGCGATCGAATCGAATGTATATCAGTGTAACTAACTAACTAACTAACTAACTAACTAACCAGCATTTCCATCACATGAATATATAATCTAGTGTTAACTTACCAGCCAAGGCATCGAGGAAAGTGGACTTGCCAGAGCCAGAAGGCCCCATGACAGCCATGATCCGATGAGATTGAGCCAGACCAGTGAGGCCATTCACCAAGTACTTCCCCGTCGACGAGCCACCATTGCCATGGCTGCCGAAGTTGTTACTTGCGAGGGTCACTGAGAGTTCTTGCCAAACAAGGCAACTCCCTCCAACTGTAGTTTCTGCTTCGGAATCCATACTCGAAAGCTGGATAGAGAGATTGCTATCGGATCTAAGCTTATATAATGTGGGTTTCGAATGTAAACCATGTGGTGTAAACATGCAACGTAGTTAGGCGAATGGCATGGAATATGGACCCAAACACATGGTCGCCATTAAAATGGAAGCATGGTATACCATCATGCAAACTGGCCAACTATAAGCTTACAACCATACCACTTCATTGATTACGGGAAGTTAGTAGGGGATTTTGTGCATTGTTTGACTTGTATAACTGTTTTGGCTAAGGATCACATTCAAGTGTTAAAACACTAGTGGACAAAGATGTGCAATTGCCTATAGTGAAAGTTATGGGTATGTTGGTCCTATTACTACATAGATGTGACAAGCTAGCTAGATGTCTATTGAATTTTGACGCTTCCTTTTCAGTCTCTTGCAGATAAGTGACGCGGGTGTGAAAATGTATCAACGGTTTTTTGTAATTTGCTTTTTATTTCAATTTTAGTTTGTAGAGAAGATGGTCGTCACGAGAAAATGAACTCCACTGAAATATTTGTTTGAGCCTCATATCCACATCTCTTTTGCATATTTGATTGTGTGAGACGCATAATATCGATTAAGATAATATACTTTAAGAAGAAGCTATACTGGAGATAAGAGGAGATAGTTATTTCCATTTTGTTTTGGTGTTAGTTTGTTGTTTAGCCTTCGAGTTTGTAAATGATGTTGTCGAGTGTGCACTTACGACCACACAAATAATGATTAGTTATTACTATACGAGAAGATAATTAGACAAACAAGGAAACTCTACGATACTCGAATCCAACAAGTCAAGAATTACAACAAGATTGCGAATGGAGTTGTGCAACAATCTAATCCGGACAAAGCGAATTCAACATTGATCACTGATCAATAGTGAAAGAAATCTTAGAATCAAAGGACGAAGGATAGAACTAACAGTGTATTCATTTCATTGGATCAAAGACCACAACCTAGTTGTGACACTTGTGATATCATCAAACTGTTGAAGGTTACTTCAATGCTGTAGCAATGAGCCCCAGCCTCAAGCGGGCCCCTCAGATTCAGCCAAACCTACCTTGTCAGCCCAAGCAGCCCACTGAATGTGGTTAAGAGGCCCAACTTTCCACATATGGTTTCTTGGCTGCCAAGTCAACGGAAAACAGAGCCACGTACAGAGGGGAAAAAACAATTGAAGACTCGTCTGTAAAATGTTAAGTTTGTACTGTTACCATCTACAACAATCCCCGTCCAGTTACAAGATCAGGAGCGAGATCTCCACTGCCCCATCTGAACTCAGTCACTCTGCTTGAAGATATGCATTCTAGAGCATCCAAAAAGCCATAGATAGAAATCTTAAACAAAAGAAGTTTTCAAATGACACAAAAACAAGGTACAGACTGGATTGAAGTCGACCGATGGAGTTTACCATCGGTCTTTGTTTCACTTGGCGTTGCCAGCCTTTTGCTTAGCTTTCTCGACCAGAGGCTTGAGCTGCTTCTTCTCAGCAAGGATTTTGAGGAAGTTGAACAGGAACGGGATGTAATTGTGCTTCCTCCTAATGTTCTCGGTTCTCCACTTCTTGAACTTCTCCTCCTCCATCAGGATCTTTGCAGTTGTGGTCTCGATCCCACTGTTCACCTCGGACAACGACTCGGACAACGACTTGGTCATCGATTCGTAGCTCCCGCCAGCGCCCCCTTCGGTTTGAGAAGCTGCCAGGATCCTTTCCCTCTGCCTCTGGAGCTCCTTCAGCTCGGCGGTGTACATCTCTTTCCTGTTCTTGATCACCGCCAAGAGATTGAACCTTATCTCGCTCTTGGCATACCTAGGTGGTTGTTAAAGGCATCGATGAGATTAGAGTACAAAATGGCCAAAAGAACTCCACCCACAAAAACAATTAAAAACAAACAGACATACAAAGTATAGCAGGCAAGTCATCTCATCAGGTGCGAGAACGGCCAAAATTTAGTTCTCCGTTCATGTTTATAGTGATTTAAATCAATATTTTTCGGATCTCAGGCATATTTATGGTTTCTGACTATGTTTTCAGTTTATATCAACATAAAGGCAAAAACTGCTAATGTAAACCTGAAACTTGTTTAACGACAACGAAAACAGATAGCCACCCTTAGGCATATACCTCTCGATGCGTTCCTGTATCACCGGTCCAACCAGTTTGAGCCAATCAAGGTCGTTCGAGCACTGGCCGAGACTGATGGGGCCCTCTTTCAATCCATCAAGCTCATAAAGCACACCATCGACAGGTATGTAACTGATGAAGTGGTACACGTCATCGTCTTTTCCAGCGATTTTCTGTTCATCGGAGATGAAAGGCTCGGGTCTTGCAAAACTGTTGTGAGCCGCACGTATAGCTTCACTATTGTTGATGGCTAAGCCTTTGAGCTCTGGTGGGAAGTTCTTGGTGAATTCTTTCAGTTTCGATAATTCAGGACCGATATCCATGTTAGCAGAGTTCATTAGGATGGACAGGATTGCCTGGGTTGCGCAAGCATTGTTGATTACCTACAACAAAAAGAGGAAAAGAACCACAGACAAACAATAGGTCACTGACAACATGCAAAATGGAAAAAGATCGATTATCCATAATCAAGATGAATTCCAAAGGAATTTACCTGACTTGCAAAAAAGAGGTTAGGATTCGGATCCTTGATGACAGGACGCTCATCTTTCTCCCCAGGGCGCCACTTGAAGAGGAAAATCAAGCCATATACTGGTCTGTGAATGAAAGAAGATAAAAATAAGGAGTATCGTGAATGCGAGAAGCACAAAATACGTCACATTTATGGTTAGAGGAGAAATCAAACAGCTATAGTAACAAAAAAGATAACAAACCTAAGACTGTCAAGAGAATCAAGGTCCAATGAGTACAACTCTTCAACCTGATGAGACAATATAACAATGTTCACATCAAATACAAAAGCAAATACAGGTTACAGAGTAGAATAAAATAGTGCCAAGGCCCCAAAAAGACTAGAGTACGAACATCCCAATATTAATGAATGATTTCCAAGTTTGAGTTCCAATCAGAAAAGTACATTTGAGTTAATAGTGTAACATAACACGGCAGACAATCGGTAAAAAGAAGAGTATGGGACTGATTGGTGAAGAGAAATTGTCAACATTCATAACCAGCAAAGTGGTACAAGTAAACCGCTCCAGGGTACTTAGTTAGGATTCACATTCACTTTCGATAACCAGAGTGGGATTACTAGAAACAGATACCATTTCCTAGTAATCTGTGCTTGTTTGACAAATTATGCTCCTTCATCATGACTTTGCAACCAATATGGAAAAGAAAAGCACGAATTCTATGGGTCCCACAGATCAACTCGGGTCTTTCTATAGAATAATTGTAACTTGCCACCTCGATTAACTACCTTGTTTCTCATTATATCTTCAGTAGGCACCACAACGACTAGCATATTTCCTATAGCCCTACAACCATATGCATTGATCTCTAGAGTATGCATGAAGAAGCAGCACTGCAATCGGCACAAGGGAACATATAATCTCTTCATCCACTACATGATTATTTACAATGCAGACAGATGACATTGGCAGCATATCTGAGATTCTTTAGAGAAAAGTGGTGAAAGGAAATATGGGTCGATTTAGTGAACAAAGTTCATTATCCCTAGTACTGCACTACTGCTAACACTTTTAACTTCTAATAACATAATGGTAAACCATAAATATTCAACATTTGAACCGACGAGACACAGGCTAACTAAGCTGCACAGCCTATTGTGTGATTTACTCTATGGTAGCATGTCACCACTAGCAATGGCGAAACATGATCCATAAGGAGGGCATCCAAAAACGATATCGGAGTAGTCATCCAAAGATTTACCTGCACTCCTTTAACTTGCATTTGCTGTATGAGCTCCGTGAAGACGCCTGAAATCAAAGAAAGCCCAGATAAGAGATTGCACCAGTTCAACACTATCTTCCTTTACAAGGGCAGTTAACAAGAATTCCTATTCAACAGACTAAGCACAAACTAGATATACATGCAAATGGCAACAAGATATAAGCTATGATACCCTGTTTAAGGTTTTAGGGTTATCTCCCATATGGAATTTGAGAAAGAAACAAAATTTATGCAAGCCCGGAAGCTAAAAACGGAATTCCTACAGAGCCAAAAGAAATTCGAACCAAACGAAAGCCAATCCATTGGAAGAGAAAGCAAGCAAGCTGGAGGAAAAGGAATAGAGTAGGAATGGCGTACCGGGGTCAGATTCAATGGTGCACCAAGACATAGCTAAGAAGCTTTTCCAAACTGAAGACAAAAAAAAAAGCACACGAGAAACTTAAAATTAGTTCTGTGAACAAATTGAATTTGGGGAAAGCGGACTTCGCAAAGCTAGTGAGAATTGAAAAGTGGGGAAAGCAGGTAAAAGGGAAAGACAAAGAGATAGCAGCAGTTGAACAAACCCTAAATTATAAGCGGTGGCGACGACCGAACGGAAGTTTGCAAGCGACGACCGACGTACAGAATAGCCGTCCTCAATCGTTGGTATCTCTCTTTCTCTCCAGAAGCTATGCTCCGTTCTTTCTGCTTGCGTTTTGGCTGTTCATGAAAATGTTCAGTCTTTTCTTTATATAGTACACTGAGAGTTTTAAATTTTCTCCGGGAAAAGAAATTCCACGTGGGAATTGTCCATCTCAACTTATTTACTCATCATATATCCTTAATTTCAACTTTAATCCTTTTATTCCTTCCATTACCCCATTTTAGCTTAAGTAATTAGTAATTACTCACTTTTCGAATTTAATAATTTTTATTTATTTATCGCACAATACAAATTACGGAAAAAAAATACTCAGACATATGATTCAAGAGTACTTTTTATGGATTCTAACCTACGACCTCAAATTCGCACAAGAACATTAGACATCGTTATTACTAATTAAGCTATTGCTGTAAACTTTCAAGAGTATTTATATTTAATGATTCTAACAGATCCATTCCAATCCTAAATTATGTCTATAAATTAATAATCTACTTTTTGGACCAAAAAAATATAATTATCATTATATTTTGAGTTATAATAGATTATCGGATATGAAAAATGGATGTTATTCATGTTCAAAGAAGAAGAAAAAAAATAACTTATCGTCCTCCAATACAGGCATGAGGTGCATGTACGCTCGCTGATCTCGTAAGAACAATAACTTGCCTTGTTTCGGCAAATCGAATATCAATTGGGATATGTATTAATGGATGATAAGAATTGTTCATTTAAGAAGGGGAAAAAACAGTTTGCAAAGGATAGATTATAAGAAGCATTGTATAATTTTTTATTTTATTATATATCAGATTGAAATCTGAAGAGAAACAGAGTTCAACTACACCAACTTAATCTCCATACTCTCATGAAGATCATTTCACATAAACATTTCTGAGTATGCTGATCATAGGAGCATACCATTTTACATAAACCAACATCCCCTCTCTTTCTATACGCATTAATACCTACAGACTAAGAAAAGATAAAAAAGGAATCACAGCAATTGTGGATTCATGTCAATAAATTATATATGATCCTATATGCAAATACGAATGCATATAGACAGATCGATCGATAGTTGTCGATGACGACGATGATCATTTAGGCGACAGAGGGAGCAGGAGCGGCGGCACCATCATCAGTCTTGGCTGCATCAGCTTTGTCGCAGCAAAGCGTGATCAGTTTGTTGCAGCACATGGACGTGTGATCGAACGAGAAAGAGTTCGAGTTAGCTTCTTTCGTTGGTGGAGATGCTTCGTCGGGCGACGGAGCAGTAGCAGTGTCGTCGGCCACTGCGAAACTGCTCTGCATCAGGATCAATGCCAAGCAGAAGAGGAGAGCCACGGCCTTCTTACTGTACCCTGCCATACTTGATGAGGATGATGAGTTGATGATGATGATCACAATATGTTATCTCTTTTATTGGTTAGATCAAGTTTATTCGAATTGTTGATTAGCTTGGAGGATTGTTCAAACTTTTATAGGTACTGAGGTTGCTGCAGCGCCTGGTCTAAATATGGAATGTCCCTAAAAATAGTTATCAGGGTTAATGGTGATTAAGGAGAAGGTTAAATATAGAATACCATACACTAATAATAGAAAAGGGGAAATAAGAGGCAATCAAAAGGGCCACATAGCATACAGATTCCAAACACATTCTATCAGAGTTCAGAATTCAGTAGTGATTAGAGTTATTGAGGGACATCATCTAAGATGAAAGGCCCTAGTTTACCGGTTCTGAACAGAGTTAGCAGCTTCTTCGACACCATCAGCCGGGCTTCGCCTGCTTTGTGAGGGATCTTCATGGCCTTCTGCAGCGCCCCGAACTGCTCCTCTATGAGATGCTCCAGTTCGCCTTCTTCCTCCACGTTGCCATCGAACTCCGTCAGAGTTCGATAAAGCGCGCATTGGACTTCTGTCACCATATCCTAGTTTACACACATTTGATCACGGGTGTCATAAAGTTATGCATGGAAGGGTAGGTATGGAATTGTTTGATTAGGATGTTTGTTTACCTCGACATAGATGAGATCTGAGAAGTTGGGCTGCTTCCTTCCCTTTTGTCGAAGGGCTTTAAGGCTGTAGCTTTGTTTGTCCTCCGGTTCATACCGGATCCCGTCCATTTTCCTGTTGTTCCAGTGCTTCCAGTGGAGGCCGGAGGGGAGTGCCGCGGAGGTTTAGAACTGCCAACAAGTACTGAGCAATTCTTTCTTCACCAACAACGGAATCTTTTACTGATCCTGCAACAACCATTAGAACCCTGTAAATGTTTTCTACTATATATCAACAATAGAGCATACAGCACGAGAAAAAGATTCAGAGAGTTCAGACCTGCAAGGGCTAGTTTTAGCCCAGTTTCTATGTCAGGAATGCTAGGGACCAACACGCCTGGCGTGTCTAGAACGTATATGCTAGGCTGATGAGCAATCTGCCGATTGAAACAGAACAGAAGAATGCATGAGGAAACACATCCTTGTTCAGGGACAAACCAACCTCACAAAATCCTAAACTATTTTCATTTAATGATAGAGAAAATAGCAGCTAACCTTGTACCCGGCAATATCTTGTGTAACACCAGGCAGAGGACCCACTGTAGCTCGCTTTAGCTTGTCAGGTGCTACATTAAGAAAATGTCTTTGTAGGTAAAGAACTTCCATATCATCGCATAGCAACACAATTGAAAGAATCACCGCATATTACTTACCAGGATAGCGGGACAAGGCAATTTGGTGAATCGAATTGATGAGAGCAGATTTTCCAACATTAGGGACCCCAACTACCATAACAAGGAGAGTAGGCTCCCTCGAAATCGCCTCCTTAAGCTTCAACTCCACTAGTTCAAGAAGCTGTTGCACATATGAAATCACATTCACAAACATCTAGTTTCAGTAACACAATCAAAAAAGAAAAGCTTTCAAGTTTCACAGAAGCAACTGCCAGGTAAGATTGTTGGTAGATACAAGATGATATCCTGGGGCATTGACTAACGCAATAGAATAGACACAAAACGACTGCTTCCATATTTTGTAAAACATGCAATCATTAGAAACTTCGATACTATCCACACAGAAAACGCTAGTATAGTACTCTGAAGTTAAAAGGAGTGACAGCAGATCAGCTTTGCACAACTGCAAGATAGGGACACCGTTCTACACTGCTACAGTCGGTCAGACTTACAAAACTGAAACTGTCGCAGCCAACAAATAGCCGATCTATCAACAGATGAGGCAACTATTTGAACATTGTTTAACGACTTCATTATTAGCACGATAGCTAATCCTTCAACCATTCCTATATCATATAATTTAATCTATCTTTTCAACTTACAATCACGGAGTTCGGATGTCAGCTACCTTATGAAGAATCAAAAGTTCAGAAGGGACTGATAATAGCACTCACCTTCTGGACAGAGCTCTTGCTATGCGAATTGATATGGATGCAGTCCTGCTTGCACGAGTCAAAATAACTAACCCATTTCTACCAAACAAAACAGAAGAAACAAAGATTCAAACTTTCAGCGAAAAAATACGTATTAAGAAGCAACCCAGAACTACAGAAAGGGAGAAACACATTACATGCATAATATTAGGATTCGCCAAGTCCTTCTTGTTGAGAGCAATCACCCGACGTTTGGACAACAACTGAGGCTGCAAATCAGCATTTGCAGACGACAACGGTATCTAAATTCATCACACGGTAAAGAGACAAGGAAGCTAGAGTCAGACAGTCACCGGAATAAGGAAGAATTTCAAGCTTAGTATACACAACAAGCGCCACCTGACAGAGATAGAGAGAGGGAAGAAGAAGAAGAAGTAGTAGTAGACATACATACACGAGAGTCGCGGACTTCAATCACAAGGTCGGAAACCTTGAGGCGCTGGCGTATGGCGCGAGTGGCCGCAGCCATGTGTCCCGGGAACCAATTGATGACTCCGCCGCCGGCGGTGAAATCCATCTCCCCCAATCCCTTCTTCACCAGTCCCTTCAACCCTCTCCCCATTCTCTTCAACCCAATTGAACGCAACAGATGTCTCTCTTGACTGCGACCTGTAACTGGAAAAATCCACACCCACTCCCTGGGAGAAGATTTCTATCAACTGGGCTCGTCGGCGCCGGAGTGGTTGATGTCAATTGAAGGGAAAAGGGGAGTGATTTGCTCCTTGGAGATGAAGGCTGAAGAGGGTTTTTTTGGTTTTAGTCTTCAGAACACTCTGACTTGGCGCCGTGTCGAGAAACGTTTCTTCTGTTTGATTGCCATAAAAAAAAAACGGAAGCGGCTGGCTGGGCTATAGGTTGGTCCCAAGCCCAATTAGAAATTGCTGATAGGAAACAAACTTTCACGACAGGAGCCCAATCGTAAATAGGCTTTTCTCCAGTTTAAGCCCAATGATTTACCTCTCCCTTTGATGGGATAATGATGGGCCGTCCACTGATGCCTCCAAAAAAGCCCAGTAATCAACAGAATTAATTAGCCATTATCAGTAATTAAGGAAATCATCCAATGATTAAATTCTGCATTAATAACCGGATCTCACACCTGGCAGCCCACAACGGGAAGGCCCAAAAAACCATGGTGGGAAACATAAAACAAACGCGCGGCAGCTTACGTGGCTCCTTTGACTTTGCACTTTGACGCAACATCCACCGTAGGATCGGATTGCTTTACTGCCAGAGTAACGGTGGAGATCGACATGGCAAGATTTTGAATTCGAACGCAGTCTTCCCCTTCCCGAAAAGGTTAACGTTAGGATTCGAACGCCATTAACACAGAAAGGAGAAGAAAAAGGAAGGCCAAATCTATACACGAGTATTTAGCTTCTGCTGCCCACCCGCCTTTCCTTATTTCGTTTGCAGTGGTCAAACAAAACAGAGTGATTGCTCTTCGTTTGCGGGATCTTCTGCTTTGTCTTCTTGGGGGGATTCGATTTTTTCCGCCATTTTTCTTCTGCTGAAGAAAGGAAGGCGGGAAGGAAGTGTGAAGAGGGCGAGCGAAGAAGACGATTGGGTAGGAAGAAATTGATTACTCTGTATACTGGGTTTTGCTCTGAGAACTTAAGCAGCGAATTCCTTCCTGGGTTGAGTTTCTTGGGGGACTTCCGAAGAAGGACAGAGATAAAGAAACGATTTCTGTTTGTGGGTTTTACTTTTTGAAGGGGGGATCAAAGATATGATGGCTGAAATGGAGAATCGTTCCACAACTGGGTTCTACGACGTTTTGGCTTCAAGAAAAGCCGAGGAAGCTGGTAATGCTCACTCTACCTTTCTCTCTAACTTCACTGTGCTGGTCTTTTAGGGATTTTTGAAGCATCCAATTTTCTTGTGTCTTGTTTTTTCCAGTTTGGAGGCGTTACCAAGCCACTGAATGGCTGGATAGCGTCGTGGGTCCACTGGGTATATCGAACAAACCCTCGGAGAAAGAATTCATTTCTCGCTTGAGAAATGGATTGATTCTTTGCAATGCCATTAACAAAGTTCATCCTGGAGCAATAACTAAGGTTAGTCAAACGCTGAATACCTTCTTAAATTCTTGTTTATCCTTTGAATGAATTGAATCAGAAGGCCTTTTGAAATACTGTGTTAGGCTGTTAGCTAAGCTCTGGTGAAATTTTGGGATTTGTTGCAAGGTTGTGGAGAATAATGTGCCTATCCAATCTATAACTCGAGAATCCCAGCCATTGCCAGCATATCAGTACTTCGAGAACGTAAGGAACTTCCTGGTAGCTATGGAAGAATTGAAACTCCCAGCCTTTGAAGCTTCCGATCTAGAAAGGGTAGACGTCTCTTCATCCTTTTCCTTCCCTAACTTCCAAGATAAAGTGAATTGATCAAATGTTAAATGAAGTAAATGACTAAAGCAAAGTTGCTGTGGTTTTGCAATTTCTTTTTGAAGGATGCATTGGAAGCAGGATCAGTTGCTAAGGTGGTTGATTGTGTATTAGCCCTAAAGTCTTACCATGAGCACAAGAATATGAATGGTGGAAATGGGAGTTTCAAGCCTACAAGATCACCTATGGTGGGTCACAACGCGACCAGGAGCAATCTCCGCGGGCTCCCATCAGATTCTTGTCGGCGGTTGGAGATGGATTTAGCAGCCGAAGCACATCCATCTGGGAATACTGAAGCTCAGAAACTTGAAGGTATTCTTGAAGCTTTCTTTCCCACGTTATTTTTGTCTATATGAGAGTTGAAAACGTGAATTGTAGGTTACCAAAAATTTTGCTTGCGGCTGTTTTGAATAATAAGCTGTAGCTTCTGTGTCATTTTTATAGGTGAGCTGGTGAAGATACTTGCCGAGTATATGGCTGATACAAAGGAGAACATGGGTGGCAATTTTCTCGCCTCCTTCAAAGCTGGGGATGTGGTAAGGTTCATCAATCAAGGAAATGGGAATGTAAACTTGATTTAGAAATTCTGTTACTGTTTGTTGGTCATTGTGCAATTGCTGATGACACGTGTGCTATAGGATCCGATGAAGTTATTCGGTAGGATCGTGGCAAGTTGCTTGAAGGAAAACGAACAGAAAAAGTTCCCTGAGGTAAGTTGTGCTGTACTTTAGCAAGTTATGGATTGTTCTCTACTTAAGATCACTAGTTCTGAGTTCTGACTGCTAGTATTTACATTGTCCAAGTAGGGTCAAACAGTGCTCAGAGACTGCTTGAAAGACAGTAGTAATTTACCTGTCCATTTGGAAACAACTCCCTTGGAGGACGTATCTGAAAACAAAAACAGTAAGGTAAATCAACTATAAATATCATACCAGATATGGTGAAATGTGTCAGCTTCATTTGAGACACTGTAGGTAATTAAAACATTTAGAATCTGAAGTCTCATATCAATGATGTGATATTCTGTAGTGTTGTCAAACATGCTTAAGTAAAGGAGACTGCAATCACAGGCGTTTACTGCACATCCAGGAAAGAGAACTCCAGGTTAGTATGTCTGTTCTGAAGATGATGCCTTCCATTTTTATAACTTATAATCACTCTCTGAATCACTCAAGTATAATGCACAGAAAGTAGAAGGCAGATATGCAAGTTCCCCTTCTTTTAGATTGTTCCTGAATTAAGAATTTTGTCTACACTACAGGATTTGAAGACATTATGGGCAACGACAAGAAAGGAGTTTGAAGCCTTGCAATCCCAGTTGCAGAATGACCTCACGCAATGTGGTACAGATGTTACTTCTACTTAGAACCTATCTTGTCTACTTCTTTGTTCTTTTTTCAGCATCAAATACCTCTATAAAGAATTCTGCTCGAGCAAGCACCGGCCTTGGTATTCTGATTATGTAAAGATCTCTGTGTTTCTTCCTCACAGTATTTGTTGATTCATATGTCTTCTAGGCATTCAGGTTCAGGAGATGGCGAGTGCTGCTCAGGGATATCAGAGAGTGTTGAAAGAAAACAGAATATTATACAACATGGTCCAGGATTTGAAAGGTTGGCTAACTCCAGAAAATAAAAATATTTTCTTTGGTCAACTTCTGTAAACTTTATTCAAGAGGTTGTTGTTAACCTTGTTTCCTATTTTTTATTGTTCAGGAAATATCCGAGTTTACTGTAGAGTAAGGCCTTCGTTCACTTCTGGATCAAGCAATGCAGTAGAATTTGTTGGAGAAGATGGTTCGTTGGTGATTGTTGATCCATCAAAACCCACAAAGGATGGAAGGAGGCAATTTCAGTTCAATCAGGTGTTTGGTCCTACTGCCACTCAAGGTGATCTTTTTTTATATGATAGACCATAAATATGCTACCCTTTTTCAACTGCGGAAGCCGAGTGGAAACTAATACTCTTCTGCAACTGAACTCTTCACTACAGAAGAGGTCTTTGATCATGTCCAACCACTAATCAGATCAGTGATGGATGGCTACAATGTATGCATTTTCGCTTATGGCCAAACTGGCTCTGGGAAAACCTATACAATGGTGAGATTAAGTGTTTCTCATTTTGCCTTCAAGTGGTTCCTTTACTTGCTAGCATTTCTCTATTCCTCGCCAACTGATTATATTCTTCTGTGTGGTGAGCAGAGTGGACCATCAGGTGGATCAGCGAAGGATCTTGGAATAAATTACCTGGCCCTTAATGATCTTTTCCAGATGTCTGATAGAAGGAAGGACGTCATAAATTATGTTATAAGAGTTCAGATGGTGGAGATATACAACGAACAAATACGCGACCTTCTGGCTGAAGATTCATCAACCACCAAATATCCTTTTTAAGCTTTCATTACTAGTTAGATAACAATCATACTTGAAGTATCCATATATGCAGTAATGCAGCATGATAATATGATAAAGTTTCAACTTTACTGTATGTTTTTATTCCTTGACCGAACACACGTTAGAGATTCGGAGTTGTGCTGGGGATGATGGTCTAACTCTTCCAGATGCTATAATGCTCCCCGTTACATCCCCTTCTGATGTTCTCAGACTGATGAAACTTGGTGATTTAAATCGTGTTGTCAGTTCTACTGCAATGAATAACAGAAGCAGTCGTTCTCACAGGTTATTCCGAATTCAGATTCCTGATGAAACATGGATTTGAAGTGTAGCCAAAAGTTCATTCTTTCTGTTACTTCTTATCTGCAGTGTGCTGACAGTTCATGTACATGGTGAAGACGAGTCTGGAGGCAAGCTCAGGGGATGCTTGCATTTGGTGGACTTAGCAGGAAGTGAAAGAGTGGACAAGTCAGAAGTCACTGGGGATAGGCTGAAGGAGGCACAATACATCAATAAGTCACTTTCATGTCTGGGAGACGTGGTCACGGCACTGGCACAGAAGAATACTCATATTCCTTACAGAAACAGTAAACTCACACTTCTGCTGCAAGATTCTTTAGGTGGGCATGCTAAAACACTAATGTTTGCTCATGTGAGCCCAGAAGAAGACTCTGTACTAGAGACTGTCAGCACTTTGAAGTTTGCTCAACGAGTGTCAACGGTCGAACTTGGCGCTGCTAAGGCAAATAAGGAGAGCAGTGAAATTATGCAGCTCAAGGAACAGGTTGAGAACCTTAAAAGGGCACTGGCTAATAAACAATCACAAGATCAGCAGCTGAACAGAATGAAGGATCCGAGATCTCCATTAGGGAAGCCAATGACTGATAGAACGCCACCACGCACAAGGAGGCTCAGTATTGAGAATGGCAGCAACACGAAGCTGATGAAGACTGGAAAACATGAAGTTTCAAAAACACCTGCACTGCCTACTCGTTCGAGAAGGCTAAGCCTGGAAGCTCCAACGTATTACAAAAGGGATAATGATGACACGATAAGGAAGCCTTTGAAGTTTGAGCCGGCAATGGTGACACCACAGAAGTACAACAATCAGCAACAGGATGTGGAAGCTATGATGTCATCAACGCCTTTTGGGTATTCTGCTACTACTACAACTACCACCAGCAGTTCCACAGTGAAGATTTATCAACATCGCAACCCTTCTAGGAGTCCTACTAGCTCTTCGTTTCAAAGGCAGACGGTGAAGATAGATAGCAGGACACAAGTTCCTCATATTCAGCTGCCATTGGCAACAGCAGAACACCAAGTGCTTGCTAGAAATGAGGTCCAGATTGTGATGCAAAGTGAAGTTCCCATTTCTACTAAGACTACAACTACTACTACGGCCAGTAGTGTAAATGGGAAAGGATCCCAGATCAGGAAGTCGCTGCGGAGCATTGGGAAGCTGATTAATGGATCTGAAAAGAGGTAAAGTTAGGTTCTTTATGGTGTTCCTATTTGTGTTCTGTCCATCGCGTATCATGGGAAACCAATGTCAGTGCTGTAAAAATTGCAGGAATCAACAGAAGGAACCATCTCCAATCCCTGAAGAAATGAAGTCACCAATTGGAATTAGCAGTAGTTCAAGGGCTGCCAGGAGGCAATCTCTAACTGGAGTTTACAAGTCGTCTCGCAGGACTTCCCTCGGTGGGAAATCAGTTGACTCGGGTGAGTGAAGTGCAAAGCAAACAACTTGCTTAACATGGTCAAGTTCATCATCTCTTTCTCAAACCCATATTAAAAGCTTCTGCCTACCTTTCTGCATTGGTTTTGTCTTGCTTGTTTCAGACGATTCCAGGAGGAATGCAAGGACGCCACCACCTCCAGGCTACGGATCAGCACAGAACAAAAGATGGGTTTAGAAGAAAGAATTAACAAAAGGAAGAATTAAACATTTCTTTAACTTCATTGGAGCTTTGACTCGAAGCCAAGTCATGGATATTGACCCGACTGAAGATGAACACATGCTAAGATGCAGAGAAGGTGACCAGCGATGACATCATCCTGCCATTACTGTGTATATAATATAGCAAACAGGCTGTGGTTTTGCAGGGATAATCAGCAGCTCTGTTTTGCTCACATTGTAGCAATCAATGTTTTGGGAGAAGAATCCTAGGTCTCTATGCAAGAGCTCTCTGCAAATTGGCAAGTGGGTTATCTAATTGGTCGTTGCTAGATCTGCCATTAATGGATTGTTAACTAAGGTGGTGTCAGTGGGTAGTGGATAACAAGTCAAGATGTAGAATTGAATAATGAGGTTGAAGAGATGGGGATGGGACCAAGTTCATGTGGTTTTTGGGTTTTTGTGTTTTAGGGAGTAGAGAAATGATGCCATGTTGTGTCTGACATCTTTCTCATTGGTTTTAGGAGATTGAGATTCATGCATCACTTGGAAATGTTTGTGATTTTTCCAACACCTCTCATGTCTCTCTTTGGTCTGGCAATTTCTTTTCAGCCAAATTTATAGTTCAATCATCATCTATAATACAGAGCTGGCCCTTCTAACTTCTAAATTCTAATGACCCAATTTGTTATATTACATAACCGGATCTCGTTTTAACTCTATTTGTCTTTCAACTATGCCAATAACTTTTCATGGTTCGATCTCGATTTAATCAAAGTTTTCCCTCGCTTTTATTGTCTTCCCGAAGTCGACGAACTATATACCATGGATCCGATCAACTTATTAAGCCGTTATCACCTCTTTTAACTTGGTCTAACAGTTCTGCCTTTGTAACAGCTGTATGTAGGTTGTTACTTCGCATACTACAGTTTTACATATAGCTTGGAGGGAGAGTAAACAACCCGAGGCTCAACTCAATAACTTGATGTTTACAGGGTTATTGTGACACCGCAACACTACAAAAAATACTTATGATTCGATGAATCGTCATCTTACACCTTGTGAACCCATAACTAAACTTTGTCCACATTCCGTAGCACAATTTCAACATGAAATGTAAAGATGACACTCATCATACAAGTAGTTTACTCAATCCAACAAAGAGGTTTACTCATTAGGTTTCTTGAATTTTTAGGTACTACACAATCATACAAAGACCAATAATACAGAAACCCTATCATCTCTCTGGTGGGAAAAGAGCCGTTGGCATGTGCAGAATTCTAGCCTGTCATATTAAGCAACCAAAAGCTTACTCACATGGGAATGTGGCTGTCCAATTTATGGAAAAAAAAATGGATAAACAAAGAATTTCTCTCTATTTTAATTGGTGGTGGATTCTTTAGCTAATATTCCTCGCTTCTCATTGGTTAACATCTACAAACATGTGGGGCTCTCTTTTGTTTAGAATATTTGCTCTTGAAGAAAAAAAAAAGAAAATTAAAGAAGCAGCCTTTTCTCTTCTTGACATCAGAATTCTGCAGAATGCCCATACTGAGAGAGAGAGAACAGCCTATATAGATCACGGATGGGAACTCTGACATTTCATCAGAAAAAAGTGACCCAAACAAATGATAGATAAAAATTAATGGGAAATGTTGTAATTAGTACTACTGATTATGTTCATATGTGCAAGTCCTTTCCTTAATTAGGTGGGTATCATCACAACGACTTACATTTTACTCCCTTCAAATCGGTCTTTCCTACATTGTTAACCAAATTAAATCCACGGTCGATCGAGTAGCAAACGAGCAGTCTTCCTCCAGATCGTGATGGTTTGAGTGCATGGTCAATGCGACAAAAGAACCTCCAGATGCTACGAGTACGATATCGATAGCTAACTCGGGTGACGAAACACGACCCAACTGAGTCCAACACAAGAGTTTAACAATCATTTGAGAGAGCTTGGAAAACATTGCATGCTAAAAAATGGAGCCTTTGAAAACAGCAGGAAAAAGTCATTGGTGGCCAATTTTGGGTTCTTGTGGCGTACTGTACTATCTTTCAGCACCAGCCATTATTGTTTCATCGTCTTCTTTGCTCATATATCTCTCTCTCTCTTTCTTTCTTTCTCATCTCATCCTGTTCTTGCTCTGTTCTGTTGTGTTCGGCAGTATTCGAGGAGAGGAACTATTCTATATTGCCCACATTGCTGCCGCCATTAATGCGGCAAGCAACATCACAGTTCTTTGGCGCGAAGCCAAATCCCCTGTTTTTTTGGCGCTAACCAAGTATTTGACTGGCGCGAAGCCAAAAAGCTTCCCCTGCCCCTTTAAAAATGCAGAACCCGCCATAAATCGAATCCATGAAAATGGGAGGTCTTTAAGGCTGTGTACAGTAAGCATCTCATTCATCAATTCATGTGCAAAGAATCCGATGCCGCCTAATGTGATGGGATTTTCCATGAATGTTTATTCATAGTTGAGGGTTTAGTGATTCTTTAGGATAATGAGTTTAGGGCTCGTTTGCTTGTTGGATTTGAAAATGAAGGTTTTGAGTTTCAAAAACCTTTGGATTTATGATGGATTTGTTGCATCATGGATTTGGAAGAGTACATTGTTTGTTTAGTTGATTTTTTATCATGGATTTGTGATGGATTTGTCTCACATTTTTTCCTTCCATTGTCAAATCCCAAATGAAATGTGGGATTTACAAATCCGTGGGGTCCACGGATTTGGATCTAAAAAATGGGTCCAAATCCGTGGACCCCACGGATTTGTGTCCCTCAACAAACAAAGGATTTGTGTCAACTCCATGATGCTTGGGATTTGGGTTCCAAATCCATCACCCAAATCCCACAAGCAAACGACCCCTTAATCTTTCACATGTGGGGAAAACAGAGAGAGATTGATGAATTTACAAGGAGAGGTGTTTTTTTGGCGGGAGAGTCAAGGGTTAGTTTAACCATTTCGTCGATTTGTGGGCACGTACTATAGATAATTCGGTTTACTAAAATCGTACGAAGATTACAAAAAAGTCAAACTACATATGACTCACAAGCATGATCGTATTGCAACAAAATGAAGATTCGTCTCGCATTCTATAACCTCCCTCACTCGCTCTCTCTCTCTCTCCCCTTTTTACCGCCACTCGAGGGGTAGGATCAGAGTTTTTAAAAACTACCATGAATTAGAACCGAGAGAACACCTTGATTATATTAAAAATCTCATCCATTGACATACGATTTTTCTCTCGGAAGACAACTTGTGAAAGTTGCTTTTCGTTAATGAATCGAAGAATCGAGTGGGCCCGCTCTTTGATTACACTGCTCAGACGACGCAAAAAATGTTCGTTTCCACCTCCACAAATACGAGTGTTAGTAAATGGTATACTATTCATGATTGAACCTCTGCCGATGATTTGAGTATTGTGTGACCAGCTGGTTCTTGACACGATATTAGAAAATTACGCGCGCGACCGACCGAGAAGTCCTCTCTTTGAGGAGAGATAGACGAGAGAGAGAAACCCATCGTCATCCATTTGAAAAGAGGAATAGTCATCGTCATGGAAAGAAAGCGACGGCGGTGTGGTGGTGTGGCGCCCGCCTGCCTGGAAAATGTCCAAACGAGTTTCCTTCCATCCTCTTCACCCAAAACCGCCGCCGCCGAGTCATTTAATATTCGTATTCCACCGCCGTCGCCGTCGTTTGATGGTATTTGCTTTTGTTGGGTTTGGCAGCGTCCAGGTCCAGCTAAGCGCTAACAAGCACTTTGATTCGAAAACCCAGCTGGCAGAACGCAACCACACTTTTTCCCACTTGCAAGTTGCCAGCCAAGCCTAGTCTATACTTGTCCATCCCCGTCACCACCAATCACAATTTAATCCGCATAAAATAATCAACCAACCCTACACCAACAAATCATTATTTATTATTATTATTATTATTATTCGGTTGTTTGGGGTTGAGGGTTGTGTGACAGTGGGTTTCTGATGGAAAAACAGCAGAGCTTCAGACCTAGCTGCTGCTCCAATCCGACTTCTCTAGCTTTGCCTCACAAAACCAGGCAAAGCTAATTTGGTAGCCTTTGTTTATTAATGAGTCGAAACTAAATCTTGTTATGATTCGTCAATTCGGTGGATTGTCGAGCCCGACTCTTGAGCTAACTCGTTTTGAGCTATAACTAAACTCGACAGCGTGGCTGGCGAGCCACCTTGTCTAGCGGTTTATGAGTGAATAGATTTATAGTTTGAGTTGACTTGTCCATAGTTTGTAGGATTGTTAGATTATGTATCTCACATGTATAATTTTTTTATTTTTTTTGTATGAATGATGTTTAAAACGTTCAAGTACACGAGAAATATGCTCGTTTATAATCTAAAAGATAAATTATATATCGCAGGTTGTTTAGATACAAATTAATATCAAACGACGAACAATTAATATTTATGAAACAAATAATATGATACCCGAGGTCGAGCTGATTGACAAGCCAAACTTGTGGAGAGCTAGTGAACTCATTAACGAGCGAGGTCGAGCAAGACACGAACCAATGTTTCAGTAAACAAACCCAAACACAAACTCAGACTCGCTTGTTAACAAACTGGATTTGAATTAGATCAAACGCGATTTGACTCGACTAGCTTACAACCCTACTTTCAATCCAACCAAACGGTACCTTTCCCCTGATCTATAATAACACAAATTGTAAACCCAATAAACATATGGATATTCATTTCCATTCATGATTATGAAATGGGTAGACTAAAAATCCCACTGGTTGTTTGGTAGAGACGTAGAAAACCCACTTGCTTTGCTTGCTTGGAGTTGGAAGTAGATAAGTATACAATTTCCAGCTGCAATGGTTTTTGACACCTGTGATATTGAACAGCATATTCCAAAGGGATGATGCAATCTCGATGGTACCCATGGTGGCCTAAGTAATGATAACGAGGAAGATGGATACACAACTAGTTGTGATAGAGTCCCAACATTTGACCAAAATTTAACTTAAATCCTAGTTAAAGTAATATCGGTAGTGGAGTTAGAAATCTGAATTGCAGTAAAAAAAGGTTGAATTCCAGCGGTTTGAATTGTGGCAATAGCGGTCGAGGAGGGAGGTCGGAGTATTGAGGGCTACTTTGATTTCCAAACTTATTATGGCTAGCTAGACAACATAAATCACTTCCCTCGACATCTAAGAAGGCATCATTTTGACGTTGTAATACTGGAATCGAAATTTTGATTTGTGAAGTGATTGATATTGGTTGACAAATAAAGTATCGGTTACAATGTTTTTTTTTTAATAATCAATGAATGACTCTTTCACTAAAGCTATGGCAAACCTCGACCATCATGCCCGATTACTCAACCATTAAGATAATAAAGGAACCAACGTGCATAATTTAACGTTCTATCAAGACATTTATCTTCGATGGTAATTCTCCCTAATAACGATAATTGGACGAGGTTTTTAATAATAAAAAAGCCCTCAACAAAGTCAACATTTTTAAGATTGAGCCACATACCCATGATGGATAATATTTATGGGTTAATATTTGTTGGTATTAATACCATAATTGGTCCAAGGCCTAGAGCCCTTGTTCTCACTTCTCAGTAAGATTATGGCAAGTAATTACAATTTCTCATGTACAATATATTAATTATACATACTAAACCTGGAATTATTTGGCTAAGATAATATATGTATTTGGTGTAAATTTATATTTTTATAGCTCTTTCTATACAGCAAGGATTTGGCTTCTTTTCGTAGAGAGGGGAAAAGGCAGAGAGCATCAGTTCCAAAGTACCAAACCTCCAACCCAGCAAGCAAAGGCCTTTATAAGCCTTTTTGCGCTTGCAATCCCTCCCAAACTCCAAAACCCAATTCCTCCTCTTCCCTTTCCTCTCTCCCACTGCCTCTGGTTCTGCAATTCATCGTTGTTTCAGCTGAAAGAATCAATCAGCAAAGCTGGCTGTGCAAAGCAAGAAAAGCAAGCAGCTTTACTGGAAAGCAGCAGCAGCCATGGGGCTGCAACACCATCGTTCAAAGAGCCAGCCCCTGTTTCTGGACGACGACGAGATGGGTCTGGTTCTTGTCTTCACAAAGAAACCATCTTCAACACCATTACCATCAACGGCAGCTGCAGCAAGACCCAAGCTTCTCACTCTCTTGTTCCTCTCCCTCGTCTCTGGCTTCCTTATCCTCGCCCCACACTTCTTCCCCGCCTTCTGTAAGTAACCAAATCAATCCCCCTATTTTTCATATTCCTTTTCTTGATCTTTGTCATGGCTATTGGCTAACGATTCCTCTTTCTTTTTCACTGTAGATTCATTCGATTCCATGACGGCTACCGATTCCAATCTCCCCCTCTGCTCTTCCGTCGCCAACGGTAATATTTTCATCTCCCCTGCCTTCCTCTGTTTCATGCTCTGTTTTCTGGGTTACTTTCCCCCTCTCTGTAAAATCTCTAATCTGCACTGCGAAAACTTGTTTGATTCGTTGATTAACTCACTAATCGTTGATTATTGGAAGTTTAATGGCTAAAGATATGTGCTTTTTTGGGTTTAATCAGGAACCATATGCTGCGACAGAACCAGCATACGCTCCGACGTCTGCTATATGAAAGGGGACATTAGAACTCAGCCTTCCACTTCCTCAATCCGCCTCTACACCGGCGAATCGCGCCATCAGGAAGAAAAAATCAGACCCTACACTCGAAAATGGGAAACCAGCGTGATGAACACCATCGACGAGCTGAATCTAATCACTTCGGAAGAGAAGCAGCAACAGAACCACCGTTGTGACGTCACCCACGACGTCCCGGCCGTGTTCTTCTCCACCGGCGGCTACACGGGCAACGTTTACCACGAATTCAACGACGGCCTGATCCCACTCTACATCACCTCCCACCAGTACAACAAAAGGGTCGTCTTCGTCATCCTCGAGTACCACGACTGGTGGATCTCCAAGTACTCCGACATCCTCTCCCACCTCTCCGACTTCCCCGCCGTCGACTTCTCCGGCGACAAGAGGACGCATTGCTTCCCGGAAGCCACCGTCGGGCTCCGCATCCACGACGAGCTCACCATCTCCCCTGCCCTGATGCAGGGGAGCAACCGGACCATCGTCGATTTCCGCAACATCCTCGATCGCGCCTACTTACCTCGAATTACCGGCCTAATCGAAGAAGAAAAGCTCGAATTGGGTCCCGCAATTCGATCCAATTCAAGGCGTAACGCTCCGAAATTGCTCATCGTGTCGAGAACAGGGTCGCGCGCAATCACCAACGAGGAAGCACTGGTGAAAACAGGGGAGAGGATCGGGTTCCGGGTCGAGATTCTACGGCCGGACCCGACCACCGAGCTAGCGAAGATATACAGGGCGATGAACTCCAGCGACGTCATGATCGGGGTCCACGGCGCTGCGATGACGCATTTTCTGTTCATGCGGCCGGGCTCTGTTTTCATCCAGGTGGTGCCTTTGGGCACGGATTGGGCGGCGGAGAGCTACTACGGCGGTCCGGCGACGAGGATGGGGCTGAAGTACATTGGATACAAGATTCTGCCGAGGGAGAGCTCTCTGTTCGAGAAGTACGGCGAGGAGGATCCGGTGCTTCGCGATCCAGAGAGTGTTAATCAGAGAGGGTGGGAGTACACGAAATCGATCTATCTCGACGGTCAGAATGTGGCGTTGGATTTGAAGCGGTTCGAGAAGCGATTGGGGAGGGCTTACGGTCATGTTGTGAAGAATGTTGTGAGGAACCGGCGGGATCGGCGGCGGAGGCGGCGATCGGCGGCGTAGGAAGGTCGTCTGATATATTGTTTGGCTTGTAAATGACGGGAGGAATTTACTATTTAGGGAGGTATGGTGGTAGGTGAAAGAATAGGGAAATGTTGGGTGTATAGATGATATATGCGAAATAATAATGATGAAATTGTAATTTTTACTTCGGTTGATTTATATGACACGAAACACGCTATATTCTTTCTCTTGATTTTGACAAATGGTTTAGGATAAGTCAATTCCACTTACGAGATGAGGATGATTAGTGGTAGTATTGGCCTATTGGAGATGATGGAATTGATGGATGTTAAGGGCTAATGGTGAACAAAATTGTGATAAGGTTGATCGTTTGTATGTCAAATGGTTGCTCTTTACGAAATAGTATTATGAATACTAATTAAATGTTTTCGATTGATATTTTTTATGATGGTCCGTTTAGGAATTGTTGAGAAATGATAATTATAATCAAACGAGAGAGGATCTTAAATAAAGATATGCGAAGGGTCACGTGAGAGATTTGGAGGCGATGATGATCTTCTAGTTTCTCTGTGTCTATAGGTAATGAGCCCGTTTAGTACTAATAAGGAAAATAAAGAGGTATGAGGGGTTCATGACCAACCAATGTGACATTTATGCCGGTAGTTTGTCTTATAGTTTATGGCACAGAGCCTCCAAACCGAAATTGAGCCACGCGAAAGATTTATTTAGGGAGTAGCGAAGAAATTGGATTATAATTTGCATATATGATGCCTAATGCTAGTGTGATTGCAAGTTCGGACCTCATTAGTGTCGTTACTTCCATTGACATGAACATTAGTGTTTCCCGAGGACATTATTGGACTAGATAATTGTAACTTTAGTCCCTAAACATTCAATGAATCAACTCAAACGTGTAACCACTAGAAAATTTTATGTTTTGTAAGATAAGTTTTGGATTATGTAGTTCAACCTTAACAAAAATGCATAGAACTAATCTATGAATAGTGGTTTCATAAAAGAAATGGGGAAGTTACAAGTTAGGTATTTGGCCAACTTTCCTTTCCCCCACCCTACAGGCGATCATTTGTGTGGTTGACTATGAATATGCTTTCCTTGATAATATGGGAAGAATATATGTTAGCTGCTGCGATACCAAAGATCAAAACTAAACACGGGGTGGAAGTTTTAGCCTTTTAGGTAGCCACTAAAACTGTATCGCCATCGACACGGAACCAAAGGCAAGAGCTTTCTGCCATTTGCATATTCAACGCTCCTAATTCCATTCATCATTGCTGCTTTAGAAGAAGTTAGATTCATGCTGGTGAAAGTGATGCCATGGCTGATCCAATCCATCTTAAGACTGTTTTGAGATACCAGTATAAATAAGTTTCATTACAGTATACAGTCATCCATGTCTGCAATTACTAAAGTGGCCTCATAGCCTTCTTTGGGAGTTAAGTAGATCGTTTGATAAGCTTGATATGACCACAGATGCCCTCCAGAGCTTACAGTAATCTGTTGCAGCAGTACACCTAACAGTAGTAACTTGATGCGGCGCTTCTACAGTGATGATTGCAGTATGATACTTAGCGCGGATTAATAACCTGTGTAACATTCTAATGCAATACAGTATGATACTTTCGCGGATTATTAATCCGTATGAACAACTGAATGATGTGCAAATGGATTGACAAACATTTAATTTTCACTAGACAAAAAATGGAAAACTCATCCCTACTCCTCAGTTACTTAGTGTTACTGCAGAAGTAAGTTACACAACTGTTTTAACAGCCTTGCTGCAAACCATAACTGTTTCTGCTGAAGTTCCAACTTCCAACTGACCAAAGTTCTACTAGTTCACACAACATAGAACCGAACAAAAGCTTCTTTGATAAACAACCAAAATGGCACTCCTACTTTCGTCATTAGATGCTCAATATATATACAATTAGCACTCTTCCGAAGCTACTAATCAAAATAACTCAATCAGAGCTACAATCTAAGTCTTAAATCAAGATCAGGGCAGGATCTGATGCTGCTGCTAAACCCAATCAACTGAACATGGTTTCCTTCATGAGTCACTGCACTGCTACTACTACCACCACCACTGCTGCTGTTTCCCTTCATTGGACTTTCATACTCAGCCATTCCTCCACTGCTGCGGCTGCCGGAGATTTCAACCTTTTCATTCTTACCCACAGCTTCCTTCTCAGCAGCTGCTGCTCTCCTCCTCGAATCGGCCATAACCACCACGAAACAGTGCTCCCCTCTCACATTCTTGAAGCTCCACAGCTCAATCTCATCCCCTTTCCTCAGACTCAACCGTTTCTGCTCTATCTTCCTCAGCAGCGATCTCCAGGCCCCGGTCACGGCGTAGACCTTGCTTGTGCCCATGTACCATTTCGACAGGTAAGCTTCAGGAACGATTTCGAAATCTGGGTCCAAGAAAACCCCCAATTTGATCCTCGCTCCCCTCACCAATCCTGCATCTTCTTGGCTCGTTAGGAACTCGTTCGCCATCGACTTCGCGGGGATCAACAGGCGGCACTGTTGGGCTTGTAGGTCTGTGGTCGTCAGTATCTTCTGAATCACCAGAGTAAACTTGCTCCCCAAGGCAACTGAACCATCTCCCACCGCTGACGAAACCCTAGCACTGAAACTCGAGGGGAACTCCTCCCGCGGCGAATTAGGCACCAAAGATGCGATCTTTGCTTTGGAAGGAGGAGGAATTAGGGCTGCCGGAGGTGGAAGTACGAACGAAATGGGGGCTACGTTTAACGGAGGAGGAAAAGCAGAGGCTTCGGCGACGGCGGGCTGTTTGCGCTTGATGACAAGCTTAATCGACGGCGATTTCTTTGTAGGGTTTTGAGCGAGAAGGGATTCTTGGTGGGTCTGGGGAAAAGAGAGCTTACGTTTCTTGGTGGCGAAGAAACAGGAAGCGGGATCGGAGTGGCCGCAGCACCCGCCGTGAAGTTCCTCGCAACGGCTGACGGCCACCGCAGCCTCCGCCAACAACTGCAGACCGTCGAAGCGTCCACTTCCGCTTCCTGATCGACGGCCACCGATTTCGCGGCTGCCGCCGACGCTCTTCATCAGCATTTCGCGAAACCAGAGAAAAAAACGGAGAACTTTGCGGAAACTTTGAGCGAAATGGGGAGACAGAGAGCGGAAATAGAGCTTTATATAGAAGAGTTGGGATGCGGAAAGGACAAAAAACCTACCGGCAAACGGAATTCCGAATTCAAATCCTTCTTGGAAAAGGATTTCCGAGTACACAACCCATTTGAGATTTGTTTCTCGTCGACGGGAGTGACTTCCGGTCGGCGCGTTGGAACTGTGAAGCTTTTCCCCGGCTTATAATGGCGGGAAGTCCATTGCCGCCACTCTCTGCGTCCTAGGTCGGGCCGTACTACTAGTCCAGACTGTGAATGGGCTTTCTTTTGCTGTATCAACAAACCGACTTCGGCCCAATCTATATATCATGAGGTTCTCCTTATCCGAACGGCGCCGTATTTGGCAACACTGCCGTCATTTACAATTTCTTCCCCAAATTTACAGATTGATGCTTTGCGATAACGAAATCGAAACAAACCCTAGTTACAGAGCAACCCCAAATTCGAAACAATCCCCAGGCGAAATCCCTAATTACAAGACAATTCGACGGTGCCGGTAGCTAGCGGAAGTACTTGAGAGTCCGGAGATCGCACTTGAGAGGAGCGCGACGGGCGGTCTCGGCAGCGAAGACGTTGACGACGAGCGCGGCTTCGACGACCTCCGGCGAGAGGAAGAACTCCCTGGCCGCGCGGAACTTTTTGGTCGCCTTGATGATCGCGGAGCGGGAGAGCTTGCGCTTCGCGGGAGCTCTGAGCGGCGCCGGAGGACAGGTCATCGGCTTCGGGATCCGGTGCTCCTTCGCCTCCGGAGTGGAGAAAGCAGGATCAGCAGCAGCGGCGGCGGCAGGGATCGGCGAGAGGCTCGGTCTTTCCGGCTCGTCGATGACGGCGAGCTTCGCGGTGGAGACGTAGATCATCGTGTCGAACGGAATTGGAGGTCGGTTGACCGGTGAGGGACGGGAACGGCAGGAGAGCGAAATTGGGAAACTGCGAGTTTTTTTTTTGGGATTGGAGCAGGGAGGTAAAATGAGGATTGAGGAAGAGGGAATTTAGTTGGGCCATATTTAAATAGTGTAACCGTTTAAATTTCTCAGAGGATTGTAAAATCGTACTGGACGTTGTATATGAAAAATCGGCGATTGAATTATTTTACGATGAAATTGTAGTCTTACCGAGATTCATATATTTTGTGGTATTAAATAATAATATCACTTGTTAATTTAGTATCGAGTTGTAGATTTTTCTGATCAGACCGCTAATATAATACGATTTTTCGATTCTTTGTCATATACATATGCCCAAAACATTAGGGATGACTTCCCTAATAATCCAACTAACCACCACCAACGCCGCACTTGTCAGTCTACCACCTTCCTTCGTTCTCGCGCTACCATCTCCCACCGTCCGATTACCCTTTCCCAATCAAACGGTCCAGATCTTCTCATCCAATAATCACCGCCCCGCTACTTTCTGCCTATATATACACCACCAATCACCTCTTTCCCTCATTTCCTCTCTCCCATCCTTAACTTCGCCATCCGTTTCGAAACGCAGAGAAGAAGGAAGGAACAAACAGCGAGAGAGCTGACGAAGCAGAACGTACTAACCCTAATTAAAGATATCTGAGGGAAAACGGAAAATTTCTTTCTGAATCGGAATTGGGAGAGGAGTAATTGTAAATCTTTCTTTCTTCTCCTTTGTTAGCTCCGTCGAATTTCGGTTTCCCCGTTACTCGTGCTTTGCTCTTCCGATTTGGCCGTGATGTCGGACGCTTACTGTTCGGACTGCAAGCGGCAGACGGAGGTGGTCTTCGATCACTCGGCGGGGGACACGGTCTGCTCCGAGTGCGGGCTCGTCCTCGAGTCTCACTCCATCGACGAGACGTCCGAGTGGAGGACCTTCGCCAACGAGTCCGGGGACAACGATCCCGTCCGTGTCGGTGGCCCGACGAACCCGCTCCTGGCCGACGGCGGGCTGTCCACCGTGATCGCCAAGCCGAACGGGGCGTCCGGGGATTTCCTCTCGTCCTCGTTGGGGAGGTGGCAGAACAGGGGGTCCAATCCTGATCGGGGGCTGATTTTGGCGTTCAAAACTATAGCCACCATGTCTGATAGGTATTATTATTAGCGGTCTTCCTTTCATTTCTTCATGATAAGGTTTTGTGGATTGGATTGGGTGCAATTCCCTGGTTGTATGTGATTTTTGGGGAAGTGTTAGATCTCTTGATTGGGCTGGGGTTGGCATCTCTGGATGGGAATTCCGTGGATCTTGAAACGTGTTTTGAATTGATGAATTCGATAATGGGAATGGCAGAAAGAAGAGCTGTCAACGAGCTGAAAGCGGTGTGTGAGTCTAGCTGCCTTGTGGTCTAGTGTCAGGATTTGCCTTCGTGAGTAGTGGGATTTTTTTTCTTCCTGACCTTGTATTGCTTGCTAAAAATTTGTGCTTGCACATTGTGCTGGATTGGTTAATTCAGTTATTGGAGAATTGTTAGTCATTGTGGTTTGTAGAGGCTGCAGTGAGTTTGAAACTACAGTCTTGGATATAACATTTTTCTCCCAGGCATGTTGTTGATGTGGGTTCTAAAAGTTAAGGGCTTGATGGTTCAGTCTTATATTCTTTAACCGTGTTAGTTTCACCTGGATTGTATATGTTTGTAACCATTGATGGTAAGAACTTCAAATTGTTGTTTCAGGTTGGGACTTGTTGCAACTATCAAGGTATAATACTGCCATCTTATTTATTTTCTGGACCCTTGATAACTTCATATCATATGCAAGCTTATATACTTGGTTCATAGGTTCGTTGAGAATTGATGGTGACAAGTTCAGTAGTTTTGGTAATTGGTTTAGCTCTCAGGTATCCACAATTCTTTCGTATAAATGGCCAATTGTTGTAAGGGTTGTTGCTAAACATTGGTTTCAAAGTCAAGCACTTTGAGGTTCTACGAACTAGGGTAGTTATGCATTATAATTCTTGCGTTCTGTTGTATGGATGTCTGCCATCCTACCAGATGTACAGCTTTTATGCTTACACCCGCGATGCTCCTCAAGCAAAGTACACTTTCTTTGCTGCATGGTCCATATGCCAGTCTGCTCATTAGGGTAGAGAAATCTTTCATAAAGTGAATGGTATTTTGTGTCAAAGAGCTTCTTATCATTTTGTTATGGCCAACTTAGTCATTTACTCATTTTAGAAGTTGAGCAATCAACTTGGAATGTGACCAATAGACTTCATATTGCTTTCCCTTGGCCAGTTGACTGTGAAGGTTTGGTACTGGCTTCTAGGTTATTGTGGGAGAACTGAATTCCTCACTGATATCCCCTATTCGATCTTTATACCCAGTCACGCTATGAATCAGAACTTGTTGTTTTCTGCATGTCCTACTACTAGTCTATTGATGTTTGGATAATGTTTTCAAATTGATAAAATAATTTCAGTGAGAACACAATATACACGTTGTAGCTGAAGGTTACACACAGTTAATGAGAACACAATATTGTGCACCTTGTCTAATACTTTGGTATCGAGGAGAAATTGTACAAGCTTTGAAATTGAAATATACACGAATACACGTATAGTTTTTAGAAGTACCAAGATGAATAAATAGTACAACTTGTCTTCCTTGATGATAAATGGAAAGGTTCTTTCGGTTCAGTTATATTTGGCTGCTAGATCTGTGTCAGAATACTGCCGATGTGTACCTGATAAGAAAGGAAAGTCAATTGCAGCTGAATAGTCTGAGACAACATTCATTGGGTTGTTTTCCATTTTTGAGCATAATTAGTATGTTTTACATAAATGATATTGCTTCCTTTTTGAAGCTTGGTAATTTTACATAGATGGTTTTTTCCACTAACTGTGTCATTTACTTTAACTGAAGGATCGAGCGAATGAGATATTCAAGAGGGTGGAGGATCAGAAGTCTAGTAGAGGAAGAAACCAGGACGCCTTACTGGCAGCTTGCCTCTATATAGCTTGCCGACAGGAAGACAAGCCTCGCACTGTAAAGGGTACAGAGCCTAAATACCATTTATTAACCTAATGGTGCCTTCCCTGGTTTATATCTTTTCTCTATCGTGTTTTGAGCTTTCGTTGAAAACTCTGGAATTTTCAACTAGAAATTTGCTCTGTTGCCAATGGAGCCACAAAGAAGGAAATTGGCCGAGCAAAAGAATACATAGTGAAACAGCTGGGACTGGAGACAGGCCAGTCAGTTGAAATGGGAACCATACATGCTGGAGACTTCATGGTGGGTGGTTAAAAGTTGAAACCCATGTTTTGCTTTGAGCAGATTGATGGTTAAAAAACATCTCAATTTTAGTCGTTTCAGTTGATTGTTTGTAGTAGTACATTGTGCAATTACTGATTTAATAAGCCTCAAACAATGGTCTGTAGAGGCGGTTCTGTTCTAATCTTGGTATGACTAATCAAGCCATGAAAGCTGCCCAAGAATCTGTTCAGAAGTCCGAAGAGTACGATATCAGGTATACAGCTTGAGATGCCCTGTATGGTTTGTAGCAAAAAGATGTTATCATTCCCTCTCCATATCTTTTCTCTTGTAAGCTTTAATTGTTTCGGTTACGAACTACAGGAGGAGCCCTATATCAATCGCAGCAGCGATCATATATATCATAACGCAGCTTACAGATGACAAGAAACCCCTCAAAGGTTTGTGATTCTTACACCTGCACTTACAGTATGGTTGCTTGCTGGTTTGTGAAAATTTTGGAAGAATGGGTGATGGCTGGTTTTGATTTGATATTGTGGGTGGTGGTGTGTGCAGACATATCAGTTGCGACGGGTGTTGCTGAAGGGACAATCAGGAACTCGTACAAGGATCTCTATCCTCACGTGGCGAAGATAATACCGGGCTGGTACGCTAAGGAGGAGGATCTGAAGAACCTAGTCAGTCCATGATCCGCCAGCAGCAGTTTGGTCTTGGTATTCTGTGGCGATGTGCCCTTTCTGGAAACTGATCCCTTTCAGTATTAGGGCTCTGGAATCGCTCTTCGGAGTTGGTCTTTTTGTTGTTTTTTTTGTCTCCGAACTTGGAGTCATGTCGCCATGGGAGGGCTTCTTTTGAGATGTAGAAGAAGAGGTTGAACTTGATTTTCTTGAACCCCAAGAAAAGAAGGGAAGAAAAAAGAAGAGGCTTGAGGGACAAAAAAAGGAAGGATAGATGAGTTTATTTTTTTGCAGTTCAATTCACAGACATGACATTGGGAGGAAGTAGTACTAGAGGGATGAAGATCTGCTCTTTTATTCAGTTAATGAAAATTGGTGTGCCTCGCCATTAAGATATTTGTTTCCTTCTACTTTATCTGTTGTCATTGCTGCAACAATGAACAAGCATCTCATGAATATGTTTTTATTGTTCTATACGATCTGGTTCGACCTGTTTTGAAGACGATGTTGTTTCGACTTGACGTACAACGATCTCAACTCTTCGTATCAAAATGAAGGTAAGAGTAAGCTTGATGAAATGAAGTTCCATTTATAGTAGGATCCATGAAGAAGAAATGCAAGAATTGGTTTCGTTCTGCTCAGAAAAGTTCAGGAAAACGATGGATAACAAGACGATGGATTTTCACGTTTCTATATTATACGCCATGGTCGGCCAAAGCTTCGACAAACAATGATCATCAATGTCTCGTCTTTATATGAGCACAGCCACAACCCACATCGGAAAGTCGCATTCCCAGCCCGCCAGACATTCCCACTATAAAACCCCCGGCTGCCACAAACCCTTAATTAATTCCCCTCAATCCCCACATCGTATTTCTCGGCAAATATGGCGGCGACGCTTCCAATCATCGATCTGCAGGAACTCCAACAGTCGTCGTCGTCATCGGGGAAGCTCCGGGAAGCATGCGAGCACTGGGGATGCTTCAGGCTGATCAACCACGGCGTCCCGGTGAGTCTCATGTCCGAGATGAAGAAAGTCGTCGGCGAGCTCTTCGACCTCCCCATTCCCGTCAAGCGACGCAACGTTGACGTCCTCTCCGGCAGCGGCTACATCGCGCTGTCCTCCATGAACCCTCTCTACGAAGCTTTCGGCCTCTACGACATCGGCTCCACCGCCGCCGTCCACGAGTTCTGCGACCAGCTCGGCGCCTCTCCTCACCACAGGTTTTTCACAATTTTGACCTGGAATTGAACCCCTAGTTTGGGGGAATTGAAGTATTGAACCCTTAATTTTGATTTTTTACAGGGAGACGATTCTGAAGTACGCGGAGGCGACCCACGGAGTGGCGATGACAGTGGCGGCGAAGATGGCGGAGAGCTCGGGAGTATTAGCGAGCGATGGAGCTGGATTGTTCGAAGATTGGGCGTGCCAGTTTCGGATCAACAAGTACCATTTCCGGCCGGAGACGGTCGGGTCCGCCGGAGTCCAGATCCACACCGATTCCGGCTTCCTCACCGTGCTTCAAGAAGATGAAACCGTCGGCGGGCTCGAGGTCATGGATCCCTCCGACTCCGGCTACATCCCCGTCGATCCCGTCCCGGGGACTTTCCTCATGAATCTCGGCGATCTCGCCACGGTAAGTACCCCGATCCGAAATGTAGTTGAAATCGCGCTTTAAAACTTAACATTTACACTTTTTAAAAGCTACATAGATTCGCAATTTTGATTCCGATCGGGAGTTTGTTTAATTTTGTTCTTCTTCTCCGGTTGGGGTTCAGGTGTGGAGCAACGGGAAGCTGCGGAACGTGAAGCACAGAGTTGAGTGCAAGGAAGCGGCGGTGCGGATCTCGATCGCGACGTTTATGCTGGGGCCGCCGAGGTACACGGTGGTAGAACCGCCGGCGGCGTTCGTGGACGGCGGGCGTCCACGGCTGTACCGGCCGATCAGCTACGAGGAGTTCAGGGTGATGCGGCAGATCACCGATAAGCAAGCCGGCGAGGCGCTGGAGCTCTTGCAGGGCCCGGCGCAGCCTCTGTCGACCAAGTTTGATGTGAATTCCCTTCCCGCCGACGTCCTCGCGCAAATTCAAGACATCGATTAAAATTTGATTGCAGTGATGATTAGTGAAGTAGTAAGGATGATTGATTGAGAGAAAAAAGGCAAATTACTAATCAAGCCTCGTAAAAAATATGTTTTACTTTACTACTCGTTATGTTCTACATATTGAAAATCTAACATTTCCAATGTGATTTCCACTTTATCCAATCTAACAAACAAACAAAATTAGAGTTACTTCTTTTTGTCTTCACTAGGAGTCCATGTTCGTTACACAACAAGGGAAAGAGATGAAAACTAAGCTCATTTTTCATTTATTTTAGGAGAATACTAAGCTAAATCTTTTTTTTTTTTTGTTATTTCAACAAGTTAATGTTTGTATTTGTTTATCTTATTCTTTTTTGTTAATTTTCTTCTTTTGACAATCGATTCGACCTTTAATGTTTGTTCCATATACAGAAACCTAAAAACTTTCGGAAGTGTTTTTTTTTCCCTTCAATTGAGCTCGTGCTAATTCATCGTCAATACTTTCAGCATATAAAATCTAAGCGTCATACCGATTGATCTCAAAGTCTCATTTGAATCGCCCAAAACCATATAAAACAAAGTGTAGATCAAGCACATGAACGCAAATACCATATTATGAATTTGATGACAGAGATAATGCAATGTCCAGTGAAATGAATGAGGGCAGGAGTTTACGGTTGTTTCTTATTTATCACCGTGATGTTGCTGCTTTGAATCAATGAGCATATCAAAATGCTCCCTCCTCACATGAGTTCGGTATGGAAAATCTTATTCATAGAGACAATAACATGAATTGATTATGCTCAACATGATTGATCTACCAATCACAATTCGATTTATTCAATCACATGACACTGTGTTTGACAACTCCAAAATTTTATATATATACCAATACTCACATATACTACTATGAATATGATGACTACGAGCATAGAAACTCCTAGTGGTATGAGAATATTTTGGTAAGCTTTTATTAAGTATGCATTTAGTTTGTGCACTTTAACTCTTTTTTGGAAGGTAATTACTTGGTAATTTATAGTACAATGACATGAATATTAAAAAAAAAATATTAGTATGGGTGCTCATTTGTGAATTCTCCATTATACAGGGACCATTTTTCCCAGTCTCCAAAAGTCTTGACCAATAACCACTCGTGTTGGGTCCCACGTGTGTCCGTACATTTATGCACCAATTTGTATTTGTTCCCATTCTTTCATAAAACCCCTCCGCCTCGTTAGTCCAACCTGCTCTTCTCCTCCTTCCTTCCTTCTTTTCCCTCCATCTCCGTGCCGCCGGCGTCCGTCCGCCCGCTTCGCCGGAGAGGAAAAAATGGAGAGTTATCTGAAGAAGGAGTTCGATTTGCACCACAAGAATCCGTCGGAGGAGGCGTTGATGCGATGGCGGAGAGCTGTCAGCATCGTCAAGAACCCCCGCCGGCGGTTCCGGTGCGTCGCCGATCTCGCCAAGCGCGCTGAGGCCGAACGCAGGAAGCGAAGCATCCAGGTCCGTCTTTCTTCTCCCCCTTTTTTCAATTGAACTCCGGATTCTCTCCCTCTCTTCGTTTCCGCCCAATTTTTTTTCGGGCTTTGACTGCTGTTGCCTTAGAACCACGCTGCCTTAAACCTGTAGATTTAGGGCAGATCTCCATCTCTGTGTCTCTCTCTCTCGATTGCATTTCAGAACTTCAATATGCATCTACTTTCCTCATATTCAACCGATTTTCTTTCCATTTTTCTTCCGTTTTCTCGGGAAACAAGCAATTGACGAAGTGGAAGCTGTAGCGGGTAGCCTTACCATTCTTAATTTCTTTGACCTCGGATCTGCGCTGTACGTGATGCTTAACTATGGCGGCCTTTCATTTTGCCAGTAGCTGAGCTTAGATCCTTTCCGTCCTTCACAGAAGAATTCATTCATTCTATTCTAGTCAATTCAGACTCGTCCTTCGACCAATTTTCCTTACACGGCCGAAAATTTTCTGGAAAAATACCCTTTTACGGATCCCTTTTTCAATTTCGTCGGTCCTTTGTATTGTATTCCTGTTTGCACTGAAAGCGATTTATGGCGTCATACGCGGTTAATCCGCGTAGATTTGAGTCAATCAATTGATTTTTTTCCCTTTCATTTCTATGAAATTTGTTCCGCCGTATATCCCCCGTCAAAAGGGACCTCCCGCCGGTCCCGACTTTGTCCGGTGCGGTCGCCCCACCGCTGTCTCGATCCAACGTCCGGTAAATTTGGTGACGTGGAATAAGTTAGACCCGTAACTGTAGGAGAACCATTGGCGGGTCCTCCATTTCATTTCTTCCTTTCTTCCCCCCACCATTTTTAACCCGACTTGGAACTGTAAAATGGTCAACCCCATGGAAATCTATGCTATTAGTTAAGCTCAATCGGGTTATTGATGTTCTACCAGTGAGATTTTCACCTTTATTTCTTTCTTTCTCCTTGACGCACAAATAATTGAACAAAATATTAGGAAAAGCTGACCAACCTCTTCCCAGATTTTTAAAGTAATGGAGCCACTGTACTACTGGTTGGTGCTACCATTAGTATCAATGATCGTTAATAATTAAATAGGAGTCTAGAAAAGTTAACCTCTTTGTCTTATAGTTAAAGATTTGTTCTTGTGCTCACAGTCCTGAGTAATGGAGCCACTACTACTACCGACAATAACAATAGTGATATTTTTGTTTGGCTGATTGTTTTCTTCTGGGTATCTGTTAGTTTGTACTATTGAATGAATTAGGGACTTTTAGGATTGGAGGAAAAGATAAGAGATGGTATTTTTCTTCAAAGAAAATTGGGTATGGGGTATATCGACTAGATATGGTGCCAGTCATGGTCAAATCCAAATTGGCAAGTTGTGCACTTGGGCAGGGTACCAGAATTATAAATGCACACTTTTTTGGCTTTTAGTTTCAGATAATGTCAAGGCTCGAAATTTCCTTGGACCTTCACTTCGATATGTAATATGCTAAAGCACTAACATGTGTCTCTTTCGTACATAGATCATGAATATAGTAAGTTGCTAAAACTCCCAACCATCGTCTCTTTTTGTTAAAGAGGAAAGAACATTTTGATGTTTAACCTAATGTTTCCTGTGACTCCTTGGAGGGTCGAGGAGGATGGATTGTTCCCCAGAAAGAAAATTAAATTAAGTTAAAGTGAAATAAGAAGCACACTTGATGGCTACCTGAATCCATTCTTCTAAAAATAGGTGTTTGGTGGCTGTCACTATTGACCCTCCCCATAGGCAACACCCACCCACCTTCTCAGGAAAAGGAGACAGAGGAAAGAATAGGTGATTACTGCATATAGTAACCTGGGAGTCATTTTCTTCTCTGGTTTACCATTTGGCACATGGGAACCTGCTGTAGTTTTCTTCATTTGGTTGTGGTCTTCTCTTTTGAAGATTAGTTGGTAACGGGTCATTCTATCTGTTGTGCCATTGTGGGGCCTTTAATGGCGGCCCATTGTCATGACTCACCTAATGGGGATGACATGAATAATTTACTAATTATTAGGTCCAAGGTTTTTTTAGTCACATTTACATCATCACGCGGTTTGCTGAGGTCTACCCTTTTGTTCCCCACTAAATGAATGTCAAGTCTTGTAAAGAAATAGAATGGTCAATCATTGAGATCACAGCTAAATGACTTTCCTTATCTAAAAAACAAAAGATAAGCTGCATGAATTCATTTAGGCGATACTTAAGGACTCCACTAACCAAAACAAAGACATTCATTTTGAAATTAATCGAGGTCTGGTTTGAGTGAGTTTGGGTTACTGATTACTTAGATTGCTATCTTGGAGCTGAAATGTGACAACTCCCAGAATTTACTAAGTATATACGGATCGATTTGAAGGAAAAGGATGAACTTAATCATTGAAGTTTATTGAACTTGTAATGTCAATGAAACTCCGACTGGTACTCAGGATGCTGGATTGCTTGAGCTCCTGTCTTCCAATTTAAGGTCCTTGAAATATTACATTCCTGGAGGCAGGAGTTTCATGTGCAATCTTACTAAAATAATAAATATAATATACTGAAAACACATCAGGGGCTCGTGTTGAAACAGATGCGGTGAATAAGTAGTTTTGCTCGTGTTGAGTGTAAGCTAAAACTGTTTGTATTGTGGACAGATGAAAGAAGCACAGGTTGAGCTCTTCTGTGTACTATGTTGACCCTTCTTTTAAACAATGCAGGAAAAGATCAGAGTGGCACTCTATGTAAAAAAGGCTGCACTGCAGTTCATTGATGGTATGATACTTAAACATTCTGGTCTTTGTGCAACGATCTTGTCAGGCCTTTCCCATTGTTAAATGCATTCAGCTTTTGCACTTGATTTTAATTTCCACAGCCGGTGCTGCCCAAGAAGCTACAGCTGGTAACCACACAGAGAGCAAGGTGTCGGATGAGGTCAGAAAATCAGGTTTCGGGATCGAAGCTGAAGAACTCGCTTCTATTGTTCGTGATCACGATGCCAAGGCTTTGAAAAGAAGCGGCGAGGTGGAAGGGATAGCAAGAAAGGTTTCTGTTTCTTTGAACGAAGGCATTCACACAAATGACGTCCCTGTTCGGCAGAGCATTTATGGCAGCAATTGTTATACAGAGAAGCCTCCTAAAAGCTTTTTCATGTTCGTTTGGGAGGCACTGCAAGACTTAACTTTGATAATCCTGATCGTATGTGCTGTAGTCTCAATCGGGGTAGGGCTTGCAACTGAAGGGTGGCCAAAAGGGATGTACGATGGTTTGGGAATTTTGATCAGCATTCTCTTGGTCGTCATGGTCACTGCTATTAGCGACTACAAGCAGTCATTGCAGTTCCGGGATTTGGATAAGGAGAAGAAGAAGATTTCTATTCAGGTCACCAGGGATGGGCGAAAGCAAGAAGTCTCCATCTTTGATTTGGTTGTTGGAGACATTGTTCAGTTATCAATAGGAGATGTAGTACCTGCTGATGGTGTTTTTATATCCGGATATAGCTTAGTGATTGACGAGTCGAGCTTGTCAGGGGAGAGTGAGCCAGTGAATATAGACAAGTCAAAACCTTTTCTTCTTTCGGGAACCAAAGTCCAAGATGGTTCTGGCAAAATGCTGGTAACAGCTGTTGGGATGAGGACAGAATGGGGAAAACTGATGGAAACTTTGAATGATGGTGGAGAAGATGAAACACCGTTACAGGTGAAACTAAACGGCGTAGCGACAATCATTGGAAAGATCGGTCTGGGTTTTGCTGTGCTGACATTTCTGGTGCTGACTGGTAGGCTATTGTGGACAAAAATATCCAACAATGAGTTCACAGAATGGTCTACAGCTGATGCGTTGACACTTCTGGACTACTTCGCTATTGCAGTAACCATCATTGTTGTTGCAGTTCCAGAAGGGTTACCATTGGCTGTTACTCTAAGTCTTGCATTTGCGATGAAGAAGCTAATGGACGAGAAGGCCCTTGTTCGGCATTTATCTGCTTGTGAAACAATGGGTTCTGCTAGTTGCATCTGCACAGATAAGACAGGGACTTTGACAACAAACCACATGGTAGTTGATAAGATATGCATAAGTGGGAAAACGATAAGCATAAGCCATAACAAGAGCCAAGGCATTTCAGGAATCGAAGCATCTGAAGGAGTGGTAAGCCTTCTTCTGCAAGCTATATTCCAAAATACTGGTTGTGAAGTGACCAAAGATGAAAATGCGAAGTCCAAGACTTTGGGAACGCCGACTGACAAGGCTTTGTTTGAGTTCGGTTTGCATTTGGGTGGGGACTGGGATGCACAACGCAGAGAATTCAACATAGTGAAAGTCGAGCCATTTAATTCAGTGAAAAAGAAGATGTCAACACTTGTGGCTCTTCCTGAAGGCGGCTCCAGAGCCTTCTGTAAGGGTGCATCGGAGATAGTACTGAAAATGTGTGATAAAGTTATTGATGAGAATGGGGATGTAGTCCAGCTGTCGGAGGAACAGATAAGCACTATCTCTGACGTCATAAATGAGTTTGCTTGTGACGCATTGAGAACCCTCTGCCTGGCTTATAAAGATGTAGGAGACGACACATGTGAGGAAAGCGGTATCCCGGATTCTGGTTACACATTGGTGGTTGTTGTTGGAATCAAAGATCCAGTTCGTCCTGGAGTTAGAGAAGCAGTTCAGACCTGCTTAGCTGCTGGAATAACTGTTCGCATGGTTACGGGAGATAATATCAATACTGCTAGAGCCATAGCTAAAGAATGTGGGATACTTACTGAAGGTGGTGTGGCCATAGAAGGGCCAGAGTTCCGTACCAAGACCCCTGATGAAATGAGAGCCATTATACCAAAAATTCAGGTTTTTCCATTTTACAGCATTAGAAGGCTTAATCATTTCTGAAAGCCTGTTGCTTTTGATCTTCAACTATTTTTCCTTTTTATTGGTGCAGGTGATGGCGAGATCCTTGCCTCTGGACAAACATACCCTCGTTACGAATTTGAAGAATATGTTTGGTGAAGTCGTGGCAGTCACTGGTGATGGTACGAATGATGCTCCAGCCTTGCATGAGGCAGACATTGGACTTGCCATGGGTATAGCCGGAACAGAGGTATGCCCATCTCGACAATTTAGTTGATTATTGAATCTGCTCGAGCTGTTTCGTCACCCTTGGTGTCAGACGTTTCCACTGGCCTCTGTGGAAGTTCTATCGTCATTCATACCCTTAATTTCTTAGTACAAAATCTGAGCTTTATATTTCTGCAGGTTGCGAAGGAGAACGCCGACATAATTATAATGGACGACAACTTCAAGACAATTGTAAACGTTGCGAAATGGGGACGTTCTGTCTACATAAATATCCAGAAGTTTGTCCAGTTCCAGCTCACTGTTAACATTGTTGCACTGGTTCTCAACTTCATTTCCGCTTGCATATCAGGTAGGTTCGTTATGTTCTTTTGCTCGGTTTTCTAGAAAAACTGTCTAGTTAGTTACTAAATCATCACTCTTTGGTATGTGAAAAATCTCTCAGGGTCTGCTCCACTGACTGCTGTGCAGCTGCTGTGGGTAAACATGATCATGGACACTCTTGGTGCCTTGGCACTGGCAACTGAGCCTCCGAATGATGCTCTGATGGAGAGACTTCCAGTTGGCAGAGGCGCGAGCTTCATCACTAAAACGATGTGGAGGAATATCTTTGGTCAGAGCATCTATCAGCTGATTGTGCTTGCAGTTCTCAATTTCTACGGCAAGCAGCTGCTGGGACTGGAAGGTCCAGATGCTACGTTGACTCTGAATACTCTGATATTCAACTCCTTCGTCTTCTGCCAGGTAATACCTTCTTCCGTATGGTAACTCTGAATCAATCGATGTCGAGTCCAATTCTTGCTGTAGGCCATGAATGCTGCAGATTTTAAGTTGGTCCTTTTTTGTTGTTTGTACTACTGGCAGGTCTTCAACGAAATTAACAGCCGGGAGATCGAAAAGATCAACATTTTGAAGGGGATGTTCAGCAGCTGGATATTCGTGGGAGTGATGACAGTCACGGTGGTGTTCCAAGTGATCATCGTTGAGTTCCTGGGAACATTCGCGAGCACCGTCCCACTCAGCTGGGAAATGTGGCTTTTCAGCGTGCTGTTGGGAGCTGTCAGCTTGGTGATCGCGGTGGTTCTGAAATGCATCCCTGTTGGAGTTGAAAACCAACGGCCACCAACGACTAAGCAACACGACGGTTACGACGCTCTCCCCACCGGTCCAGACATGGCTTGATGAAGTAGTTGTAGTTGTAAGAACAGTCTTGAAAGTTTTGGTTTTTCAGCTTCTGGTATTTCCATGGAAACTGTTCTCTTTTTGGTCATGTTTTGAGCATGCGAGAAATATACAACAGATGGTCGTGTAAAGAAAGGGTGTTGAGATTGACAAGTGATTCTGCTAACGAGAAAGAACAAACTGCAAACTCTCGAAGTACTTTCTCGACAGTATTTTCTCGAGTTCGCTTTAAACGAATTGCAAATTTACTCTAATGAATGTAATGAGTGTTTACGATGTCGCATCAAGGTCCTCCTTCGTGAAAACTGAAGTCACGAAAAATCGCAGTTAAAATTAAAATTGGGATTTTATAGAAAGGATCAATATTTGCTAGAAGTCTCCCACTTCAGTCATTCCTACCTTAAATATACAAAACAACATAGCAATGCTATGTCTCTCTCTAGTAAATGAATCAAAATTCATCCTCCCATATGCAGAAGCCTGAGAAAAGATGGGGGGATTCCCTAATCATCTTTTGTGAAAACATGAAGGGTAAAAGAAAAGAAAGAGGAGGGAATTCATCCCTTTCTCATTCATCTAAACCTTCTCTTGGTCTCTCCATAAGCAACCACTCCAAGTACAGTGATGGTGTACCCACCGATCCCGATGAAGGTAACCGGGTTCCTGAATATGAAGATGGAGATCACCACAGCTACTGCACCTTTCGCATTCCCCAGCACCTGCAAGAAACCACCCCAAAACCAGAAACAGAATAGTTCAAGCTTCCGGGACTCGTTCAGAGGCAATCTGACCGATATTCTTTGTTAATACGCGCGATGCTGGAGTTAAAAAGTTTGAATTGAGCGCAGAGTGAGGAATCCAAACCTGGAGGGTCAATGCGCTGGTATGTTTGGTGACCAAGAAGTTTGTTAAGTTGGCGGAATAGGCGAGTGAGGAATTGAGTATGAGTAGCAACCACATGAACTTGTCTTTCCTCCCGAGCGCCAATGTGTAACTCAACACGTCAGGCTCCATCACGATCACTGCAGGGACTAGCACGAAAACAGCAATCGGTGACATGTAGAGCAGCAAGTTCATCGAGTTCAGCTTCTCTCTGTAGCAGCAGGGCAGCAAATAACAATGTTTCTAATGTCAATCGGGGGACACTTAACACCCTAACTAGTCCTCGAGGTAGAAGAAAACAGATGAGATTCACATGCAATAACATTTCAGGCGTTGTATCAACTCAAGCATTGGAATGTTTACCCATCAGAAGAAAGCAGAATGCCCTGAAGAACAGACTTAAAAGCCCTCGCAGCAGTTGCACTGATGCACATGATAAATCCAAACAAGTGAAAACCTGGTTCCCCCTGCCGTCAGCACAAGAATTCATTAGTTCAACCCTTGAATTTTCAAGAGGGGCAGCCACGGCTGGAGATAATGTTGAATGAAAGAGGTGAAAATCACAACACTCCTGTCCTAGATGACATTATAGTTTGCTTTACTTCTTCCCTTTTTCTGTTCAATGCAGCTGCCCACTAGACAACACAGCAAAAAGTGAGCCAAGATTCAACTGAAGATGAAGAAACTTACAACCACATTACGAAAGTTAACTTGCGTAAGTAATACAGTTTTACATTCTTCCTTTGTGAAACTCTCAACCCAATACAAACCATTTCTTAGTTAAAAGATTATGATATGCAAACCTATGAATGAGCTGTACAAAAGCAGGTGACTTGGATTCCAAGACAAAGAAAAGAGATGTTACAGTTAAAACAGAAACAGCTTAAAAACACCTGCTTGTGTTAACCCAGACAGGCAGCGCAGAACCAAAGTATCAACAACACACATTGATGAAACAAACTAGCTAACTCCTGCTTTGACCACACATACAACAAATATAATGTCACTATGATTATGGAACACCAATTTTAAGAGAGGAAGGAGTATCAAAGTGTTAAAAAAGGAATGCATGTTGAAAAAAGGAAGTTAGATGGACAATGCAATATACCATTAGCTAGGGAATCAGTATATTACAGCTTTTCGAATAAAACCAACCAGACCTAGTTTCGATCTTAAAACCGCAAATAAGAACTCTAGAAATTACCAATTTTACCGAGAAGAAAGTGGTAGATACATAAAGCAACCACCATTGATGAGCAAGATAACAACTTCCAAATTAGTTATACCACTAACTAACTAACTTCTAAACAAGAGACTCTGTTGAACAACTTCCATATCATCCAAATCGACATTTATCTAGAGCCTACACATTCCAAATTCCCTCCAATCTGATATCACATTTGTCTTATAACAATCAACTGAAGGAACAAAAGGAAGAAGAACAAAAGCCAGAGAAAAACCATTAAAAGCATGCATTTTGTAAGAACAGATCACAGAGGGACTCAGGTCCAGCATAAATGGCAAATCCAGATACAACCCAGATCTGCATTGCCATAATTGAGCACCAAAAACAGGCCATTCCGGATCTAGCGAGCAAAATCATTAAGAGGGCAAAATTGAATTAGGCAATATAATCAGATTACCCCGCTGGCGATGACGACGCCGACAACGACAGGGACGAGGGCGAAGTAAGTGACCCAAGCCTCCCGCTTAAACGTCATCAAGTAAGCGAACACGGCGGTGAAGAACGGCGTGGTGGCGCCGACGGCCTGATTGAAAGAAACGGGCAGGTAACGGAGGGAAATGTTCCCCCCGACAACCGAGGCGCAGAAGACGACGCTGAGCGTCGAGATCTTGAGGAGCTGTTGCCTCGATTTCAACGTCTGGAGGGGCACCACTTTGAGGAAGACGATCGAGATGTAGGAGAAGATGGCGCAGGCGGACATGTGGCACATTGTGAGGAAGATTGGGAACCTGAACCCGTAATTGGAGAGGAGGAATTTGTTGAGGAGAAGGACCCCGATGTTGGATGAGTACCATAGCGTGACCAGGGAGACTATGAACAGCGCCTGTTTCTTCGCCGACGACGGCGATATGGACGATTGTCCCGAGGAAGAAGAAGATGACTGTAGAACCGCCATTGTTTTTTGATCGTGGGTTGTCCGGGATTTCTGAATCAGAAGAAGACGTTCTTCATCTAAGGTAAAAAAAAAAAACTGGCGGTGGCCGGAGATTTCGGTTTCTTCTTCTTCTTCTTCTTCGGAGCAGGTTTTCCGTTTGTTTTCTTTCCCCTGGGAATGGGAGTGATTTGATTGAAAAATTGTCTGTTTGTTTTATTTTCTCTCTTTTTCTTTTTCGTTTTTTTCTTTTAATTTTTTGGGTGTTTCTTTTTCGGATTTGTGTCTGATTTGTATCGGCGGACACGTGTCCCCAAAAATATTATGATGCTTAATTAATTCATCATGTATTTGACCCATGGAAAGTGCGAAAAAATATAACAGCGAACTGGATCAGACAGACTTAATTACGTGTAATTGTTGGGTCGAATACTAGATCGTGATATTGTTGTGAGATCTAAGCACATTGCAACTATGCATTATTTCTCGTATGTTGCATATTCTTTACTATGATGATGAGATTACAAATCGGACGATCAAGGACACGTATGGATAATATATACAGTCTATATCATTCGATGAGGATAAGAAAGAGAAATCGATTTTTTTTAATTAATTTTCCATTTCATTGTCTTGCATGTTTTAGTTGTCCATAGGCTACACAAAGGTGAAAGGTAGTTGTCAATCGAATTAAGGTAGGTTGATTACCATCAAATTACATAAAGGCAGGTTAAGTGCATTAGAAACTATAACTTTATGATGCCTTTAATTCCATGTTATGCTATCTCAAGAAAATGATGCCTTTAGATGCACAAAAGCAATGTGTTTAGACAACATACAATCGTTTTGTGATTTCGTATTGTATTGTCATTTTAAAAAGAATATATCGAATTCATTGATAAAGTGCATAATTTAACTTGTGGTTTGAGAAGGGAAAAACACAGAATTATGAATACATAGTTTGTTTCTCCCCCTTTAATGACGAAGATCGCATTGGATACGTTGAAAACTATTCTGATTCCTTAATGTTGAGAATTCAAGTTGACCGCTCTTATCAAATTATCCATCACTTTCCCCTCTGAAAGTAACAAAGACCTGCATGAAACGTTTCTCCAACTCCTGTCCACCAATTACACCCAAATTACCATGTCAAGTAACTTTTTTCATGTTCTTGGTAATTCCAACCACCAAGGAAAGTTGAATGAATGGGGTAGGACGAACATGAACAATCCTCAACCGGCGACTTCATAACTACCTGCTATTTCCCACAAGGGAACCAACCAAGTCTATAAACACTACACAGATGAGAGTAACTTGCTGTTCTTGCAAGAGAAGAGGATGCCATGAAAGGAGAATGATGAACACCAAGCAGCTATAACGAAAGTTTGATGATAATACTAGCAACTTTAATTCGAACAGACAGAAGGGTTCTTCTTCTTCCCATCATCAACCCTACAGAATCTAGCTTCTGATGATGTGGCAAGAATGAGGTAATAGTAACAGACTAGTTTCTGATTCTTCTGCTGCAGATCCCACCACGTATCATACCAATCTTGGTATCTAACTATACCACCTATGAGTATATAAGAGTTTCAGTCAGATTCCCTGATAGAACGTACGAGATGTGTAACTCGATACTGGAGCTTCCCATTTTCAACAGCAAGCTTCTGAGCCTGAAATAATTCACAGGAGGGGAAAAGGTTATGCAAAGTAAGGAAATTTGATTGATACGGACCAGCAAATTGTGAAATAGCTGTAACTACCTTCTGTCGTTCAGAAGCTAACTCTGCAGTTACATCCTCTAATTTCGATTGGAGTTTACTTATAGTCTTCAAATGCTCTGAATCCTCACCATCTGCGTTCCACAATAATACATTGATGGACAGATTGAGTTAGATATACTGTGCACAATATAGCTTCGAGCAAAGCAAATGCCTCAAATTTCAGAACACATATTTGAAACACACTTGCCTGCCTTACTTGCCAATGCAGCTTCCAGTCTTGACAGTCGATCCTTCAAGCCCATATATGATCGTTACTCGTTAGAATACGCTATACTAAGCACTAACTCTAGGAAACGAGAGGAACTTTCTTCATTAAAGTAACTTGACGAAAGAGAGAAATTTTCCTCGAGTAAAAAGGCCAACGATGGCAATAGCACAATAGTTTGCAGATATAAAGTGAGCACAGGGTAGACAAAATGCAGCAATGTTATTGCAGGGTTGCTCTAACAATCATTTAAATGCTTGAAACTCTCATTGTGCCAGAATAATTTCCCAATAAGATAGCACTGGATCGACGTTATGATCCCTCATAGGCAGCATTGATCGCTGCTCGGTGGTTCTAATTCCACAATCCATCATCCCATCCTTGAAAAAAAATCCTAACTTTCCTATGCATTCTCTCAATTCAAGCTAACCAATTCCTAAACCGGGGAACACTCGAAATTCCCAAATTCATTCAACCTAGTCTCCACAGCAGCCCCCATGAACAAAAGCATTTCCTACCGAAACAGGGTTATTGCAGCCAACATGCGAGCCTTCTGCAATTTACCATCCAGGGTTTTCAGTTCATTCAGTTTCACTGAGAAAACCCACTGATGAGTTTTTCCCCAGACAACCAAACCGAGCAGGCAAAATCAAAACTTGAAAGCATGGGAGGATCGTGATTTCATATTCCGAGAGCTGGGTTTTTGAACAGTGTATGCAACAGAATCTTTGGTGTAAGATTAGAGAAGATCGTTGAAGTTAAGGAGGAAGGCGGGGTAATGGAATTCAAACCTCGGCTTCGAGAGCTCTGTGGTGAAAGGCTTTGAGGGTTTCCCGGGCTTCGCTTCCAGCCCCGTCAATCGTCGGAGCCGCCATTTTCTTTATTCCGGTTTCGGAGAGATGAAACAGAGAATCTTCCGATCTTCAGTTATTTTCTCCGGCCGGAGGCATTGGGTGCCCCGGTCGTTTTCTTTTCTCAGCTTAATGTAGGGCTTAGGTTTCTCCTTCCCAAAGGTTCAAAGGGAAACAAATATATTTCATTTACATTTTTAGATTACATTGCATCATTAATGGTCATTAACCAAAATTGCTAACAAATTATTAACAGGTAATTTGTGAAATCTCTTCAACATCTTAAATAGTCTCATAATATTCATCGAAAATAAATAAATAAATAGTCTCATAATCTCACCAAATCAGTCGCTTTAACATTTCGTTAGATTCAACGTATTTTAATTCGAGAAAGTTGAACTCTCGATGATCATGGATTTTGAGTTGAACCTCCTCTAGTATCCATCATCCAATTAGATTTGAACATGTTCTAACGAGATTGACGAAATGTAGATCATTTGGATTTTGACGTCATAAAGAGCCTAACGTCTCGATCAAACTAATTTTAGATGATCCTCATTGCAAAGTCCATATTTTCTATATATATTAAATATATATTACAATAAAATTGAATTTCCATCATTATCAGTAATTAGAAACACAATGCCAACCAAATGAACTTGACTGGTAGGATCTGATTCAAGGCTGGCCAAGGAGAGAAGGCCTGTAGAAAGCATGAGTTTGGGCAATCTCAATCCTCTCCCTTGGATCGTTCAATGTCTCATCCCTCAGAGCCTGCAGAATGGCTTCACAAGACCTCTCCCTGCACCAACAATGGCGAAAAAGAACACAAAACAGAAATGAAATGAGATCCCTTTTCTGATTCATTGTTCGTCATTTGATCACTTCCCTTTTGCAGTTTGCAGAATCATTACCGTGAAATGAGGATGGTGTAGAGCGTTTTCAGGATTGGACACAATTCGACCGGTGCTACTGGCTTCTTCACACCTGGGTGTAACATGCTCAGGCTCGGCTGGCTCAGCAGCTCGTAGAACGCCCCCACTGCAGACACACCCTGCAACACCATTCATTTTTCACATGAAAAGATCACATCATCAGTTGGGATTCACGTTGCCAGACCTGCATTTCACAATCGTAACTAAACCCTGTCGAGTACAGAAAAATTTCACACAGCAGTTCGCGTCCTCAGTTCTGGATACGCTATGGGTACTTGATCGTTTGATATTGAAGTATTGGCATGTTCAGTTTGATCGATGTTTCTCCAGTAGGTAACATTGCTTAGTATTACTCTATTTTGATCAAAATGCAGGTATGCTGTGATTCTATCTATAGTGAAAAGACAGCAGCAAGCAATCACAATTTAGTTCTCAAAATCGCCAATAACACCAACCTGGATCATGCCTTTCCCCTTGATGCTGTCTCCCATGTCGCGGCTGAGCTCACCTTTCGCCAACATCTGCCCGTACCAAGCATTCCTGCCTTTCAGCAGCGTCACGTACGTATCAGCCAGCAATGGCCCCGCAAGCTTCTCCGGCTCCTCAGCAAGCAAATGAGTGATGAAGATCATCTCCGAAGTACAATGCGCAAAGTACACCGACTTGCTCGTAGCGCTCTCGTTGGTCAGTGCAGCCACCATTCCTGCCATAAAAACACAGACAGTCCACAGCAACCCAAAGACCCTTAATACGCGAATCCTCTTCAATCGTATCGATTCACTCTGGGAACAAAGCGAAAAAAGTCATGGATCAAACCTGCTCCAATGGCATAGACGTTCTTGAGTCCACCCATGACTTCGTGAGTAATGAGGTCGCTGTTGTCCCACACGATGAAATGTGGTTGCCGCAGGAAGTTGGCGATGTGTTTTCTCCACTTCTCGGCTCCGCAGATTCGAGCATTCGCGTACTCCTTGTTGTAGATCTCTGCTGCGATGTTTGGTCCGCCGAGGTACAGTATGTTCTCCATTGGCACTCCAGCTATAACCAGGCAATAAGCAGGGTCAGCCATTGCAATCAATATACAGATCAACCAGTAGAGTAATCAGGTCGGACCAGAAGGTTGATCCATCACAATCGACTTGATTACTAGACTAATCAACCACATAATTCCTAATCCAATCATCATCCACACACGTTCAAATCAAAATTATGAAGCCTGAACCAAAACCGAATCAAATCAAACCAGTCGCACTCACTTACTTGCAAGCTTGATCATCTGTGTAGGAGTAATGATATGAGGAACAGGGGAAAGCGCCGCCTCAATCCCTTTCGCCAGCGAGATGATAATCGGCATGCTAATCCTCTCCTTCCAATACACACTGATCTCTTCGAAAACCTCTCTGGTGTCCGTCGACGGAACTCCGTTCACCACGATATCGGCGTCCCAAACCGCCTCCTGCAAATTCGTCACCACTTTCATCGGGCACAGCGGCGTGTCGATCATGTTGATGCAAAACCCATCTTTCAAGATCTCGTCGGCGTACAGGGTCCGGTCGCCGAGGCGGGCCTCGACGTATTTGAGGTAGGCGCACCGCCGGATCAGCCGCCGGAGCACGTCTTCCCGGGAATTGATGACCTCGAAGAGGTGCTCCGCCGTGGACCGGTCCACCGCCCGACCCGCCCGACGCCATATCCGGATCTGGATCTTGTCGCGGAACTGGCCGTAGCTGTCTTGTAGAAGGGCGGCGAAGACGCTCCCCCAGGCGCCGGCGCCGACACCGACGATACGGAGAGGGTCGCCGTCGGCTTTGCCCAGTAGACGCCGCAGCTCGTCGAGCTTCTCTTCCTGCCCGGAATTGGCGCCGTTGGTTGATTGGTGAGTTGGTGAGTTCCCATTCTGCTGCTGATGATGATTATTATCGGGACTCCCCGTCGTTTCAATGCTTCCCACCATTTCCTTTCCTTTCCTCCCTTCTCCCCTTTCTTCTTCTTCTTTCAATCGCAATCACGAATTGGGTTTGTTCCAGAAATCAAAAACGAAAACAACCCAGAATCGGAAACTTTGTACGGGTTCCCCCCTTTTGAGAAATCGAAGTGGGGAAAACGATGGGAAGGGGAATTCCAATGGAGATTTACAGTAAGTGACAGAGAAAGGCGGTAGGGTTTTATGGTTTTCTCTCTTTCCCAATCTCCTTTTTAGCTTTGGAGTGTCCGCCTGTGAGTTTGTTCAGCCACCATAACTACAAAGCTATGGCTTTTCTAGTGCTAATCGAAGAATGTGAAGAATCAACATAGAAAAATTGAACACGAAGGCGCGTAAGAGGACGAAAAGTCAAACAAAATTGCCGACCTAATTGGGCAACCGACCTGAATTCACAGCTGGAAGCAATGGCGGTGAGAGCTTCTTGTTCGCCATGCAAAAATGGGGGATGGAATGGAAGGAAGTAATCGTGACAAAATTGCAGTAACAGAACAGCGTGGAAATTGTGCACTGGAAAAAGGAGGAAAGGCGTTTACAGTTGGGGGGAAGAGGAAGGAAGAGGAAGAAGAAGAAGATGATGAAGAAGGAGAAGGAGGAGGTGGAAGAAATTTAATGGAACAGTTCATTTTCGGTACACAGATGGGGGCCGCCATTAATAAACCTCATGGTTTGTGCTTTTCCCCCTGCCAAGTGCCAGCTCCATCCCTGCACCTCATTAATGCTTCACTCTGTTGTTTGTTCTGGACTGCAGATTGCTCTCTGTAACTCCATTATTTCCTCATCTTCACATCTCTTTGGAAAATGAAACTAAGAAAGTCGTCGAATTTGGCGCATAAATTGAATTCATGGACTCTATCCATAATCTTTTGAACAGTACGGCCTACATAGGCAAAGAATGTGAAAGAGTAACCAGTTACTTGTTTGATCGTGGAGATAATACGATGATTTAGATTCTTAAACCGTGTATCTGCGATTCCTTGATAATTCCAGTTAAGAACTTAAGACCAAGATTTCTGTACAAAGTGAAAGGATGCAACTCAGCTGGAAGATGCTTGATGCTTTTACCCAAATCGGGCTTCAGGGAAATGTGAAAAAATGGGCTTGATGTTAAAGCCCAATTACATTGTTCAAAAAGAAGTCGAGCCCAATACTCCGCCGTGAAAAGGCTAGCCCTCCATTTATATGGACAGAATTTTGGATAATCAGAGACTTAATACGTGATTACTGAAAGAAAGTGCAGAGTGATCTCCAGACTACACCGCATAAAAAATCCAATTTGTTTTTCTCCTACCGCCGTCGTCTCCGCTGCGCCAGTCACAGTCGCCTGCGAAAATCAAGAGATGGAGACGAAGCCAAGCGAGATAAGCAGCTCGAAGATGTTCGGAGGGTACAACAAGAGATACAAGCATTACAGTCCAAAACTGGGTTGCTCCATGACCTTCCACATCTATTTCCCGCCTTCATCTTCCCAATCCCAGAAGTTCCCTGTAACTCCTCAATCCCTCCTTTCAATTTATCGTCTTTCTCTCTTTGACTGGCGAACCCTTACGCAGAGTTTCATCAAAATCGCAACTTTCGGTTACATTTTCCGTGTTTTAAATTTTCTTATTGATTCACTACCAGTAAGATGAGTAATAAGCTACCGGGAATATTAATTGCTGGAATATGATTTTGGGGGGAGAGATTTGAGCTTAAATTAAACCGTGGGCGAACTGATGATTAGGAGTAGTTTGATTGACGATCGGAAAAGAATTTGATGGTAGGGTTTGCTTGCTGTGTTTTCATTTTGCATTGGTTCAATTCAAATGGTGTGCAATTTTGGTTTTTGGGTAGTATGTGAGGTTACTCATTTCGTTTCTTTGAATTAGGTGCTTTACTGGCTGTCTGGCCTTACTTGCAACGATGAGAACTTCATAGCAAAGTCAGGGGCACAGCGGGTGGCATCGGCTGAGGGTGTCGCGTTGATTGCACCCGATACATCACCAAGTAATACATCTGTAATCCCTTTTCAGATTTGTTTAACTTCTTTGCTGCTGTTTGTCAGAATGATCACGCTACCCTATACACCCTGCTAACTGGGTTTTTGTTTTGGATCAAATCTCTCCTGTGCAGGAGGACTGAATGTGGAAGGAGAATCTGAAAGCTGGGATTTTGGCATCGGTGCGTACTTCCTGCTCTGCTAATTTTGCATCAGTTGACTCTTCATTCATAGTGGATGATGTTTGAATTGGTTGTGAATGCTATAGAAATGTGACTTCTTTTAATGCTACGAGTTTTGCGTCCTATATAAGAGACTGGTGCTATTAGCTCTTCATGACAAAGTGTGCTGGTCATTTTCATCTAAGTAATAAAAAGGAGCCGAGCAGGAAGAAATGCGGAATGCTTTATCTGGTGTTCGATGTAGGACCTAGTGAGCACTGTCAAAATTTTGGCCGTGGAAATGTGGGTAAATGGATGTGGGAAATGACAGAATGCTGGAGCTATCAGCTATATACTTCTGAAAAATAGAAGCTTTTTTTATGAAGCACAAATGCAAGTAAATATAACCATCTAGAGATGGTCACCATCTATTAGATTCTGCAATATCCTTTTCTTACAACTCATTCTCGCAAATGCATATTGCTTTTGTCAGTCTTTTGCAATGGTGGTTGATATGTGCCTTAGAAACTAGTTTTCTTTCTGTACCATCCATAATTTCTTGTAGTTTCCTTTGAACTTAGGTGCTGGATTTTATCTCAATGCCACACAAGAGAAGTGGAAAAACTGGCAAATGTATGATTATGTTGTGAAGGAATTGCCGCAACTTCTGACTGAGAACTTCCCTCAGCTTGACACATCCAGGGCATCCATATCTGGTCATTCAATGGGAGGACATGGAGCGCTGACAATCTACTTGAAAAACCTTGATAAGTACAAGGTATGTTCATATATTGACATCTACTTTCTGAACAATTTTGAGTTTCACAAGTCTCATAATGCAGCATGTGTGTGTTGTTTTCAGTCAGTATCTGCCTTCGCACCGGTGTCCAATCCTATAAACTGCCCCTGGGGTCAGAAAGCTTTCACTAACTACCTTGGTGGCAATAAATCAGATTGGGAGGTAATAAGATGCTTAACTGCATAATGAAAAGTTCATAATTGCATACTTGGCTACAGTTTGATGAATGTGGGTTATTGATTTATGCAGGAATATGATGCTACATGTCTCATCTCCAAGTTCCATGATGTAAGGGCTACCATTCTGATTGATCAGGTACGAAACTATCTTATGTCTCCGTCTCGTAAACTGTTTTCTTATGGAGTAGTATCATTAAGATGTGTCTCTGGGCTTATGTTTCTATATACGTGGTGGATCATTACTCGTTCATATATCGGACAGGGAGAGGAAGACAAGTTCCTGCAAGAGCAGCTGCTGGTGAACAAGTTCGAGGAAGCGTGCGGGAGTGTGGGAGTCCCCCTGCTTCTAAGAAGGCAGCCCGGCTATGACCATTCTTACTTCTTCATCTCCACTTTCATCGAAGACCACATCCGCCACCATGTTCAAGCCCTCAATCTGTAGCTCCCGGTCTTACCGAGAATCAGGTCTAGTTTGTTATTAACTGAGTTGTTTGCTCCAAATCCCCGACTTTAGAGTTTTGCTTTTCGGTGGTTCTTGTTTCCCTCCTTTCTGAATTGTTCGACACTTATGTTTTAAGCTATTTCTGGAAGAAAGTGAAGATGGATGATGGTGGCCTTAGATGCTGAACATGATTATCATATTATCATTATCGGTATAATTGCTTGAACATTATCATCATTACGTTACAATTATGCTTAACCATGATCCTGAAATCCATATGCATGCAAAGTTATTGTCACTGGCCGGTGATCGATCATCGAAGTGGGCCGCCGATCGTAGAACTCTTCTACACCCTGAAATCATTAAAGACATGGAGTTCACGAAATGTGAGGGATATTATATACAGTAGCATCACCATGCCCTTGTTTGAGCTTTGAGGTAACTGCATATCATGTCTAAATGTTAGTTTTGTACGTACTCTTCAAAATAGATGTTGATGATGCCTTCCTTGGGGTCGGCGATCTGGTCGAAAGCTTCGTTCGACAGATCGATGGTCGCTTTGCAGCTGTTGGCCGGGCACATGTCGACGATCCTCACCGTCACGGTCTGGCCATCCTTGCAAGGCACGTCGACCCCGTCGTTCGTCCCGCTCATGCATCTCACCCTGTAGGACTTCCCGCAGGCGCTGCCGCCTTCCCACAGGTACGTCTCGCTCGCTGCCGCGAACATCCCGCTCTGCTTCTCGAACCCGTAGCACGCTGACGCTGGTTAACAATAACTCGAGTTATTGAAAAAATTCGCATGTCTCGTGCGCGCGACGATGTGGAAAGTAAATAGGAAGCTTACGTTCATAAGGGGGAGTGTAGTAGCTGGCAGTGCCGTACCACTGTCCAGCGCCGCAAGGATGGCACGAGAGCAGCGAGACTGCTGCGAATGTGGTGATGAGAACAGCCACCCTGCCGCTGCTGCGTTGCACTAGCGACATTTGCTTTGATCTAGAGAAGATGAACCTGTAAAAAAGCTTTACTATAGGGAGCTGATTGGAGAGACTAGCTAGCTTATTTCTGGTCTTGGTCTGTACGAAACTGAACTCTAATGGAGATCTTATTTATACACAAATGTGATATCAACTGTTTTCCAATTTCTACTCACTCATTTTGGTTAGGGGCTAATTATCAACTAACTATACTTAATGACCAACGTACGTAACTAAATATAGTATCGTTCGGCCAAATTTCCATTTTTTTTTGTCTCGTTCACTAGGGAGAAGAGCCAAAGTTTCTTCTAACCATCACGTTTGTTTGGAGATTAGTGGATGATGACGTTTAATTATGACCATGCTATAATTAAGTAATTACTATAGTCTAATTAATTAATCGTCACCTAGCATTTTTCAAATGTTAATCTTAATTCGTTTGTTTCGTAGTAGTGGGATTGGAATCAAATTTGCCGATTATCATTTTTGGTTACATAAGAGTTTGAGTTGGATGCTAATTGTGGAATCTCTACATCCTTTGTGTTTGTCACTTGTTGACTTGACTATGTTCCTTTTCCAAAATGATGGGATTCAAGGTCTCTTGTTTAAGGGTAGATACAATGATAACGTGTGCCTTACGACATGTTTTAAGTTCATTCACCTAATACATGTCATAGTTGATAATGTTCGTATTAGTTTAAGTTGCGATTTTGTGTTACTAATTATAGTTGATAATGTTTGTAATAGTTTGGAAGTTGCAATTTTTTTTGCTTACTTGTATTGTTTACTGTTCGTTGTTTCTTTTACGACACATCTCGAAGCTCTAACGTATATGAAGATTAGGAGTACAAAGTAGGAAGCTCTTTCCACCAAGAGTAAATTTGTAAATGTGAATACTACATATAATGGTTTATACATTATAGTTAGGAAATGAGTAGATGACATGACACAATTAGGAATCAGCTTGTTTATATAGTTGGTTAAAATTAGAAGTCACTTATGCAAGTAAGACTGCTGCCTTCTAGACCAACTGTACATTATACATAAGCTAAAGCAGGCTATTTTATGTACCAACCATTGCCACCCCAAACCCAACATCCTCAAAACCAATACTATCTACACCATATCCTCCATACAACAAACCACTAAACCAAGCTGCTGCTCGTCCTCTGAAAGGAATTCAAGGGGAAGTTGGCAGCCGAGCAAGGCGGACCATTCGTCGATCTGTCACTGGTCGTGGATTTATTCGTATCGAGTGCATAGTGTTAGGTTGGACCGAGTTCCGTGGTTGCTGGATACTGACTATGCGCTCCTGCGGAATCGACTCTAGGGGAAGCTGCTACAAATGCTGGTTCGAGGGTATCGTTTACACTCTTCTTAGGTCTCTTTGGCCGCTTACTGCCTCTTTCTGATGGTGGATCCGAACCATCCAGGTCGTCATCTATGTATGGGGAGGAACCTGACCCTGCTGTCGTCCTTGCTGGGTTTCTCGGCCTGGATCGAGGAGTCGTTTGCTGCTTATCACTCGTGGGGGCTTTCCTCTGCAGGAAAAGGACACAATTTATGCGTGAGAATCAGCTGCAAGATATATGAAAGGATGTTCGGACGAAGATTAAAACAGAAAGACGAAAGTGTACCTTTTTGCTGCTACTGGGTTTAGATTTGTCGGCATCTTGAGAAGGCTCAGCTGCAGCAGCAGCAGCCTGGGCTACCGCAGCTGCAGCCTGGGCTGCTGCAATTTCGTTCAGATCTTCTAGTGTGGCATCACCTTCAGCGTCGAGCAGTATAGCCTTTGAAGCTTTCTTCTTTTGTTTCTCTTTAGTCTGAAATCAGCAAGCAAATGCAGTTATTAAGGAAAAAAATTCAAAAAAACTTACTTTCAAAATATTATTTATGATTATTTCCTGCTATCCAAAAACTTAAAAAGAGTGAATCCCATAACAGGAAAAATCATTAAACAGGAGCAGCAGCTTGAACCAACCTGCAGAGGAGTTTCTCTTAGTTTCTGCTCTAGCTGAGCATCGTCCAGAAGCAAAGACACGACATCTTCAGGAGCTAAGAGATCACCCTGCACATGACCACCAGTCATGACAAGTTGCTGGACGGTGTTCTTCTGGCTCGCTCGTTGCAGTATTTTCTCTTCGATTGTCTCTTTACAGATGAGGCGGTAGACAGTCACCTGTATAACATGAAAGCATTCAAGAGAATTTAACCCCTGCTCTAAAAAAAAAAACCTAACAAAAAAATCCGACAATTTGAAAGATGAAACTGACATCTCTTGTCTGGCCTAACCGATGAGCTCGGTCCATTGCTTGTAAATCTAAGGTTGGATTCCAATCATTTTCATAGAAAATAACCGTGTCCGCAGCAGTCAAATTAATACCCACTCCACCAGCTCTTGTACTCAAGAGGAACACGAAAATATCGTTCCTGAAACACAGACAAAATAAATTTGAATAAAAAACAGGACGAAACAGACACCAGTACTAAAATCCCAGAAGTTGAAACGAAATAAAATTTCACTTTGCAGACAGTCATCAGCGAGAAACTATTTCCTACCTATCCTGGAAGTCTCTGACCATGTCCCGGCGGTCCATAATGGTGGATGAGCCATCCAGTCTTAGGTACCTATACTTCCTATAGTTCATGTAGTCCTGCAATCATCAAAAGTTACCAACATCACAAATTCAGAGACAAAAGAGCTTTTACCCAGGGTAACAATCAGTAACCAGAGAAAATACTGGAAAACTTTTTTTTCCACTACAACCGACAATCGTGTGACAGACAGCAAAACAATGCACAGGGACAAGGAGGAAGCATGAGCCTGCAACTCCTAGTAAAAATATGAAGGCAAGGTTTTGTTTTAGAAATGTACACATAGCAATCTTCTTTTTTCTTAGGTGGTTTTCACTTTTGATGCTTGAAGGTTTGTGGATATTCCAATCAGATGATATTATCAATACTCAGCATTGACACGAAATGAATATGAACTATTAAGTTAAGTACCTCTCAACCCATAAACGACCTATATTCTACAGACAGGCTTGTATAAGATACCCTAAACCTTCCCCAATGAGCCATTATGAATTATTATATATTTTCAACAGTTTCCAGATGTAACGGTGAAGAATACCTCAAGAATATTCAACATCTTTGTCATTTGTGCAAACAATAAAACTCGATGGTTCTCTGCACGCAAGCGTTTCAGCAATATATCGAGCGTCTGCAGCTTTCCAGAATCCTGAGAAATATACAAAATTTTAGCAATCCAGCTACCCGACAATACAAATTATTAAAGGATGCATGAGAAACAAAAAACACATACCGTGAGTAGCTTGGCAGGGTCAAAGCTCTGCATGGGAGGGCATGAACCAAAAATATCGTGCACTATTTGAAGAGCGGGTTGTGAAACTGGTAGTTCAGAATCAATCTCTTCTATCAAAGGATGTGGTCCTATTGGTTTTCTGGGACCGTTAAGTTCAGATGTGCGAGCAAACCCAATCAACAACCTCTTTAGCCAAGGGTGATGAAGTTCTTCAACCATCTTGTACGCAAAATTCCTATCTGAGCACAGGGCGGGAATCTGTGAAGCAGAAACATTGTCGATATCAAAACAATCTCTATGAAGTGTTGGTAAAAAACAGAACAAGAAGAATGAAAATTGATCCACAGTAATACCGGTGGAGCTCGACTTTTGGGGATGAAAGTGTATGTTGAATGAAGGACTTTAACATTAGACAAAAGCCTGTCTTGATGAGAGACTACCAAAGCCTCAAACGGAGCATCAACAAGTCCTGTTGGAAGTTTCCTTCTTAGTAGACTAGCCCGAGATCGAGATGGCATTAGTAACATCCGTGTTACAGCTCTTACTTTTCCTGCTTCTAGCCTACTGCATTGTGGATCATTATCCAACTCTTCCATCATAAGGTCGAGAGTTTCATCTAGAGATTGACGATCCCATCTCACCATAGAAAACAAAAGTTTCTCCATAAGCGAGCTAGTAGCCAGAAAAGCAACTTCAGAGGGGGACAAATCAATCATACGGGTAAAACCAAATGTCCCAGAACCATGAACATTTTCAGGAGAGAATATATTAAACTGTTTGAGGAATAATTCTCTGTAGACACCACGAGTTACGGTCGAACAAAGCACCCTCGAGCTTTGACCAGTCTCCTCATTGATTAGTTTTGGTATCTAACGCCACAAAACCATGAAAGTGAAACCAAAGATTACTCAAGTTGTTAAAAAGAGTAACAGACAGCCACAAATTTTACTACAAAGAAGAGAAAATACCTTGTACGTAATAGGATTCTGGCCACCTGGATAGTGTACATCATCCAACTCACCAAATGGAGGAGGTAGAAGGGTATTTGGAAGGTGTCCAAAATAGAGATATGAGCTTCCCTCATTCCTCTCGAACAACTCTGGATGGTTACACACCTACAAACACAATCAATGAATTTATGCGTTTGTGACTCGGAAACTAAACAATCCTTCACGCATATGCAAAACGACTTAATAAATGGTACATAACTCGAGTTCTACATTTCCTATTACAAAAAGACAGCAAGAAGGGAAAAGAGCCAATGACCACCTACCTTCCGGAGTTGAATCACTATGTTCATCAAATTCATCAGCTTCTTCTCATTAATATATCCCCGTGAGCCATCGAACAACTCTGACAGAGATATCTTATTCTTTATAGCTTGATAGAAGGCTTGTTGTCTTGAGCTCAACTTACAGTGAACTGTAACCTCTGTTTTCCTAGTTAGCTCTTGAATCACATCTGATTTAAGTCTACGTAGCATAAAGGGCTTCAAAATTGCATGCTGCCAAGAAAAAGTAGCCAATAAGTAAGGCAGCAATAGAAATTCAGGTCAGACAAAGGACTCACAACATAAGACAATCAAGAGGGTTTATTCTTATTCAAAATCTAAGTCATTGAGATAAGAAAAGTGTCTCATTGACATAAGAAGACCAGTATCTAGTTTTTAGAAACCAAGGCAATTAAATATTATATTATGCTCTACTATCAGCAGTCCTCTTCAAACAACAAATCTCCAAACCTAAAGTTAGAACCAAGGCAATTGTAAATATATATAAATAAAAAATGCATTCCTTAATACAAGGATGCTTTTGTTTTTCACAAGTCAGCTTCAACCACCATCTGA